AAACAAACTTTTTACACCAAACAAAACACCCAGCCAAGTTGCCCAAGCAACCTCACTCCAACGCACGAAGTGCGACCTCAGACAACTGACTTGACCTACATTCTTGCGGTCAAAAAGAAAGAAAAGTATCCGAGTGGTCAGTTTATACACTGACCGCTTCGTGCGGAAGGGGAAACCCCTTAGCCGCTGTCCAGTGGACCATCCACTCACAGATTCGCACCAAATAAAATAATACAAAATAAATAATCCATTCACCCGCTCACATTAAATACATTAGGCGCTTTGTTTGAATATGATATGCGTTGTTTGTTTTTCACTGATAGCTCAGTTGACAAGTTTTTCAGATGAATTCCTCGTAGAGCCTGATGAACGATTTTAATCGGATCTTCTGACCATTCAGTAATCAGCACGTTGATAATTTTCAGAGACTAATGACTAAGTAGATATAATTATCAAATCCGTTCAATCCCAGATACTTCAATACGCCATTAAGACCCATTTATAGCAGTTCAGCTCATCTTCGTGTATTGGGGATTCAGAAGTATGAAAATAAATTAGGTAGGCTCCACAAATAGTTGGACGGAATCCCTAACGAGTAGCCTGGGGATCGTCCACAAATGACGTCATACTTGTAGTGGGGAGGGGGGTCCGTAATTTTGTGACGGTGTGTGACGAGTGGGAGGATGGGGGTTGTTCAGATGGTGTGACGTCACACTTTTGCATTATAATAAAGCAATGCTAGAAAACGAATTTTAGCCGTTATTTCACGTTTTAGAAAACTGTGTAAATTGTAATAGGAATTGATTAAAACACTCTATGTTGACAGAGTTCAGACAAGTTTTGGGTAAAATATCGCTGTTTTTAAGAACAATTCAACTGCAATTTTGAAGGAGTGGTAGGCTGAGGTTTGACGTCATTTTAGGGATTGGGGGTTTGGCTTTTTGTGACAATGTGTGACAGAGGTGAGAGGGGGGAAAATTGTCCCCAAAAAAAGCGTGACGTCATTTATAAATGACCCCCTCTACTCAATATTTAGCCCGAGTTGTAGCAGATCATACATACATATACATACACTAATACGCACGCGCACACATACAAAACACACACAAAGTCATATAATATGTTAACTGTAACCTCAGCAACCGTAATGAATAGACCAGCCTATGGTTTTTCAGAGAACGCACGAGCAAGTGCCATTGTTTATCTCCCCCGCTTTGTGTTTGAATATAAACAACATTCAAACATAGTCTAGCTTTGATGCTGTCGTGTACACATGAAGGGGAAACAACCATTACATAAAATCTTTCAATTTTATGTAATTGTCGATTTTGTAAACACACAGATCCGGAAAATCAAAGCGATTAAAATATTTCAACTTTATCAAATATTCGGGTAGCGATCCACTAATATTGAAATTACACACAGCAAAAACAAGCGTTTTAAAATGCCAACCCCTTCCTCGCGTATCATACCCAGACACCAACACACGACCGAAACTGATACATGGAATGCTAGCTTTGAAAGAAAGGGTTCGGATACGAAATATTAGGAATATCATTACTTAAAACTCTTTAAAGATGTGGCGCGGTATCCTCATCGTTGTATTGATTCACATAATAACATATCCTAAAGGTAACTATATTTTATTCAAATACATATTTTTATTACACATTTTTTATTATTTTTGTTGTTATGTCTGTGTCTTTATGAGTTGCCTGCAATACCTTTTTCACCCAGTCAGGCTTCGGTGACAGTCTGAGTATTCATTTTTAAAAGGAATTTTGACATAGTTTGATGTACAATGCGTTGTTTCTAAATGTTTCTGGAGCTATCGAACAGGTCATATAGTGCTGAAGCTGTAGAACAGGTCATATAGATAGTACTGAAGCTTTAGATCAGGTCATGTAATGTTAAAGCTGTCGATCAGGTCATATATTGTTGAAGCTGTAGAACAGGTCATATATTTGTAGCGATGGAGACTAGTTAAGTCATGTGTGCACCAGCCAGTCAGAAGGCACATTTGAGTCATTCTTGCCAAAGGCAGGGATGACTTCTCATTTCATCCCCCTCCCCCCCCCCCCCCCCCCCCCCAGGCTTCATGAAATAAACTAAAAGATAGAATAAATAGGTTGATACGGCGTGTGAAGTTGTATAAAATAGCGTTGAGAATTAATGATTTTTCAAAGACGTTTGATTGGTACTGTTTAAAAAAACAATGAAACTAGCCATTTGGGATTAAAGGACGGGGTGTGGATTGGTTGAAGCTGAATGTCTTTTTTTTGGGTGGGGTGGGGTGGGGGGGGGGGCTGGGACGGTAACTGATAAAAGATATTTTCACGGAAACGAGAGTAACGTTTGTTTAAATCACTGGTGTTTATTTTGTATGCAAAAGAAAACTACTTCTATTTTACTTTCAAAATTGTAATTAGTTCAACGCTGTGTTTGAAATACTGTATCTTAGGCACTAACGCCAGCGGCGCTAAAGAATTGAAAAAACTTCACGAAAAACTTTTTGCAAATTATGACAGAATTATCCGACCTAGCGAAAACTACAGTCGACCTTTGGAAGTAAATGTCAGACTGACTGTCACAAATGTATTAGAACTGGTAAGCTAATGATGGTCAAATGCTGTGTTAGTATTATTATTTAAAAAAAAAAACGTTTTTTTAAAAATAAAATAATGTATTAGCTTACAAGGCAGTCTAAATAATTAAAAGTATATTTCGATCAGATTCAATCAAAACATTAGAAGAAATATGCTTTACCTCAGGCTAGCTATTAGTAATAAAAGAATTATAAGATATTATTATTTTTAAAAATTCAGTAGAGTAGAACAGTGGCGTCACTAGTTCGGGGGTTCATTACACTCCTTCTTCAACAATTTTGCATTTTCGGTTGGGTGTCACCCTCTCCCTTAGTATTTTGTTATCTAACAAAAACATTGTTTTAACTATAAATTTAACAGGTGTCATCTGGTGCGTAACCTCCCCCTTCTCACCCGCCTCGTGACGCCACTGGTTCAGAACCTATATTTTAAAACAATAAATGAGAGTCCCACCCCCAACATCATAATTCCCACCCCCATCCTGATGGGGTTCATCATTTGTGCGCCATTATTTAATCTTTCGATTTAACCTTCTGTTACCAACAGTATACTTACTTACCCCCCCCCCCCCTTCCAAAAAAAAGGTTCAAGATTTCACAGCAAAAATCACTAGGTGCACTGCCCAGCTTTTGTGAGTTACCACATAGGCAGGCCAATGTTTACCTCTCTTCAGCTTTTAACAGTTTTTGCTGTAATAAAATCACAACATGAAATTTATTGTTAAATTCCATGAAAAACCTTCGGCCAGTCTCTGTTTATTTAAATTTTGCATGTGTTGTCTTGCAGGATATAAAAAATCAGATCCTCAAATTTACCGGTGTATTGCACTTTGTAAGTTTTTTTTCAAGATCCTTTTCGATGTGGGAATAATAAATTAAAATGTTAAAAGGTCTAATTGATTTTAAATTCTTTGTGTAGATTATCCTTACACGACCGTATATATATATATATATATATATATATATATATATATATATATATATATATAATATGTATCTGTTGTGAAAATATATTAGAGCTGGAAAGATGAGCTTCTAGTGTGGCAACCAGCAGATCATGATAACATCAACTCAACAGCTATACCAAAGACAATGGTGTGGAAACCAGATTTGGCAATTGTCAATTCGTAAGTCGAAAACTAGTCTTATCATCTCTTTATTAACATTTAGGGAAAAGCTGCATATATATATATATTATATATATATATATATATATATATATATATATATATTATATATATATATATATATATATATATATACATACATACATACATACATACATACATACATACATACATATATATTGTTTATGAAATCTTATAAAAAAGCCTTCTAGACATAGTTATAAAACTTATAAACGTGTCTTATGTTCCATTTATATAGATAGCGACATAATTAAAAAGAGAGGGTTGTATTAACTAATGAATATTCTATAGATATATAATTCTCAACGTTGGGACCATGCGGGTACCACTACGTACGCGCGCTGACCCACCCCTCCCTCTCTCCAGGCATGCGGAACAGACCACATTTCTATCACCCCCTATCCCTACCAGTCTGGTGAGCTGTGGTTCACATCGACTGTTTAAAATAGCAGAGCCGGGTCGAATTAGTGACATATTAAGGGCATATTATTTAGTTTTTAAGCGGTTTGAAACTAAGGGCAGGTAAAGGGGAGGTAACAAGTTCTGCTTGATCTTTTCACTGTCGTCACGGACGGCTGCTTTCACGGGGAGGGGGAGCGACAGTGTCGAATTCACCATTTATAAATATAGAAAATAAAACAACTAAATAGCGGTGCATACTACCCCGCGGGTTTTAATGGAATATGACAACAATTTTTTTTATGTTTTGAAGAATAGTTTAAGTATGCCTGAATGCTTCTACAGTAATTTATTAAGACATTTTAGCTAATTTTTTAAAAGAAAAAACTATATATTTTTAGCGCAATTTCCTTACAGGAATTGCGATTATTAACTCGTCATTTCTGGATGGATGGATGGATGGATGTGTGTCCGCAGCTTTAAGTCGTATCTCCTCCTGAACGAAGCAATATCGAGGACTAGTTCCAAAGCAAATATGTTAAGCAAGTTCCGAGAATGATTGTGGGCCAAAAAAATTCCCGGAATTCCTTCCTGGATTTCCCGGAAAAGCCAAAAAACCTTGAAAAAATGCAGTTTTTTACCCATATCTCGGCAACCAGACCACTCAGCGACTTGAAACATTTACCATTCGATTCCTGCCGTAATTTACAACAATATTGCCGAAGAAAGTTTTCAAAAATATCCTTTCGTTCGGTCACAAAAAATTAATTAAGGAAATTGCGCTTAAATTGTCACTAGACTTTTTATTAACTTGTTTTATCAATATTACCACAAGTGTGACGGAAAAAATGTACCTGGGCAGTGACGAGGACTACGTGTGGGTGCTGTCCACTGGTCAGATCACGTGGGAACCGATTGTCAACCTTGAAGTATCTTGTAAAGTATGTCAGTGAGTGTTAGTGTATGTCATTGTATGTAATGTAGGCCCACTAATTCATTGTATGTAATTTATTAAATTTATTGTATGTAAAGTATGTCAGTGTATGTTAGTGTATATCATTGTATGTGATGTATGCCATTGTATGGAATGAATTAAATTGTACGTAAAGTATGTCAACGTATGTTAAGTATAAAATTGTATGTAAGGTATGTCAATGTTATTGTATGTAAAATATGTCATTGTATGTAAAGTATGTCAGTGTATGTAATGCATGTTACTATAAGTAATGTTGTTTGTTAATGTATATAAACTATGTCAATGTAAAGTAAATCAATGTATGTGTATGTTAACGTTTTAAAGCTTGATGACTTGGTGATGTATGTAAATTATGTTAATATGCGTTGAGTATTGTTATTGTAAATTATATCACTCTAAATAAAATACGATGTCATTTTAAAGTACACTAAAGTAAAAATAAATGTCATTTTAAAATAATTATCTCATTCTCAAATATTCATGAAATGTATACCATTGTAAAAAATGTCATTGTAAAGAGTATTAAAGTATGTAAATATAATTAAGTTGTTAATTACAAACGGATATCATTTAACGCGGCATCTTACATTTTATTTATATATCCATCCAACATCTCTAACTATATACATATATATATATATATATATAATATAATATATATATATATATATATATATATATATATATATATATATATATATATATTTGTCTTAATTTAATTCTGTGAATTAATTTCTTAAAGCATCTTCTAAAAACGCTTGTTTTTTTTCAATAGGTCGACATCTCGAAATATCCGTTTGACAAACACTCATGCCCTCTAATACTGGGTTCCATGGTTTACGCGGACAGTCAAGTTAATGTATGTGTGGAGAAATATGTTCGGGGGGGGGGGGGGGGGGGGGAGGGGGGGTCGCTTATAAATGACGTCGCGTTTTTGAACGCTTTTGGTCGTTACACGTCATGAAGTCTGACCGGCGAACAGAAAGATGCGCAAACGGAAAAATACGCAACGGAAAACCGCGCAGAACAATGTGCGCAAGGGAATTTATTTTCTATAAAAAACGTTAACTTTATAGATGTTGGCAAAGCGTGAGTACGTGTAATTTATTGGATAATAAAACATGTTTCCACGAAATATGACAAAATCAAAGTGTATTAGTATAGTTTGTATTGCGTATTTTAAATTTTGCGTATTTCTGTACATTTTTTCTCTTTGAATATTTTTCTGTTGTGCATTTTTCTGTTTGCGCATTTTTCTGGGAACCATTATAACTGTTGATTCCATTGCTGACAGGTGACGATCACTGAACCAGGAATCGACTTAAGTTACATGATGACCAATGGTCAGTTCTGGATTACACCTGGAGGCACAAAGAAAACTATAGTCGCGAACGACGATTCAAACTACAGCAACTGCCACTTTAAACTAATACTTTCCAGAAGACCAGCCTGTATTGTGATGACGTTGGTCTCATTTATTTATCTTATTAAATTAATCAATGATTGCGTATGGCAACGGAGTGTCGTCGTCATTTTTTTTTTCATTTTCCTTTATTTTTACGTCTTCAGAGTTCTGGTCCCTGTGACTCTGCTATCGTTGCTAGGCAACGTAGCCTTCCTAATGGGACCAGACGAGCCGGAGAAGCTGTCCATCTCCATCACCGTCATGCTGTCCTTCACCGTCTTCATGGGGGTCATCAGCGACACCCTCCCCGAGACCTCGGAGACCCTGCCTCTACTGGGTCAGTTGCTCGGTGTCGTTACGTAATTAGTGTTGTTTATTCAGCACAGTCAACGTTATAACAGTGAAACATTGTTGGATCGTATCTTGGGAGTGTGTTTTGAGATTGCATCAGAAAAAAACAGTAGTTGTGCGCATGCGTGAGAGGAAGAAGTAAGTAGAGAAGAAGGCAAGAACATGGCGTAGCCTGGCTGAACACGCCGTCTATGTGATGACAAAATAAATATATATAGAACGTAAAAGAAGGCTTGTCTTGTGATTTCGTATGTGATAGATAAAGGTAGGAGAAAGGCCTGTGGCAAGTTTATATCGTGAACCCAGTCACACAAAAAGCGTGTAACAAACGTCACACTTCCAGTGGCGGAACTAGAAAAAAAGGGGCCACCCCGCAAAAAAATTTTTTAGGCCCCCCCCCATATAAATATATAGGCCCATATATGTATATATATATATATATATATGTATATATATATATATATATATATATATATATATATATATATATATATATACTCAAACACAACATACGAACATAGGATACTTATTCATGCTGGCCTGTTCGTGTTATGAGAAATACGTTTTTTTTTTTTTATTGAAACAAATTACAACATCATGTCATGAGTGTAAGTGCATTAGTCTGTTTTGTGAACATCAGTTTTAAATTATCTTTGCCCTAAGTCCACTAACATCATATCGGTCAAAAGAATATAAAACATGAAAGCTTTCTGTAAATAATGGTGTCTCGTGTCATGTTTATTTTTATGATTTTTTGTGTTTATTTTATTTATCCTAAATACATTTTCTTTTTATACAGTGTCATTCTTTAGTAAGTAATTTATAAACAAATAATAATAAAGAGAAGTAATTGCTTTTTAATTTGTTTAGTACAAATCTATTAAAAAGAGGCTATGAGCATCACTATTTGATTATTTAAAAAAGGAAGTGGGTTGAACGTTTGCTTATCTTTGATAAGTTTCATTGTAGGAGAAAGAGAACTCGGCTTTCACAGTGGTTTAAAAACGAAGGAAAAATGAGCGTGGGGTGGTGTCTATAGAATAAAGATAATCCAACCGCAGCTACGATAATCTTTTTTACAAAACAAACATTAAGTCAAAAATGCAAGAACATTTTTTTAACTATAACAATTTTTTTTTATGGTCGGCCGTGGGCCCCTAAATGGCGTGCCCCCCCCCCCCCCCCCCCGCATTGCGGGGTCTGGCGGCACTGTAGTTCCGCCCCTGCACACTTCGTTATGTGTAGTTACGTAATTAGTGTTGTCTTTTTTAAAAAGTAGTTACACTTCGATTTTCAATACAGCTTTAAAATTCGCGTCTGTTTTTCACGAGAATACGGCCTTTTGTGGGTTTAGACTCCTTCAGCAGTTCTTACCACTATTTTATTCAACATTCCAGGGTTGCGGTGTACGACCCTTGGAAGTGTGATGTGGTATTGTTGACGACTTTATTTAAAATGTATATGCTTACCTACGGAGGTGGTAACGTTTGGTCAGCTTTCAGCCTCGGCGAGGTAGTAGAAGCTCACCTATTTTTTTTTCCATTATGGCCGTGTGAATTATCGAGGACCATACAAACAACAAGAACAGTGTACAGCGTAGAAAAACCCACAAAACTTTTTTTTTTAATTCACAACCAATTTTCATGAAATCTTGCTACGTTTATATAGCAAAATATGGCCTCTGGTAAATTAGTATCCGATTTTTGTAGATATTTATTTAAGGAAAGAACACATTATAAAGAGAAACATGTATCTGTTTTATTTTTATTTTTCCAGTGTTTCACTTGACAAGCCTGCTATTATTAGCATTTTTCGGGGTCATCGGAAACGGCATCATTTTTCTGGTCCAACGGCGTCATAATATCCTATCTACACATCAGCTCATCAACAGCGAGAGTGATCTCCCATCAAAGGAGGACGAAAAACTCAAGAAACTCAACGAGAGCGTTCGCGACACAAAAGAAACATCAAAGACAATGGCAACGCTGACGGGCAAGGAGTCGCAGAAAGTTTCCCTACGTTACCATGTTGAACACATGCCTCTGGCTACCCGGCTCAATGTTTATTTTAATTACGTTAATTTATTGCTGTTTACAGGGATTGTGTGCTCCACTTTTGTAAACATGTTGACGTAAGACTGGTCAGTGTTTGAATGACCAATGGTTTAACGAGCAGTTATACTTAACATTACGGCGCCCTCTGTTCGTTTCTAAAGAAAGTTCCCCACTATTAATATTAGAGTAGGGCCTACATGAAAAAAACGCCCCCCCCCCCCCATCCTCTACAAATTCTTCGTAACTTTGTGCCTAGAGTTCAGCAAGATTTTCTTCCAGTCGTATGTGTGAGTCAGGGTTCAGCTGATTCATGCATTTATTTAACTAAATTCAACTAAATCTTGTTTATCTACTTGCTGTTTTTACAAGCAGGTGCATCTATTTGATGTTGGCCGATACAGCTCTCTAACTTTAGTAGAGCCTTGCTTGGTTTGGCGAAAACTTGACGAAAAACTTTTACTCCCTTCCGTGTTTTTACACAAACCATCATCTCTATATCCTCCCAATTTTTTAAAGACTCTTCTAGAGCTTATGTAAACTTTATGAAAAATACATATTTATCTATTCCTGTATTTTCTGTGCAGTTATAATTCTTAAATTGTTGTTTTTTTTTCTTTATAATTATTACTAAAAATGTAGTACTTCATGGGCAATATATAAAATATTAAAGTTCTTTATATAAATTAAATATTAACATTCAGTTCTTAATAGACTTGGCCTATAGACCTACATGAATGTGCTTACTATATGTTGAAATCAATATTCAGTCTTAAATCAATAGCCTATTTTTATTGTATTTTTCATATTATGAAAATATGTGAAAATGTACACACAGAAAATTATTAATTTTTACAAAAGGAGTCCTCAATAAATTACATCAAACATTTGGTCGGGGGGGGGGGGGGGTGGATTTAGTGAAAAATTGGAAGGTGTATTTTTAAAAGGTAATTTTGTGAAAAAGGTTTTCAGCATTTTTAAAGGTTTTTTTTTTCTTTCTTTGGAAATTGAATGAAGATTGCTTAGTTTATCTAATATTACCTTTGTAGTATGAAATAATGATTTGTTAGTTTTTATTATAATCAAGCTAGCTATCTAACAGCAACAGTTGGTAGAAAGATCTAGATCTATAAATTTCCTTCAAAAACTATTTAGCCAAAATCAAACAAGAAATTTAAATTGAAGGTGGGATGGATGCTAAAGCGTGTTAGGGGTTCTGAATTTTCTCCACAGTATATTGTGCAGAATAGGAGGAGCTAAAATTCAGCGACATCAAGTGACGTCAGTTATGGATGACCCCAAAATTTTAAATATTTTTTTTTCCTTGATTCAACTATAATCACTCACGTAATTGTCAATTAACTCACACATTTTTGTTTACTCATTTAACGCCATGCTGATAATGAACCCAAGTGTGACTGATATCCAGATGACGGAGAAAGCAATGAAGGAAATTTTGTCGATGTGCTTGCCGACCACCTTGTACTTGTTGACCGAGGGTTCGGTTTCCCTTCCCATCGAACCTTGCGATTCGTCATCCTGTTCGTCGGTCCGCGGTTGTTTGGTGAGTGCAAATGACGAGATCGACTGTAGGCTTTGTCGACTCCCGTTCATGTGGTTGGTTGTGTGGTTGGTCGTGTGGTTGGTCGAGGTGTGGTTTTCCATGGGCGAGATGGCTCGTCTGAGTACATTGACTTTTTTAAACGCCTGCTGGAAATTGTTTTGTGCTCTTTTTTGTACCTTTTCTTTCTGTGAAAAAAAATCGCATTTTTAAAATTTCGTTAAAATAAAGAATCGTGAGCACATTAATTTACACGACAAAGGTAGTGAGAATTGTTTAGCATTACGCTGTTTAATACTGACTTTGGTATTGTTGAGTAAACAAACCCGGCTTTTTAACCCTTTATCTTCTGACGGTACTTATAAGTACTGAAAATTTATTTAAATTCTATGTCAAGAGTAATTTCCAAAAACAAAACAAAAAAAACCTGTTTTATCATTAACCTTCTCTATTGCATTGTTCTTACATCTTCCGTCTTGAAAATGTAAACGATGACGATAATATTAATGACACTAATTTTACCTCCTTAAAGTTAGGGATATAAACAATGAATGATAGTATCAATGAGTGTGATCGTCCTTACCTCTTCCATGTTAAAGATGTATACGATGATGATACTATCGATGACGGTCAGCATGGAGATAATGAGTAGGATGAAGATGTAGGTGGTCAAGTTGGGCGTGGACAGCGATGACCTTGGCAGCATGCTGCTGATGATGGACATGAACACGGTCAAGGCCAACAGAACTGTGATACCTGGCAACGAAACATTGAACGTGACGTCACTTTTAAATTGGATGGGTGTGTAATTGGGGGGGAGGGGGTAGTCATCATCCCATAATAGAATCGTTTTACACGTACTATTTCGTTAGTAGTAAACTTCTTTCTAATGTCTGCCCCTAACATTAACCATTATACCAAACATCAGCATATTATTACTCTACTGGGGTCGGCGTGGTCGAGTCGGTAAAGCTCATGGTTGCTAAACCGAAAAGTTCGAACCGTGGGGACAGCCACTCTTCTAGGAGAGACAACTCCAAAACAACTGCTGCCTTGTAGTTTGTTCTTGGATGGACAAAGGCTATGGAAGCAAATCCAAAAAGAAATTCAGGCTGACATCGGACTCAATGACGCATAACCAGTTGACACGTATTCCTTATTGTGTTGGAGGGGATCCCTCCCAAAACTAAAATTAAGAACGAAGAAGAAGAAGATTACTATAAACATAGCTTCCAATTAGACAGATGAGTCCACTGTCATTTGACAAAGCTGATATTGGAGTCAAAAGTCTAAATGGCGCACAACAGTTTGACACATAATACTTAACTGTGTTGGAGGGAAGCCCGTCCAACATAAAAATCAAGAACAAAGTGGACAAATTCTACAATGGACTTCTAAAATGAGTAGTTAAAACAGCGTAGATGTAAACAGTAAATAGATATTCTAAACATTCTTGAAAGTGGCCGTATTTGAAGTTTAACACTGCAGTAAAAACAATGTGCTCAAACCTACAATTATTTTTCGTAATGTGACGATTGTAACTAAATGTAATAACTAGATAGATCTGCCTGTGCCAAAAGTTAATAATTAGCAAGATTACAATGTACGAAGACTTTTTTTTCTAATGATAATGATCTATGGTTTTTTGCGGGTTATTTGAAAAGCAGAAGTAAAAAAAATAACAGCAATGCGTGTCTTTAAAAGACGTTTTCTTCTTTGTATATTTTAACCTTTGGGGAATGTAAACATGTAATATCTGTTTTCGTTAATTAATGCATTGTAAATATTTTAAAATAAATTCAATGTTTTAACTAGAGTAGTCTATTACCGTATCCGATTTTCTCCCCTGAATCCACCGGTATGACAAAAACTAGGAGGTTGAGAAACGAAAGAAACACAACGGGTAGGAGTATATTCATCAGGACAAAAAATGGTCGCCTCTTGAGCACAAAGGATACCTGTAGAGGCACAATGTTTTATTTTTTTTATTAATTGAACAAAATATGACAAAATCATTTTTTAAAATCACAAAATGAAAATTTAAAAACATTGATGAATAGAATTTGTATTTTTAAAAAATAATTTAATCCTGTTTGAGGTTGTGTTATCGGGAATAGGTTACTTCAATCGACGGCAATTTGGCTCCCGTGTCGACAGTCCCAATGTTGACAGTGGCGCTGAGGATCTCCCATTCGCCGTTGGGCGTGAAGAAACTCTGAGAGACGTTGGGTGTTGGTGTCAGGAACTCGATCTCCGTCACTGACAGGGACATGGCTAGCAACTGGGGAGAAATATGAACATCAGTACGTACATACAGTGGCGTAGCTAGGGGGTGCCTGGGGCGATCGTCCCGGGCACTGACAGTAAGTGGGCGCCATACGGAGTTGAAACAAAAATAAAAGCTCTTTCTGAGCTGCATTACTGAATTATAAACAGTTGAACATAAGAATATAGACTACTACTTGGAACCTTTCCAAATTGGGTGCGGAGCTTTTTCGACAACCGTGAATATATATATATATATATATATATATATATATATATATATATATATATATATATATATATATATATATATATATATATATATATATATATATATATATATACATATAGGAAGGGGATGGGGGGCTGCAAAGTCGATAATTCACCTCGAGGGCTGGACGGATACACACTACAAAAGGCTCACTCAAATGTGCAAGCCTCTGCGTACATAACCCAAATACCACCACAAGGCAGGGAGGAGTGTGGTCCACACAGGGTGACACAATTTAGGGGGTGACACCAAATAGAAAAATCGTAAAATACACTGTGACGCTAAAATGAAAATATAAGATGGCCTTCAGATACCACATTGGGTGACACCATCGCATAGCGCAAATTTTGCAGCAACGCGGGACGGGTACGCTAGTTTACAATAAAATATGTATTAAGTAACAATGTTATTATCAGCGATATGACCAAACCTACTTTATTTAATTTAGACGTTTGACCATTAACGGTTTTTTTTTAAATTAAAAAAAAAACAACACCAACGTACTGTATTCCCACCCCCATCTTCCCCAACAACACAAAACATTAAATCGAAATCTAAACACCCAAAGCACTATATTCCACAATAGCGTTGTATTGGCCCATCCATTACAAATGTTGTCTTGCATACGTTATATCCTATTGTATTACAAAATCGATTGACATTTGTAATGAAGGTTATATTGACATGAATTATGCAGGCTTGAATTTTTTTTCAAATCTCATTAGTCGTACCCATCAGAAAAAAAGTTTGCGATCAGTTTTAAATCACGAAGCCATTCAACACAGCGTGTGTAAATAAACCATTCTATTGCTGTCCTTATAAACTATGTTCACAGCACTCGAGTACTTGACAATAGACTCCGCGTCAATTCTAGCACGATTATTTGGAGGGGGGGGGGGGGGCTGAAGCTGAAATTGTAATTAAATTAAACATTAGTAAAGATTATCTGTTATATAGAACGATTAAACTCTGTAAACGAAATAAAAAAATAACGTTACGCCATTGTTGCTGATTAACCCCCCCCCCCCCCAACTGCCACCCCTTCTCTATGGCGTCACAAAGCTCAAACTATACCTATTCTTTCCCCAAAAGCAACTATGATTATAAAGAAAATTGTGATACGCGTCGTCATATTTATTTCTTAAGACGTACCTAATCAGTGCTACAACTGCATTTCGATTACATATTTCAGGACAAATGATTTTAGACAAAATGTCCCTGACAAATGATTTCAGGACAAGTTGTCTCAAGGACAATTGATCTCATGGACAAATTATCTCAGACAAATTTCGAACTGTTAATCATGCGTCACACACAGTTGTATAGGGCGCAGAATTGTGAGTTCGCCCTGGTTAGCTTACCACATTATTAGGTCAAGAGTTTGCTTGACCTCATTAGAAAATCAATTAGTGGATTACCTTAATCACACAGGTCTGGATATCAAAGGGATAGTAGGTCAGGTCAAGCTGACATGACACGGGAAACAAACTTCCGGGCAGCCAAAACGTTGTCCCATTGGCCATAACAAAAATAGGTCTGTGGAACAAATGTTGAGGTCAGTGACGGCGTCAAGTCCAACAAAAATAGGTCTGTGGAACAAATGTTGAGGTCATTGACATTGAGGCGGCAAACCCCTCCCGAAAAAATTCTACCGCCCCCCCGAACGAAATGAAATTTTTATAATTTATATAGAAAATATATACTTTTAACAGTGTCCGCCCCCCCCCCCCCCCGAAGAAAGTCTACCGACCCCCCCCCCCCCGAAAATTTCAAGTGCCCTCCCCCCCCCGGAGAAAAAAGTCTGGAAGAAACACTGAGTCCAACAAAAGTCATCAGGGTTAAAACCAGCACGCAGAGGCGTACAGAGTGTGTGTGTGTGGGTGTGTGTGTGTCTGTGTGTGCGTGAGTGCGTGCGTGCGTGTATATGTGTGTGCGCGCGCGCGACCGTCCGGAAGAGGTTTAATAATTACAGTGCATGATTTTCCTTCCCTAAAACTTTACTCGACTCCAATTAAATTCCCCTTAAGAAGCGTTATCCTTTTAAATAAACCGGGAGTGATCTCCCTTAAACTTTCTCAAATATTCTTATATAAAACAACAGGGGATGGGAACTCGGGCTATAGACATGATTTTTAATCCACTTTAAATATTTAAAGTTTTAAAAATAGAATAAAATCTCTAGACAAAAGAATTGCACACCAAGTGAACGCCAAATAAAAAAGTGCAAAATAGTGCGCAATATTATTAGTATTTTAAAAATTTACATTAGTTTTTTGAGAAATCGGAAGTAGCGTAAATTACTACTTCCGGTCAATGGAAATGACTCAAAATTTAACTGAAGGTAGAAAATTAGATCTTTTACTCACATTTGAAATTTCATTTATCTATCTGAAATAGTACTCAAGTTATAGGCTTTTGAAAAATTCAAAGTAGAAAAAGTACCACTTCCGGTTATCGGAAATCGCTCAAACGTTGATACGGATCTACGATTTTGATAAAATACTTATATATGAAATTTCATCAACCTAGCTGTAACGATACTCAAGTAATCGTGTTTTCACACACACACATAGACACACAGACAGACACACAGACATACGGACAGGATTGCAAAGCCCAGTTTTTCAGAATGGATTACGCATAAAACCTCTTAATTTTGATAAATCTGGATTGATAATTTTTTGCCCGATTAAAATAAGTCCTCTATACTTCGGATGTGATGAAGGACTGAGGTGTAATACGGTGAAAATTGTTAAAATTCTGAGTTAAGAGAAAAATTTGAAGCAGGCGCTAATTCGTTTAGGCCAGTTTTTTTTATATTCTATCTTTTGTAATAATATGGTACATAGCTGGATTATAAGTTTGTTAGAATAAGGTCATAAAAGTGATATACGATGGCCAATTACCAGAAACATTTATTGTACAGATTGGAACACAACATGGGTATTTCGTTGACTGGTTGATTGTGTAATGAAACAAGCTAGAGGAAACAAATTGTAATCCAACTGACACAACTGCTCGAAGTCTTGGATTTCGCAGATGTGCGCTGCCTTCTCGTACGTAGTCAATAACAAAATATGCAGAACAAAGTGTACTGGTTGAGGAAGCAGTAATAACCGGTGTAATGATAGTGACACCGCCCATGATGTTCAGATTAGAATCAGCAGCGATAGAATGCGTTTTAACATTTTAAGCCAATGTGTAATTCAAATGCATTGTCAAAAAAATTCAATCAGGATCTATAGCTAAATGTGAAGTCTCTTTTACTGGCTCGTAGCTAGGTTACAGACAGTGAAGAATGAAATAAGAGAAACGAAAATGTGGTTGTTAGGGCACAATATCAGAAAGACAGTAAGTAGCATCACTAAGCAGGTGCTGGTATGAAAGCAGCCGTCCGTTAACATATTTTACAGACGACAACAAATTCTTAATCTTGTTACCTCCCCTTAGTTTCAAATCGTTTAAAAACTTTATTATCTGCCCCTAATAGCATTCACTAGATCGATCGGCTCTACTATTGTAAACATTCTCGTGAACCACAGCTCATCCGACTGTTAGGGTTATCGCATCTAGCTAGTGATCTCCCCTTCTGTCATTGGATATATTAAGCTATCGAATTATTATTTTTTTTATCTCCCCTTAGTTTCAATACCGTTTAATTAATATTTAATGACTAATTAAATATCTAATTAAATTAAAAAAATAGATAGACGTGTATTGTCCTCGAAGTGGAACTTATCTAGAAAGTATGAACGAAATCGATGCATTAGAAGAGGGTCAAAATTGAGTTACAAGATTTGCCACAAACATACAAACAAACAAAACAAAAAAAAAACGTTGCGAACTAAATAAAAGCTGGTAAAAATAGGACAAAATGTGCCAGTGATGTTGTAAACAGGCGCCTTCATTGACCAAAAATACACACGCTGACCACATAATAGGCGTCTTGGTTAACTTTGTGAGACAACTTCTCATCATTCGACTTACGCTTTAGCGTCGTCAAAGAGGTCCCTGTCACCCAGTGTGTTCATCAAGATAACCCTGGGTCTCCAGATGTTCTGTGGGAGGGGGTGGATGACACGATGGCCGCCGTGCATCATGGGATTCCATTGTAGCTTCTGTAATCACAGTATATATATATATATATATATATATATATATATATATATATATATATATATATATATATATATATATATATATATATATATATATATATATATATATATATATATATATATATATATATATATATATATATATATATATATATATATATATATATATAGGGGCATATATATTTATATATATATATATAAATAAATAAATATATATATATATATATATATATATATATATATATATATATATATATATATATATATATATATATATATATATATATATATATATATATATATATATATATAGGGGCATATATATTTATATATATATATATAAATAAATAAATAAATAAATATATATATATATATATATATATATATATATATATATATATATATATATATATATATATATACTTACACAGAAACATGCATGCAGCCTATACTGAGTAAACATCTGACGCCGCCTACCTCATCGGTCCAGAAAAATCCCATGAATCCGTTACAAACAAAGCTCTGAGTGACGTCATTGACCTCCACTATGGACACGACCTCAAATCGCACACTGATCTGTATGGCCTTGGACTGGTTGACCAGTGGCCGGATGTCCGTGTGGTAGACGCCGTTCTCCACCGTCTCGGTGAAGATGGACCGGACGTCTTCGTACGTCTGACTTCCGGCTGGACCTACAAGTCTCAGGCAGATAGCGCACACAACCACAGTGGAGAGTTGGGTGAAAAGTTTACAATAAATCCATCCAATAAACTTGGTTCCAGATAGGAAAAGCATCTTGTGATTGAATCGAGTTAGTTCAGAATCTGTGTATGGTGAAAATTAACATTCATTAATTAGGCCTATATCTATAATTTTTTTTAATACATTTAAATACCGTTTACTCTGAAATTCAAAAGAAAGTAAGGATAAGCATACAACTAATAAATGGTATTTATCCATACCTAAATAGGAAAAGGTAGAAGCAGGTTTAATCTTAATTGTGCGTAAATCGAAAATTCGAAGTTTTGATTAAAGAGCCGTATATTTATATAATTTGTCAAAAACTACTTCCAAAGTCGCATTGACAGTCGTATTCTAATTCTAGCTCTCGTAAATGACATTAAGAAACTACATTTAACCATTTCGCATTCTTTTCACATTTTTCTTATTAAAATATTAACGTGCTGATTTGACTCGCGGGAAAAGCTGCACTCGTTCGGCAAATAGAGAAACACGTTTATCTTTAGATCTTCGCTGGGCTGGCCATGACCACTAATTAGGCCGGTCACGTGCTGAAGCTAAAAAACCAAATCGACTTGAAGGCAAACGTATCCCGTCAAGTAAAATGAGTAGGGGTTCTACATTTGCGAACACGACTAATCAATTTTTCACTCAGCGCCACTTCTGTTTGCCTATCGTTAAATTGTTAAAACAGCTTTAGTTGACAAAAGCTGAAAAACCTGAACCACACACGACCCCCCCCCCAACACAAGGAGCCACCTCGGGCTATTTCAATACAAAGCCAAAAATAGAAATAGAAAATCGATTATGAAATTTTAATTATTTCCAATCGTTACTAATTAATCCACTGATTTCTGGAGTGTTTTTTTTAATCATGCGTGTTTAACACAAAGAGATCAACGGTGCAAAAGGACTAAAACTTCTAGGACAGTTGTCCTCAATCATATTCTTAAATTTCACTAGGATTAAGGTTGTTGTTTTTTAAAGCTACTTTTTCAGAAATGACGGTCAATATGGTAGATGAGGCAGAGTTCACCAATTTCTGAGATCAGGAGTCATCCATAAATGACGTCACGCTTTTTTGACGATTTTTACCTCACCCTTCCCCTCCGTCACACATCGTCACAAAAAGCCAGATTCACCCCCCCCCCCCTAAAATGACGTCACACTTCAGCCTATAACCCCTCCCCCTCAAAATTGCAGTTGAATTTTTCTTAAAATACAATATTTTTCCAAAATCTTGTCTGAACGCTGTCGACATAGAGTATGTTAATTAATTCCTATTACAATGTATTAAAATAGTTTTCTAAAACGCGAAATAACGGCTAAAATTCGTTTTCTAACATTCCTTTTTTAATAAAGCAAAAGTGTGACGTCGCACTATCTGAAACCTCCCCCCCCCCCCATCACACAGCGTCACAAAATTACGGACCACTCCCCCTACGAGTGTGACGTCATTTATGGACGACCCCCTCGCATCAAATGAAGGGATAATGTTGTCAGCACTACGCCTCGTCCTTAATGTCCTTAACATGAGTTAGTTACCAAACAGATGTGGGTGGACACAGATCCGCAACTCGAGTTAGCAGCCATACCATCGTATAATTGTATAATTTCTGTGTTTTTTTTAGTTTTTTTTTTATTATGCCACAATAAAATATACTAATAGTTTTACTATAGCAGGTCTTTATAAGGCACAACATTTGACAAATAAGCTCCCCCCCCCCTTCCCAAAAAAAAAAAGACCCCAGCTTTAAAGCGAACTCTTTGATCACGTAATGACAAAATGTACATAAGGCAACTTAGTCATAGTACCGCTTGACAATTAGATGTTGCCAAAAAATGTCAATAATGTCTATATGACAAGTAAATTCCCATAATTTGGCTATACATTTATTGGACCATCTGTTAGCATTACGTTTCTATGACACGTACAATTCCACAATTTACCAATGAGATATTCGGTCACAAACTATAAACACACAGGCCTACTCGTCAATGTTAGATAGCGAACTACTGTCCTATTTTGACGAACAAAGAACTGATAATATCAATACACCTTTAATAACAGTGTAGATTAATGATTGTAAATCAAATATTTACAACATCTTGCTAGATGTGGTTTTAAAATACCAAACGCTTTACACTGAATAAATAAACACTGTCTTCAACATAGCAAAACAAAATAAATCCGGTATTACTGAAATATTTCTTTCGTTTAGAAAAAAAAACCTGCTAAAGTTGTACCTCCACAAATTTGAATGGTCCAATATATACGACGTCATCCAGTTAACAGAAAAGCATAGTCTTAATTATAATAATACAGGTCTATTATTAGCTCACTCATAAGATTAAAAAAAAAAAACAAGTTGAGTCTACTCTAAGCTTAAAGGATCAAACATAAGTCACGTGATAAAAAGTTTACACACCTTTTATTTCTCACGCATGTAGCAACGTGATTTGGTTATGGTCCAGTGGCGTCTATGCTCCATACAATCTCAGAATAGAAATTCTTGAAGTGTCGTAATGAAATCACGGTGTGAAATAGGCGTCGGTTGACTCAACCCCCCCCCCTCATACCCCACCCTGTATATTACATAGGTTATAGATTTACGTAAGTATAATTTAAAAGGGACAAAGTACTCTTGTCAAAATATTCGGTCACAAAATGTAACAATTTTGTTTGGCTTTTAAGAAATGTTTTATTAAACATGTTTTTATATTTCCCTTTCAGATTATGTCAACACTTGATTTTATAAGAGAGATTTCATGTAGGTTGTTGAGTTCGAAAACAGGTTCGATAATCAGGTCAGTTAAGGCAACTTTGAACTAATAATACAATTAGGCCAATGTAGTGCTGACCATACCACGCCAATGGCTTAGAATAACATTGTTATTCCAGGCAGGAATCTCTTCGCTCCCCCCCCCCCCCCCCCGTCAGAACGAATTCAAATTTATATAGAATATATATAATTTTACCAGTGTCCGTTCCCCGGAAATTTTAGCCCCCACCCCCCCCCCCCCCCACAAAAATCATTCTGTAAATCAAAGACAATCCGTTGTTTGAGTGTACACACTTCGGGTGACATGGTGCTGACCACACTGTCAGATTATTTAGGCGACAATTTGCTTTCCCGTGCTATGAACCAAACCAGAAACCCACACGACCCTCACCTAAAACTTCCAGATATTGACAAGTCAAATTTTCGACTATTGGTCTCATGCGATCATACAATGAGGACTGTCGTGTTTCACAAATGTACACACAAACATGAATTTTTTTTTTGTCTTTTCAAACGATAAAGTTGATTCCACAAGGTGGGCAACTCTACTGTACTAAGAAAGATAACTCTGCTTGCTGTGCTTCTTTCTCAAGTGTGAAAAAAAATATCTTTACAATAAGCTTTGAAATGCATGGAAATAGACAAACGTGAATTCTTTTGGCCACGAATCAGATTGCCTACATATTTTAGCCGATTATGCCTTAAATTTTATTGAGAAAAAAAATCACGATTTTCTTCCTGTTTTCAGTGCATTTAAAGCATATTATAAAGGTTTTTATATTTAGTTTTATTTTCCTCTACTTACTTAGTAATTCATTACAACTAAAGTTGACACTACATAGGCTTTAACTATAAATTATTGCCTTAAAATTTCAATTAGTAGTTTGCAATATCTAAATAGAAATACTCTGCCCTTTCTCAGTGTGTGGCAAAAATCATTCAGCCTGAAAAAACAATTCACCATAGAAAGCCATCTGATACAGCAATTGCTAGTATTTGATCTGATTTCCCATTTTATTATTAAATTGAGTAATTTTTAAATGAAATTTTAATGACTAACCAAATGTCTAATTAGATTAAAAACATATGTTCTTGCATTGTCACCAGAGTATCTGGAAAGTTTGAATAAAATTGCTTCATTTGAAGTGGGTCAAAATGAAGGTACAAGATTTACCCCACCCAACAAACAAAAATACATTGTAAACTAAATAAAAGCTTATAAAACAAGAGAATCTAAAAGATATTTTTTAAAGCTAGTAGTAAAATATGGAACTTATGTTCACTTAACAAAATGAATTTAAAACTAACTCAGTATTATAATAATTTATTTTTAAAATTTATATTTAATGATACATGTTTTCTACATGTTTAATATGAATATAGCATTGCATAGGTGCAAGAGAATAAAAGTGAGAATACAGACAAAGAATGGACAAATGAGAATATAGACAGGAGAATGGACAAGTAAGAATATAGACAAAAGAATAGACAAGTGAGAATATAGACAAAAGAATAAACAAGTGTATAGACAGGAGAAATAACAAATAAGTGTAACTTTAAAGGCAAGAGAATGGACATTTTAAAAAGAACTGGAAAAGAAAAATGTATAAAAGTTGTGCTTGTCAACTACCACTGGAGTACAGACACTAACATATTAACAATCACACATTGGGTTTAAAGGGAAGGCACTAACATGTTAACAATCACACATTGGGTTTAAAGGGAAGGCACTAACATGTTAACAATCACACATTGGGTTTAAAGGGAGGGCACTAACATGTTCACAATCACACATTGGGTTTAAAGGGAAGGCACTAACATGTTCACAATCAAACATTGGGTTTAAAGGGAGGGCACTAACATGTTCACAATCACACATTGGGTTTAAAGGGAGGGAACTTGGGTAGGAGATGTTTTTCAATTTTGCAACATAGCTTTCCTGTAAAAATACAACTATGGTGCTGTATTACAAGTTTGGTGTCCACTTGACATAAAGCACTTTTATAACAAATAGAACAAAGTTAACACCAAACTTGTAACACTTGTGAAAAGATCACAACAATTTACACAATAGTAGAGTTAAAAATGTATTTACAAGTTTTAAGTAAACTAGTGGATCTAGTTCCTTTTTCATAAATATATTCTACTAAAAAAATAATTATAAAATTATAGTATTATACAATTACAAAAAGAACTTAGATGCACAAAAGAAGGCATGTCACCAACATGAAAAATTGTAGCTAACTCAAACACCATAAAAACTAGCTCTCTCCAAAACAGATCAAATTTTCTTCCGTCTTAAAATAAACAAACTCTCTAGAGTCACCAAAAAACGAGGACCCATTGAGGGAACTAACCGATGAAGACAAGCTCGCTGACAGGCCAAAACCATCCGGTACATCTGCCATACAACAATCCACGGTCGACACATTCCTAACAACAGACTCCCTCCTGAAAAAACTGACCGGGACTTTCTTCATCTCCGGGTTGGCCTGCAGTGCTGTGATAGGAAACGTGAACGTACGCGACGTATCCAAGTCGCATGTTTTATACGTGTTTAAAACAGTGTTTGCGAATCCTGTCAGGTCTTGGTTCTCAGTGAATGAGTCAATCAAGGTGAGTATTTCCAGGCAGTGATGCAGCTTGCTTAGAATATCATACTGCACAGTTAACAAGTGGCTGTTCAGTTCTTCCATGTTCACAATCTCATATCTCTGACGGCTTAAAGTTTCATAGAAAGATTGCCACTGCACTGAGGTGCACAGGTTATTGTTAAGAAAAATGGAGGCGTAGTCTTTTCTGATCTTCTCCATCCCTATCTCAGCAACAAGCTGCAGTATCAGGCTCCCAGAGAGGGGAGGAAACGATGCGATGCCGGAGTACGACTGGCGCACGAGTTTGGCTATGGTTGTCTGGTTGTCACGGTGGATGAAGACTTTGAGCTCCCCTTTCCTGAGCTCACAGAAGGTCAGGTTCAGACAATCCACTATCTGCTTGTAGTCTGAGCAGAGGCTGATTATCTCCCACAAGCTGTCAGAGAAATCTTTATCAGAGCTGGGTTCCAGATTGAGACGTTTTGCTGTTCCACTCAGCATCCCTGAGATGCATGTGTGTTTGTCATGTCGACTCAGAGCTTCAGTCATTCCCAGCTAAAATATACAAATATTTCTAAAATAAACAAGTTAAATTCAACTATAAGATGTATTTGATTTTGTTTAACAATTTACTGTCCAGGCTCTGAAATTTTTCTTGCACTATGGCCAAGCAAAGGGACATAACTTTTTTAAAATTGTTGTTTAGAATAATAAATTAATAAAATAAAGTCAATTTTAAAATTAAAATGCAGATGATTGAGTATTACTTTAAATTAAAATGCAATAAATATTTTTATTTTAAAAGCAACAACAAATAAATAGTGAAAAATAAATGGCGTACAAAGAACAGGAATTTTCGGCAGCATAAGACAGTATCACATAAGAAAAATCTTGGCCAAATACGGATAATTGGTTTTTTGCAAAACCATGACAGAAGACTTAAGGAACAAACCTTAATGTTATTAAAGAAATCCCTCAACAGCTTGACTGCATCAACTGTTTTAGTAGACAAGACTTCTGGCAGCTCTCCAGTCCTCAAACCCTCTACAATGCCTTCAACTTTCTTCAGCTGGCAGTGGTGGTAAAACACAGAGCTTTGTTCACTCCCTTGGGATAGGATATAACACAACTAATGAGATCAGTAGCAAGAACAAAAACTTCTAAAACACACAGTTCTGTACACTGCCTGGGGATATGGCACAACTAATGAGATCAGTAACAAGAACAAAAACTTCTAAAACACATAGCTATGTACACTGCCTGGGGATATAGCACAACTAATGAGATCAGTAACAAGAACAAAAAACTGAAATGAAATAATTCTGATGGGTGGTAAAGGTTACCCCTTCAAACCTAGCTGTTCATGAGACAGGTGAAGTAGACCTCGGCATATGAAGGGATAATGTGGTCAGCACTATGCGCAACCGCCTTTACATTCCATAACATAAGTCAGGTACTCATCAGAGCTGGGTGACCTTAGAGATATCCCACTGGTTCTCATCCAAGATTTGAACACAAGACTTTTGGGTTACCAGTCGTGCCCTCTACCTTTCGGCCCTGCGATCCAACACACTGATGGGATTCAGAACAGAATTACTGAGCAAAGGCTGAACTAGGGGTAAAATAACTGTACCTGGGACAACATTAACTTGCAAGTTGAACACTGCTGACTGCAGCTTGGTCAGCTTCATGCTTCCAGTGTTATCTGACCACTTGACTTCCAGGCACAGAGAGCCCAGGCCATCTTGTCTGTCAAGTATTTTATACTGACTTGTCATCTGGTAGTTTTTACCTTAATAGTAGATAAGTAAGGAATAGTTTTAAATGTTTTGAATAACTATATTCAATGGGTTAATATTTTTTTTATTAGTTTATTTATAGAAAAATGTAATCAACAGCGTTAACATAAAAAAAACAACAACTAAGGAAACAGAATTAAAGTAATTTAAGTTATATATTTCCTTGTTATTAAGAACATTTAGGCCAAATTTAAATATACAGAAATGTTGACTCAATTTGAAAAACAAAAATGCATAAAAAATAAAAACATACCCTTCTTATCATAAACTTCATCAATAGAAGACTGCTTTATTCTGCTGCACATCACTTTAAAAGTCTTCACAAACATTTTCCCTTCAACAATCTCCTTGTGAATACCAGTGAGTATGGTCTTCCTGCTGTCCTCACCATCACACAAGACTATTATCAGCGGAACACTTGCCTCTTTTTTCTTTTTAAATTTAGACAAAAGTAGCTTTGCGTCTCGGAGGGACAACTTTGAACCAAGATCAAAAGTATTTTTTCTGATCTTAATGGAATATGGAATGGGTGTTGACGTCTCAGGGCTGGAGGATAAATTAGCGATGGCTTGGAGCTTCAGGGGTGACCCCATGATACTCTTGTCATCAAACACTGAAATAGATTTTTCTGAACAGGCTGAAAGTTCATTAGCTTCAACATCAACAAATCCATTTAGTGACTTTTGGTTCTTTAATGTAATCAAGGAAAATGGCTTTTGTCCTAACTCTTGGCCGAGCAGAGAGCGTAATGTTGCCAGGACACTCTCTGGCAATGCATTGTAACAGTAGCTGTTCAAATTTAAGTCTGAGTCCCCATTCAGGTCCATTTTTAAAGCATGCTCTGAAATTTAAAACAAATTTATTTGCTTTACTAAAAAAATCAATTGTTATATCTAGAATGGATTCTAGAAAAAAACAAAACAATTTATGTTATTAGTAACAACATAAAATGTTTTTTTTTGTTTCACTTCAAACATCAATTCTAAGAAGAAGAATTTTTTTTGTTAGGACATTACATACAGTTACAAAATGACAATGGTATCTATAAATACAGGGAGAACTCAAAGCCATTTATTTTATTAAAATCTAATTAGGCCAATTAATTTTAAAATAATAGAAGATAGCCCTCTACTTAACTAACAAATTGTGTTTAATAGATGTAGGCCTTCAAACAAAGATCTGGAATAAAGATTTAGTCAAGCTAGACTCTAGTGTCCATATTGTTAGTCTAGATCAGGGGTCTCCAAACTACGGCCCGCGGGCCGGATGCGGCCCGCGAGGTCCTCTCATCCGGCCCTCGGACTCACGGAGATCCTTTTGTCAACGGAAAAAAAAATTGTTGGAGGTGGCTGAGAAAAAATTCAAAACAAACGGAAAATGAAGCAATGAGTGCAAATACCATTGAAGTAAATGCGGCCAGTTACCCAGTAAATAAAGTAAATAATAAATTACCCCCTTAAAGACTTGTTAAAATAAGGGCGGGTGGGTTTTATAAGTATTTGCCAAAGGAAGATTTTCCTAATATTAAAACTTTTGCATCCAAGTACCTTTCAAATTTTGGAACAACATACAAACTTTATCTAGAATGAAGTAGGCCTACGTGACGAACAATTTGAGAACAAACTTGGACCTCGAGTGGGTTGTCGGTCCCCGACAGTGTTTCTTTCAGACTTTTTTCTCGGGTGGGAGGCACTTGAAATTTGTATATATATATATATATATATATATATATATATATATATATATATATATATATAAATTCCGTTGGGTGTGTGGAGCGTTCTTCGGGGGGGGGGGGGGGGGGGGGGGGGGGCGGCTCAGCCACCCCGAAGAGATGCCTGGAAGAAACTCTGGCCCCCGAACTTATATTTGATAGTTAATGCGGCCCTCGGGCTGAAAAGTTTGGAGACCCCTGGTCTAGATTCTAGTCTAAATACTCTAAATCAATGAAATCTAGATTAGATCTAGATCTATCAAAATTATAAATTTAATCTAGATCTAGACCAGTGATTCTGAACCTGGGTTCAATCGTAACGCCAGGAGTTCTGTGAGTCAGTGTCAGGCAAAGGTAAGGACATACATTCGATTTGCGATCAGATTTTGTCATCTTGAATGATAAAACTAGCAGCCACAGCTGGTAGATAAAATATCAAATTTGATATGATAGCACAACATACTACATAGATCTAGTAATAAAGTACGTCGGAGTGAGATAACACGTAACTGCAACATATTTCGGTAATCTATCGTTTTGGGTATGTAAAATCGCCTGCGATTTGTAATGTGAAAAACAGGTGACTCCTTAAATTTTAATAATTATTTCACATTTTGAGGAAGATTTATGTTTTAAAAAATTCAAAAATGTTTCCTTGATTCATTTATGTACCTGTTTTTAAACAATTGAATTAAAACTTTTCCGTCATAAATGAAGACTAGCGATGTTTCCAACAGATGCTACCATGCTTATTTACTATATTTACTATAGCAGCCATCTTGTCTAAGTTTTATTTTTATAAGCTTTTAGCGCCAGATTCAGGGGGAAGCCACTCTATTTTACAAATGGCTGCTGTTTATATAGCAAATCTTGCTCTCAGACACTGCTGTTTAAAGTTAATTTCTGGCCTATATCGATATATTTAGCCATTGATTTAGGTTTATTATTCATTTATCTACAATATTTGACACAAAAGTATGACAATATACTTCTATTAAAGCCTTGACAATGAGGTAACGTTTTCGTACATAAATAGCCGCGGGCGATTTTACGTACCCAAAACGATAGATTACCCATATTTTAGTTAGTCTCATAAAAATTCAATTTTCTTCAAATTATAAAAAGAATAGCATATAATTGTAGAGCTTTAAAAATGCAATCCAACAGTACCAATTTTATTAATTTAGCATAATCGGTTGATTAAATATAATTTTTTTAGTGTCGCAAATAAAATATATAGAAACGCGACCAAAAACGCAGGTAAAAAGTCAAATTCACTTGTTTTAAAGCTAGTAAGCAAGAAAAGACATGATTCTTTCTTACTATTGAAATCAGTTTGCTTATACCTACATTTTTTTACACCAAGTAAATAGTTTATATAAATTTATAAAATGCCATTTATATAATTTATTGTATGTTTTGTGATGAATTTTCAATTGGAAAATACCGCATTTGGAAGCAGAAAGGTAAATTCTACAGAACAGATGTTTGGAATGTTATAGATTATAGATCTAGGCCTATATCAAAATGTTTGTTTAATAAAATTCAATTAGAGTCCACCCATTTCTGATGGGTACCTGATATACATTGGGGAAATTAAAGGTAAAAAGTAAAGGCGGCTGTGAATATCGCTGACCACACGGACAATCACTTCATATGCCGAGGTCAAGAAACATGAACTTCATCTGCCAAATAGATTGCTTTGTCTACAGAGGAATCTTAATTAATGTTTACAGGGGCCTAATAAAATTGAGTTATGTTTGTAAAAACATTAGGCCTAAGCTTTAAAAACTTATTTTGGTCAGTATCGGAAAAAATAAAAATCTTTTCGACTAAATGGGTTGAAAAAAGCTTTGAATTTGTTTCATTGTTTGTTATTATATCTTGTAGTATTTGGAATTGAAGCTTTCTTTCTTAATTACAAGTTGTATTAATTTCAAGCCTTAATGTAATTTCTTTTTAATTCAGTATTAGCCTAAATGTAAGGTATGCTACAGAATTCAGATATTACCTATGGTTTTGTGATTTTTATGTTTATAACATTTGTGTTTATGAAATGACCTAATGAAGTTATCAAGCAAACTGTTTTATTATTATTTTAATAGGCCTGCAAGTTATAAGTACAAAATATAGATATCTAATCACTAGATCTAGGTCTAAGTTTAAGAAAAAACTACCAAAAGGGTTTGAAATACTTAAATATAGTACTAAAAGTAGCTATGTTTTGAAAAAAAAAAATCTTAAACTGGAGACATTCAATTTAAAAGTCATTATAAAAACTCCACGATCTAGATTTATTTCTAGATCTCTAGTAGGAATACAGATTTAGAGGCTTTCCCATCAGTATCAATGTACTATCTTAGCTATGTGGGAGGTCAGTACGAGTTCACTGGGAAAAAAATCGGAACTGCCGTAGGGGGGTGGGTTTAGTGCGCAAATGCTCCTGACCGATTGCCAAAAGGTACAGAAATTCTAAAGATACATTTTAAAAGAAAAATGGACGGCTGAACTGCAGTTATCAAAATATCTGTGTAAGTAGAAGTATAAATAATAATATTTTACACAAATATAGCTGTCTTTTGCTAAATCTAGCTCAATTTCAACGAAAATCGCATCCGGTCGCAATAATTTTTATATCAGCTTGTCGGCCATTCAACGATCTATCACGTGTAGCAGACGCCAAACAGATTTACCCGTATGGTATTGCGCGAATGCTATTTTTAGCAACAGTGCCAGGGATCGAAAAAAACGAACTAGAAAGTGGCCATAAAAAATCGGGTCAGGGGAGGTAATTCAACTCGCGTTATGAGACTAGCTACATATTTCTATATTGTGGAACCCTTGATATCAATAAACTCGTCATGCAGTAGTAAATAATTCATTATTACTCAATTATTCCTGTTTGTTTTTGTGTAAAAATCATTGATGATGCAGGATTTCATAAGACTAAGATCAGAGTTTGCCCCCCCCCCCCCCCTCTACCCACCAGAGAAAAATGTCTGAAAGAAACACTGCATCAGTGCTTAGCCTAATACTAATTAATAATAATTATAATAATAAAGAATGGTTTGGTGTATGCGCAAATGAAGCTGGTAGACCTAGGTCTAGTCGGTAACTTCAAAAACTAAAAGTCACCATGTTTAGAATCTAATCTAGAGTCTAGATTTCTAGCTTAGCTAAGCTAGAATATATATTATATAATATATATTCTAGATCTCTAGATCAAGCCCAAGATTAGTTATTTATTATTTATTAATTATTACGGCCTAGGCCTAGAAATTTTTAAATATTAGATCTACGTCTATTATCTAGGTCTATAGACATCTGTTTTTAACACCTGCATTGTTATCGTCGTATTGTTTTGTCGTCGGACCCATGGTGAAGGTGTTAGGAACTGTTAGGAGTGTTACTGTTAGATCTAGATCTACTAGGCTAGTTGTTGATGTTATTGGCCCACCAGCCGCCGTATTTTTAAATACACGCTGGCCAGGTTTTCTGCACATTTTTAAATTTATTTATTTTTTTGCCTCAGACATGTAGTTCTAGATCTAATTTACAGCGTCAATTTGTTATAAAATAGATTCTAGATCTAGATCTAGTCTATATTAAGTCCGCTTAAATTTTTTCATCATAGGCTTTTGATCTACTTTCATTAATTGAAAATGGTTTACATTATAGTTAAAGCCTAACATAAGACAATTTTACTTCCGGGATTTTGGCTATAACTAGATCTAGATTTACAAGGTTTTTTTTTAGCTCACGTTGGACTGGCTTTCTTTGGTTCAAAACTTATACTTAGATCTATATTGTCTGTATTTTTAAAATTAGTTTTAGTTTATTATTTTATAACATTGTTAAAAAAATATAAAATTTCATTGTTTTTTATTAAAGCGTTTGTAGCCGATTTTGTAAGAAGTATAAGTGTAACCAAATCTTAACATTGGCATAATCTTTATTTTTTTTTTCTTTTACTTTATTTCTATCGATTGTGGTTAATATTCCAGGGTGTGTGTGTAGGGGGGATGGGAGGGGGGGGGGGGGGGGACACGACACTGCCAAAAGTATACATTATATTTCGTTGAGGGGGAGGGGCGGGAGTCGGTGAATAGACATTCTTCGCCCCTCCCCCCCCCCCCCCCAAGAGATGCCTGAAAGAAACTCTACATTTGATAAACCTTCCAGATTCTTCTTGCAGACAATATACTATAGACGCGACACCAACCTTTGGTGAAAGAGCTGCCAAGTCCAGGCTAAAGAAGAAATCAGAGGGTGGGGTTTGATAGGTCGCACTCCTTCACTATGTACCAAAAAGTTACTAAAGTAGAATCTTAATACTGTCCCAAAAACACTTTGCGAGGTGAAGACAGCAAATTTTCACACCGTTTAGATTAAAATTTCGTTGTGTGATTAGTGGAAAGTGACACAATAGGACCTAAGCCTCAAGTTATTTGTCCACTTTCTGTATGGCAAAGTACATATGTGGTCCTTGAATGATATTGTAACAATGAAACTTACATGCTATCTGACTTTCTATACAGATTTCATCTTAATTTTCATTCCATACATAGTACATAGTTTGATTAATTTTCTGTCTCGTTTATTATATTAAAAATTTGAAATATATTTGTTAAATATATATTATTAATATTTCCACAAAAGCATTTTTTCAACTTACCGTTACAGATATGAAGTAGATATTAAAATTAAGATTTTGGCAGCAAATGGTTTTTCTATTCAACATTTAATTTTTTTTTAGATATGAAATAAACTTTAATAAACACTTGGAACACAAGGGTCTTTTATTTTTTTAAAACCCTTACAGCCCCAAACCATGTCAATTCACTTCATAATAACCATCCATACCTGCCCTCTGTAGACTTCAGTAGGACTATAGCAAGGGTTGACAGACATGTTGGTACAGAGTGTGATCAATGTAATCTTTAACACTACTTTTTTATCAAGTCTGATATTAGCGAAATAAACAAATATAAAGTTATTGTAACCAGAATATTGAAATAATAAACTATGGTGTTATAAATGTTATATTGTTTGCTTCCAACTTTTCTAATATTAGGAGAAATAAAAAAACAAGAAAGACGTTAAAATTTCTTTCAAATCAGTGTATTAAAACAGCACATAAATTTCCAATGGTTGTAAATGTTATTTTAATGATTCTAGATACAGAACAAACAAGAACAATACACCCAGACAACACCTTCTCATTTCCAACTATTTATAGGAAATCAGATACAAACAGGTCATGTGACAAGAGGGATCATGTGACATTTGTTTACTAATAATTCTGTTGTGTACAACTTTTCTATAATAACTGGTATCACAGGCTATCACAAATGTAAAGGTTCCACTGTACATTTTTTGTGTGTGAACAGCCGAAGCTGTTATTTATAGAGCATAACGACAAATTTAAATTAAACAAAAGGTTCACCAGAACATGAAACAAAAAAATATTAACAGAAATAATCAAGCGTATTATTTCTGGCAAAAAAAAACAAACTTAAAATTAATTTCTAATAATAATTCTTCAAATATATGACACCTGATGTGTATGTATGTAACAGTACACATATTTTACAAACATTTGTGTATGTGTTCAACTTGAACACACAATCACACAATATATTTTAAAAATGGTGTAATAAATTTACATATTTAGTGAATGTCAATAAACATTAAAAGAAAAATTGAATATAATGAAAAAAAATTGACTGTTTAGATCACATACAAGGCTCAACATTTGTATACACTTGTAACATGAAATAAAAATGGATTGAAAACTCTTAGTAAGTTACTTCCCTTGTAAGGTTATACTGGCTTTTTACAGAAACGTTCAAGGGTGTTTCTAGTTAACAGGGAGATAATATTACACAGAAATTAAGACAAGAAAACAAAAACTCCAGTATGAGCTGATTTATTTAATATTGTTGATAGAGAAATACTTTTTCTTAAAATAAAATAGAGAAATCTTTTTGTTTAAATTAGAGAAACACTTTTTTTCTTATGTTAAATCTATTTCTTGACCCAGAGTATGTCACATGTTAAAAGTCTTGGGTATATCAACAGCTGTGTTGGATTATAGGTAACCTACAGAGCTTTAAGCAGTTATACTCAGCCAATATGTAGTACTGGTGTACAGGTGGTGAACTTTTACCTGCTTTGTTTTTTAATGGTTAAAAAAACATCCCCTCCCCCAACACCTGATTTTGCTTGAATAAAACATGATGCAATTCTAACTAAAAAAGACAGTAAACTCTAGTGAAGAGAAAAGGGTGTGTTGATAATCAGAAACAAACAGGAAGTGGAGAAAACACCCAAAGATAAAAAATCCTGGAAAAATGTTTTTTTTTTTTACAAACACTTGTCTATGCTCATTAATGTTTTAATTAATTAGGTAGACGAACCAAGAAAAATAATTATTATCAAACAAAAGCCCAAGAGACACACAAAAAACCTACATAATATTAGCATTAACTGAACCTGATCAAACCAACAGTAAAAATAATGTTTGTTAATAATATAATTGGGAAAAATCCTTCAAATGTTACATAAAGAGTTAATCTCACCAGACTGTCTTGAATTATTTAAAAAAAAAAATCTCCAATGGAATAAGAATAAACAAAATATTAACCAGCAAGGTTTAACAACAATTATGATTATAGATGCAAGGATTTTAACACCAACTTGTAAAATACATCCTGGCAAGAATTATGAAATGGTAAACCAAAAAAAAAAAAGGAAATTATATCCGCAAATAAGCCAAAAACAGAATATCTTTTACTGTATATTTACAAACAACTCCCCTTTACAAAATACATTGAGGGTATGATACAAAAAATAATATTTTGCATGGTGAACACACAATGCATAATTTCACCTCAAAAAAAAAATAGACAAAAATCTGACATGTTTGGAAAAACAAGTGAACTGTGTTGAAGTGAACACACTTAACTCTCTTGACTCACTATGAGTTCTAGCTTCTGGCTGATCTAAATGCAAAGCTCAAAACATAGAACTAAACAATATTTAAAGAGATAATGAACAGAAATTTAAGTTGAAACCAATAAAAAAAAACGAGGCAAGTCGGATTAAATGAGCATGATTTAGATTTAAATACAAAAAAAATGACCCCAACGATGGGAACGGAAGTTATCCACGCCTTTTATTTATATGACTCACCAGTATGGAAGTTAAAAATGTTTACAGGTCTGGTAAATCTGTGTACAATTTTAAAATCACTGGATGGTATCAGATATCAACACCAGTTTGTTTGGACTGTCTGGGCTTGTCTTACTGGCTGGTTATTTTATCATGAGTTGTCCGTCGAGTCTGTATGTTCTCTGGATTCATTCATTTTTCTTAATCCTCGTCATGTAGGTAGTTTGTCTCTTACTCCATTCATAAATGTCATTTACCAGCACAAACTAAAATTTCCCATGATCCTTCCGTATGTTTTGACAGGAAATGTTAATGTCGATGTTGCACAGGGATTTTAAAATGTGTGTGCGTTTCTGCATACTCCACACCCCAAAGCAAACTCCTCTCCTGTAGGGGGGTGCACCACATGCAGGGGACATTCTTCACCTTCCATCTGTAATCCTTTCGGACCTAAAGTAGCAAAATTGGTTATTCACACTACAAAAATCAGATTTACAAGTACCTTTAAATCCATAAGTTGGTTAATAGTTATTCCTGATGTAATTTATAAATATGAAAAAAAAAACTTCACCAGAATTGACAATAAAAAAAAGCAATTTAAAAGCAAATTAAAAAAATTTAAAGAGTACGGATTTATTTAAATGGTCATTCTGATAAACGACCATATATAATCACAAGTGTTCTATCTATATTCTTAGATACAACTACATTTTCCACATATATGAGTCATTTCAGCCTCAATTTAGTACAAGTTATCAAATTAATTCATGATAAAACAAACTAAAACATGACAATCACAACCATCTTTTCACTTACCAGCTGGGCAATGTGGCAAGTCCTTTTTAGGGATGGCTGTCACTCTCTGGAACTCTTCATGGCAGGGGTTACAAAAGTGTGTTGTGCCAAAGCAGAAGAACACAGCCACAGAGCAGCAGTAGCGACACTTGTACTCCAGGAAGTCGGCTCCGTGCTTGGCACACATCTGGGCCCGGGACACATCAGAGCAGGCGCCACACACCAGCTCAGATGGGTCAAAGTCATCACCACCACCAATGGCTTCATCACACCGGGCCTCACCACCATAATATGCCTAAATAACAAATATATATATATTATATATTTATATATACACACACACACACACATATATATATATATGTGTGTGTGTGTATAAATATATATATATGTATATATATAACAATTACAACATTATATTTTACTTGTAGTTAATTAATGAGCAAAATCTTGACTATTCAATAAGCTTAATATGATCCAAATATGTTTAACAAACAAAATCAGTGAAAAAAAATTACTCCTGTGCTTATCTTACAAAATATAAAAAATAGACACTTTTTGAACAGCTAGAAGATTCTACCATTTTAGACTACCATGCTAAAAGCCTGTCACAAGTCAACATATTTTACAGTAAAAAATATAAATATCCAAAAAGAAGATTGTGTTAAAAAATTTTATGACAATAACTTAATAATTTAACCTAGAGGGTCTAGAGCTTAAATGAAATTTAAACTGTAACTGGCCTTGTTACACAAAAAAACTGAAATTAACATTAATTATCTTGTACTACCATAACTGACCAAGTAACACTAAAAACTAATTAACCTTTTGAAATCATAAATGATCTTGTACTACCAGAACTGACCTTGTTACATTTAAAGCAGACATAATAAGCATATCTGTCCATGGCAAAACCTGCTGGGTCTTGGTAAAACCTGGCACCAGGTGTGGTTATAGCCTCGGCCTTGTCCAAGCCCTCGTACTCCAGCCTCATCAATGCTTTACGTTTCACATCTTCTTTCAAAGCTCTGATAGGCTCCAGCAGAACTTTCAATGCTGTGTGATCTATTGTAGTCTGGATAAAAGAATTAACAGAATTTTACATCTTGAATTTTTATAATCTGTATCTGAAGTTACATGAACTGTGACATATTGTTTTCTGATAGGGAACATGTTTTAAATTTAATTAAAAGTAAGATATATAAATATATTCAATGATAATAAGATAAAAGTAAATGGAAAAAAATGGCCATTAACTTTGTTCTCCCAAGATTAGGAGATAATTAGATGATCTGCATCGTACATTGAAAATCACTCACAAAATTATGCCCTGCACACCACATCCTCCCCCCACCCTTATCTTACACCACAATATCTTTTATTGTGAAAATTGACTAAGCCCCATCCATTTCATAACGTTTAACCACAGGCACACACAAACATTTTTAAAAAAACTATAATGTCTTTTAACATATTACCATCCTCCAAAAAATTTGAAAAAAAAATGTACTACCATTCTTACAACTGTATCAATTACTAAAGCTTCACATAAAGAAAGTATGTTACCTCATGGTCTAATTAAATAGACTAATTTTAAATCCCTGTAAGTTTTCCTAGTCTATAGATAAATATAAGTAAATGGCCTTTCAATCAATCCTCCAAGAGCAAAACAAAATTAGCTGTTTAATGATGTAAAACAAAGAATAAAGTGCTCTAAGTAATCGGAGGCTGCTACAAAATAAATTAGTCATTAAGTCCATCACTAAATAAAACAAAGTATAAAATCAGAAGTGAAACAAAATAAATTGATCATTAGGTCCATCACTAAATAAAACAAAGCACACAATCAGCAGCTGTAACAAAATAAATTGATCATTCAGTCCATCACTAAATAAAACAAAGCATACAATCAGCAGCTGTAACAAAATAAATTGGTCATTCAGTCCATCACTAAATAAAACAAAGCATACAATCAGCAGCTGTAACAAAATAAATTGGTCATTCAGTCCATCACTAAATAAAACAAATTGGTCATTCAGTCCATCACTAAATAAAACAAAGTATACAATCAGCAGCTGTAGCATGAGCTCACCTTGCAGATAGGACAGAGTGAGAACCCAAAGGTGATGCGGGCACCAATGTAGCGCTTGCTGAGTATGATCTTGGTGCAGTGCAGGTGGAACAGATGGGAACAGGAGAGCTGAGGAGGAATAAACGGTTGAGTTATCTTCACACCAAGGTTGAGGGGGAGGGGGAGGTGGGGGACTTTTCTTCTTATTTCTCAATTGTAATGTTGGAAGGGATTTCCTCCAATGCAGTTAAGTAGTACATGTCAACTTGTCAAATTTCTGCCTGTTTTTCTTTGTGGATTTACTTCCATAGCCTTTGTACATGTAAGAACAAACTATAATGCAGCAGTTGTTTCTAGGTGCTGTACAATTTTTTATAGAAACAACTGTTGCATTATAGTTTGTTCTAGATAGGCCTTGAGGCAGTGACCAGAAATATACGCAACAGAAATTTGTGCAACAGACAATTGTATAGATAACTAAAAAATGTTAGCAAGGAATTTCCACAAGTATAATGTATCTTTCCACGATATATGACAAAATTGAACTGTATTAGTATATAATGAATTTGTTTTTGCTAATGTTTCTATCTTTCTGTTGTGCATTTTCTGGGAATCTGTTTATGAAACCCCAACAGATTCTATTAATTTGGACAATCCACAAAAATCTATAAGGCACCCAACCTGAAAGAGTGTATGCGATACACCAACAGATTCTATAAAAAAAAAATCTATAAAGCACCCAGTTTGAAAGAGTGCTTGTGATACACCAACAGATTCTATAAGTTGGACAATCCACACAAAAATCTAAACACCACCCAACCTGAAAGAGTGCTTGAGGTACCCCAACATATTCTATTCGTTTGACAATCCACAAAAAAATCTAAAAAGCACCCGACCTGAAAGAGTGCTTGTGATACACCAACAGATTCTATTAGTTGGACAATCCACAAAAAATCTATAAAGCACCCAACCTGAAAGAGTGCTTGTGATACACCAACAGATTCTATTAGTTGGACAATCCACAAAAAATCTAAAAAGCACCCAACCTGAAAGAGTGCTTGTGATACCCCAACAGATCCACCTACCCTAATGGCAGGAGCTGCAGACAGGGCCTCAGTGAAGCAGATCATGCACATGTCATCAGCATCCTGCTTCAGCTGCTCCTGGTCAGCAGGACGGCACCTGTGTAGACAAGGGAGGCAAGGATCCTCCCCAGCTATACCTCCACACAGGTGGCCACATGGAAGAATTTTGGTGCAAGCATTTTTAGAGAACTCCTGCAAAAGTTTTTAAAATATTTAAAAAAAAATACATTTTAAAAAAAAAATGTCATAAAAGTGTCTAATATGTTTACTTTTTATTATGTTTTGAGCCCTCTATTTCTCAAATGTTTTTGAACAATAAAGGGTTGAAAAAAGTCTTATTTTTATATTATGCTTTCAACCACTAATGCTTAAAGTCCTTGGCAATAAATAGTAAATAAAAAACTAATATTTAGAGATAATTTTTAAAACAGTTATATTTAGGTAACTTTTAATTCCAAAGTTACATGAGATCAAGTAAATTAAGTGACTAGCCTTCAGGTATGAAGGAAGTAATCAGAGGGGTGTGTGACTCACCTGACAGTCAGGATCAGAGCAGACGTTGCCTATGGCCAGTAAACCTGTGTTACTGGTCCGTCCACAGAAGCGGCAGGTACCAGGCCCAACAGTGGCATTGGAAGCTTTACCTGGGGATTAAGTTAGAAATGATGAGACTACACACGTCTTTACTTATTACTTGCCTTTTTACTAATAACAAAGAATGCACTGTTTGATATTGAAAGCATTCTAAATATTAATACAACAAATGTAAGCTGCAAATAGCAAGTCTAACTTAGTTTTTATTAAACCAAAATAAAAAAGAAATAAAACTATTTAAAAAACTTTACTTATTTCTTGAGGTTTTAAATTAATGGGTGTGTTGTTTATATACTAAAAATATTGTTATATGAACATACATAGAACTTGCTGATGGCATACCAGGTAGAAAACTCAGCCAAAAATTTTAAACTTATGGTTTAAAAAAATCAAACACATATACTAAGAAATAATAGTGCAATTTTATTAACATTTAACTTAAATTTTAAGCTTAACTTTTAAAATGGAAACCATGGCAACCAACCTTCTCTGAATTCCACCAAAGCTTTGAATGTCCTAGAATCAACAAGGGACATAATCCAAAACAGCTTGATGCGGCCACACCCTTCATGCAGGTCCACTTTAATAGCTTCCTCCTCTTCTTTGAACACCTATTGGGTGATAAGGTAAGTCAGAAAGGATGATTTTTTAAAACAAATTAAATTTCCCATTTATTTTGAGATATATATTCTAAAATAATAAAGTATCTAACATTTTTTATAAATAAACTCAAGAAATAACAAAAATAAAGAGCAAAATTAATAACTTAAAAAATACATCTCAGATGAGGTGAAAAGCCATTGACTGACCTGTCTCTGGTGTCCCCGCATGCGCCTGGGCAGGTGGAGGTACCGGTCACACTCAGCACACAAGTTGCCACAGTCAGTGCACAAGATGACAGCAGGGGTGACACTGTCATCATGGTTGTCACAGGTTGGCTGAGGGTTGGTAGGAAATGTAAGATTTACTACAACTAGTTAATACAAAATTTGTTTTAACATAAGTCCCCAAGTCCTATCCAGCTCCAATGAGTACCTGTCAGCAATTAAAGTTAAAAGACAGTTTGGTGGTGTAAAGAATCCTCTTTAGGCCTAGAGATTCAATGGGCAGATGAAGTAGAGCTGATAATGTTTCTTGACCTCGGTATATGAAGGGATAATGTGGTCAGCACTATGCCCAGCGGTCTTTACTTTCCCAGAAAATGAGTCAGGTACCCATCAGAGCGCTGGGTGGACACAGTGACGTTCTACTGACTTGGACCTGGATTAGCTTGGAGATGTGTTAGCCACAAAATTACTTAATATGATGTAGCCACAGAAATAATCCTGTTGACTAAATCAGCTTATTGTCCTTTGCAGCATTCATAAATGAACTAAAGTTTATAAATACTGCATAGTTATAAAGCACATGAGTTGGTTTGTCAATGGTCAAAATTAACATCCATCTACTGTTACACTTACTATCCTAAAGATATTCCACACATTCACAGACCACTACAATATACCCACCCTTGGTTGTCCGTGTTGATGGTCAGGACTGGACACCCACTCTCCAGAGGACAGCCTGTCCACATGATCTTGGTCCAGTACACACAATGAAGCCAGGGCCAGCCACAACTGTAATCATCAAGTCGCCAAGTAAAAAACAGATGTTAAACAAGAGATGAGTTTATACTTAAACTATTCAAGAATGTAAAATACAAAATTTTACCAAGTAAAATACAAAACAAAAGCCAGAGATGAATTACATTTAATCTGTTGTAGAATGTATTAAAATTATTTAGTTATAGACCAACAAGAAAATACAAATTACCGTAGGAGTTTTAACACAAACTTGAGGATCCCTGTGGCTCTCATTGAGTTTTGTCATATTCAAGATTGCTTCAGCTATGGCAGCTTTTGTGTTGATAGCCCAGGCTTCAGATAACTTTCCCTGCAATTGAAAAAAGAAACAAATTAAGAAAAAAAAGAAGAGATTTATTTAAAAAAAATCTAAAATAGAGTAATGTGTGTGAACAGCTGATCAATAAAACAGCAGTTTTGCAAATGTAGATAATGTTGGTCCATAGTAAATTAAATTAAGAAGAAAAAAGGCAATAGGCTCATAATAATGTGTTTGTGAACAGATGGTCATAATCAAACAGTAGTTTTGAAAAAGGAGATAATGTTGGCCATTGTAAATTAAATCAGAAAGACAATCGGTTGATAAAACAACACATTTAAAAAAAAAACTGAGTACTAACAGCAGCCATATCCTTGACCAGTTCCATGATGCTTGCAGCCAGACCTGTGTCCATTTTACCTCTCATCCACCAGCGGGCAGATCTAGAAAATTTAAGACAAAACAACACTTTACTCACAGCCTAATATAGTGGATATCATAAACGACTGTCTTTGTATAGTCAATCTAAACTGTGAACTCATCTTTAAAAAGACAATGAACAATAATACAGGCAATATTTTAAGTTTAAAACAAACAAATAAGACCCAAAACTTACTATAGTGAATTAAATAAAAGCTTGTTTCAAATAGTCAATCTGCAAAAGGTTAACGTTGCTAACAAATTTTAATAAACCACAGCGACAAATCGGAAATATTGAATTTTTAAAAAATGTTTGGTTTGAGAAGATAAACTGGTTTGATAAAAAATGGTTTAATTTTTTATATAGTCACAAACAAACAGACTAACAAACAAACAAACAAACAAACAACACTGCCATTGTGCAGGTGTTCACTCACTTGGCCGAGTCCTCAAGACACTGGGACATGGTCAGTGTGGTGCACACCTTGGACGGCCCGGAACTTTTTATCTTCATCTGAACATTCAGGGACTTGGCCACACAGGCCAGGAAAACATCCAGGATCCCAGGCACGTCCGGGTCAAAGTCAGAGTCCCCCTCGGACTCCCCGACAATGTTGTAGTCAGGTGGGGGCAGGCAGGGGATGGACAGGATAGGTGCCAGAACCTGGGGCTTCACCCAAGGTAAAACTCTTCGGAAGATTATAGTGATCTGAAAGAAAAATGTTAATGTTATTAAGATTATAGTAATAAGAAAGAAGTATTCTGAATTACTCATTAAGATTAGAGTGACCTGAAAAATATTTTTAATCAATGTCTTTAAGATTATAGTCAAATCAAAGAAAATTTGTAATCAATGGTATTAAAATCATAGTGATCTGAAAGACATTTAAAAAAAAAAATCTAGATTGTTAAGTCATCTGAAAAAAGTTTAAAACCAGCTTCAGTTAAGCTCTGACATTAAAAATATGCAGGAACAAATTTTACATCAGGTAAATCAACTCACCTGTCTTTGAATCCTAGGTGTGGAAGTGTGTAACAAACTAAACAGGTCATAAATCAAGTCAAATTTTACACCAGGTAAACCAACTCACCTGTCTTTGAATCCTAGGTGTGGAAGTGTGTAACAAACTAAACAGGTCATAGATCAAGTCCTGTTGTTGAGCCAGGTACTTCCTGCCCACGCTGGAGCCGCTGAGGGCCACCACCATGGAGACCAGCTCGAAGCAGTAGACATCAGACCCGTGGATTTCCTCAGTGGCGGCAGGCTGCAACAGGGCATGCGCCCACTCTTCTTTCATCTTGCAGGCCTCTTTCTTTATGCCCTGGACTATGTGGTTGCACACCTATAATGAAGATTATAGTTGAAAGCAGTGGAAACTTGAGAAATCTTTATTGGCTTAAACCTTACACACTCAAGTGCTAACCCAAAAGCCTCAATATTTTAACTGAGTTCACCCAGCTCTGATGGGTACCTGACTAACATTAGGGAAAGTACAGGATGCCAGGAATAGTGATGACCACAGTATATTCATATGGGGTTAAAGAGACAGAGGAACTCTACTTCATCTGCCCCATGGACCACCAGGTTTAAAAGGGTAACTTTACTTACACTTAAAACCTAAAAGAAAAAGACTTTTTATACTATTGCCTTATATTTCAGTTATTTTTTAAAGTACATACTTAATTCAAATATATTTAAACATGTTGTAAAAGCTATATTTACTAGTAAAAGAAATTCCAAGAAAAAGTTTTAAAGCAATTATAAAAAATAATTCAAGCTATATTTACTAGTACAAGAAATTTTAAGAATAAGCTTTAAATCAATTAAAAAAAAAACAATTCACCAATGAAACACAGAGAGGAAACACCAACCTGTTTCTGCATATGCGATAGCTTGCTGCGACTGAATAGAATGCTGACCATGTGCTCCTTGAGGTCGTTGTCCCCGTCAGCCTTGTCCTCACGCTTGTCCTCCTCTGTTTCACTGTCTTCAGGACTTGTCACAAGTTTACCAAACACCTGGAAAGTGTGAGAACTTGGTAAATGTAAGCATATTTCATACCTACATACAGTTCAATGGTAGCTAAAAATGTTTGACAAATTTCATTGCATTTCACATCAGAATAGTTAGCTAAATATATTAAAAAAAAAAGAAACAACTTCTACAAGCCTAGACACATCTTCTATAGATATGCAAAATACCTCTAAAAACACACTTTCTACAAACACATCAAAGTTTTTTCAAGCCCAGACAAACCTAAGGCAAATTTTCTACAAATCCGAACAAGTCCAGACAAACCTAAGGCAAATTTTCTACAAATCCGAACAAGTCTTCTACAAAAAACAAAAAAAAGTTTCACAAACAGAACCACCAACTATACAAACACAAACAACACACAAGATGTACCTGAGAGGTGAGAATTCTAAAGACTTTGAGAGTCTCAGCCTCACAGTTGTCCTGCTGGATCTGAGCTGCTCCTTTCTTCACCTCCAGCTCTGTCTCTTCATTGTCTATAGAGCCCAGGATCTGTGGAAGACAGTTAGTGGTTGATTAGGTGTGGGTGGGTGGGGGGGTGGGAAAGGGGACACATTGTCTATAGAGCCCAGGATCTGTGGGGAGAGTTACAGTGTTTGCTTAGGTGTGGGTTAGGTTGAAGGGGGTGGGGAGGGAACAAATTAAGGATCTGTGAAGACAGTTATAGTGTTTGATTAGGTGTGTGTGTGTGGGGGGGGGGGGGGGGAGACATTGTCTATAGAGCCCAGGATCTGTGGGGGACAGTTACATTGTTTCATGAGGATTGTGTAAGGTGTGTGAGTGGAGTTGGGGGGGGGGGGGGTCGTGATTTAGGTGAGGGGAGGAGGGAGCGTGGAACTGTTTTCATATTAAACTAAGGTGAATGCGTTTAACAATTTATGGCTATGATACCTGCTCATTGAGTTATAAAACAAGAGGTCCTATGAAAAGAATGGATTAGGATGGTCAAGTAAGACATCAAGTAAGACAAGCACAACACAAGAAATGTGAATCCTGCACAGATAAAGTTACCTTAAGCTGCCTTAGACGCAGGCTCTGGTCAGCTCCCTTGAGCTCAAGTGTCAGGTGACGTGCTGGAGCATTGGTGGATGTTGGAAGTTGGCAGTTAATCCATCCGCAATGTCGGACATCTATCTCTACCTGGACATGAAGAAAACAAACCACGTTCAACTGACTGTGCAGTGTCACAGAGTCACACAAGTGATTTTATCATTCACACTATGATTAGAGCTCCAGAGAAAAGTTATTTTCTAAAACAAAAAAAAATATTCTCTCACGTGTTTGATTTTCTTGAGGTCATCAGCAGATGTGCCAGCATTGAAGGTCACACTGGAGACTTTATTCTGGAATAGGCAACAAGAAATAAGTGTTAATTGTGCACAGCATAGTTTATATCTCTTGGCTAGTCCTAGAAAAGTTTAAGATAATCTAACATACAAGAATGTTATCCAAGGGAAACAATCTTAGTCAAGATAAATAATTAAAGCTTAGGTAATAACCTAACAAGCATGTGATAAAATAATAAGCCCAAGTGAAAATCTTACATGTCAAAGTAATATCTAACAAGCTCAAATAATAATCTAACAAGCCTGAGATAATCTAACAAGCTCAAGTAATAATCTAACAAGCCCAAGTAATAATCTAACAAGCTCAAAAAAGAATCTAATAAACCTAATAGACAATTAAATAAAAAATAGCAATTCAAAGAGATAATGTAATAAATATCCGAAAAGAATGACATGGCCAATGTAGACTCACCCCAATATCCCTGATGTTGTCAACATGAACGTAGACCACATATGGAACTGTTTTACTTGAGCAAGTTATGGTCAGGACTTTCATCTTGTTCCTGTCCTCATCTCCACTCTCCCAGAATGTCTCGGTTGAATTGTCTGGCAGAAGGGTGGCAGAACAATTACTTATGAGATTTTTGACAGAACAATTACTTTTTAGATGGTTGAAAGAAAAATTACTTTTTAGATGGTTGACAGAAAAATTACTTTTTAGATGGTTGTCAGAAAAATTACTTTTTAGATGGTTGTCAGAAAAATTACTTTTTAGATGGTCCACAGAAAAATTACTTTTTAGATGGTTGACAGAAAGAAAATACTTTCATTTAACAAAAAAATGTGTTTTACTAACTAATAAAAACATTTTAATGTATCATAGTCCAGTATACTTTTTAGCGCAATTTCCATTCTGGAGAATTGCGTTTATTAACTCGTCATTTCTGGGAATGGATGGATGAATGAATGTATGGATGAATGTGTGTCCGGGCTTTAAGTCGTATCTCCTCCTCAACGAAGCAATATCGATGACTAGTTCCAAAAGCAATTATGTTAAGCAAGTTACGAGAATGAGCATAGGCCATAAAAATTCCGGGTTTCTTTCATGTATTTCCCGGAAAAGCCAAAAAACCTCGAAAAAATTCAGTTTTTGGCCCATATCTCGGCAACCAGACCACTTAGCGACTTGAAACATGTACCAATCGATTCCTGCCATAATTTAGAACAATATTGCCGAAGAAAGTTTTCAAAAATATCCTCTCGTTCGGTCACAAATTTTAAAATTACATAAACACCTACAAACCGATCGTTCTTCTAGCTTGAACGCACCCCAGCAATATACGTCAGAGCTATTTTTAGATAACATAAGGAAATTGCGCATAAATGTCACTAGACTTTTTTATTAACTTGTTTATCAGATGGTTGAAAGAAAAAATACTTCTTAAATACAAAGCTCAGTATATTGTACCAGAAGGTCAGTATAATTCAAAACACAGGCAACTAATGTTCATTGTTATATGTACAATATGGTAGGCAATCTTTATTGTTACATGTAGAAGTAATTGAAATATCTTCATATTATGTTCAAGTTAATTGACTAGCTTGTTAAGAAACTCAACTGAAAAGTTAAATTTTTTTCCAACTTATACATCTATAATACCTCCAGCTCATTTAACTGTAAAACGTATATCTGACCACCTCACATACTCACCTGTTAAACTTCCTATCATAGCCTGTCTACTGGATGCCTTTAGGTCAGCCATATGGGTCAAGTCCTTCAGACACAGGACTTTGTGTGAGACCTGGCAATACAAAATGTCCACATTTTTATTCAATGTAAAAACTACCACGCTTGTATGGTACCTACAAGCAACCATACTTTTATGGTACACAAAATGTACCATACTTTTATGGATCATAAAAATATGGTTACTTGTATGGTACCTACAAGCAACCATACTTTTATGGTACACAAAATGTACCATACTTTTATGGATCCTAAAAATATGGTTACTTGTATGGTACCTACAAGCAACCATACTTTTATGGTACATAAAATGTACCATACTTTCATGGATCTAAAACCTACCACATTTTTATGGCACATGAAACCTACCACTTTTTATGGCGCATAAACTTACCATATGTTTATAGTATGTAAAACCTAACATATTTATATGGTACATGAAACCTATCAAATATTTAAAATGTCATTACACTTTCACTCCAACACACATAAATCATTTATATTATAGAAAGAAACAAGACATTCATAATACACAGAAACACCTTAAAAAATCAAACAAAACGCATTTTTACATTAGAAATTGTTCAAGTATTAATGATTATATAATTATATACTAATAATTAGACCATAAAGTGTAATCTGAGGTTCAATATCAAGAAATGATGTGTTGGCACAAGGAGAAAGTTAAGCCACAGAAACTGCTCCTACATACTAAACAAGGGAGAAATATAGTACACAGTTTAGTTCTACAGAGGCTATGTAAACTGCAGTATACCTGTGCTGTAGGCTGATATTCTGTAAGTGTAGAAATTACAGCAAAGAAATTAATTGGGGACTTATTTACCACAGTGGTTGAATTATAAAAATATCTTAACTTTACATATATAATAAAAAAAATACTTAAACATTTTTTTAAATGAAATAAGGCAAAGAAAAAAAAAATTTTGGGGATGTAAAAAGCATTTCTTTTAACATGTTTAAAAACAACAGGGTAAGTTTTTTAATGCTTCAGATATGAAACAAAATATGCATTTATTAGTTCTATATAAGTACTCTAGCAACTGTTAGTGCAATGAGAATGCATGAACTAGATGATGGCACACCAACTTCAGTCTGGGAGGGAACATCATGGCACCCTAGAATCTAGAACTTATCAGTACTTATCTAGGTAGCAAAGTTCTAAAGTATTCTTTTTCATACTGTCAAGTTTAGAAAGTTGTTGAGGCAAGTAAATACTCAAAGCATAATAGTATTAATACAAAAGGAAATCACAAGAAATTCAGGAAAATTCATTTGTAATGATTTGTTAAAAGTAAAAATTAACATACAGCAAAACACATCCATTAAAAAAAAGCTGGTGTAAATATTACTAAGACCTGGAAGTTTAAGTAAACATTTATTTACATCTTGTAAAGTCGTTAATGTGTATTTCACACGTCAACTTATTACACGAAAAAAATAAAGAAAAAAAGATGGCAATTATAAAGTGACCATACTAGAGTTAAAGAATTACACTAAATCTGGTTCTTTTCGTGTAGAAAAATGAAAGCTAATGAAGGAAGCACACAGCTAGTTTATTAAGCATCTCTATTTTGAAAAAAAAAAATTCCACTTAAAAATGTTATTTGTAATCAAACAAATAACATTCAAGCTCAAGTACAATCAACTGTTGTGTGATTAGATGAAAATAATACAAAAAAGGTTTAAAAATCAAGATGCAGGGTAGTAAAAATCATGCAACTTAAAGAGTTGTGTAATAGGATGCTTTAGTGATAAAAAACAACGGTTACATCCAGATGCTGGTGCTAGGTCAAGCTCTATTGTCATTCAATTAGTTTTATTAATTTATCAATTCCTAATATTAGTGTCTGAAATACTATTTATATAATAAATGTAAAATTATGTACAAAATATTACTAAACCTAATTTCATCAAAAACATTTTTTTTTAATGTGTCTGGCTCATCTACTGTTCAAATATCAAACTCTGTATTGCTTTTCAACATAATACATGTGGCTTTGAAATAACACATTATGCCTAATTTTGCTATTTGGTTTTCAACATGGTAGTCTAGGAAAAATTCATGTCACGATTATCATTTTAACTAGCTAGCTTTGAAATAAAAAGTCAAACACATTTTTTTTAAAAAGCAATTGAACTCATAAATTAGAAATATAATTGGGATGAACTAAATGTTAGAAGCAACATCAGCAAAAAATTAAGTTCCCCAAATAAATTCAAGGAACAAAAAAAAAAAAAAAAAAAGGAACAAAGGATTTATAGAAAATAAAAAACAAACATCTAACAAAGTTAAAAAAAAAGTTCTGGATAGAACAAACAGACTCACCGAGTCACAAACAGACATGGCTCTTCTTATCTAGGCAAGACAAAGTTAAACATGCACTTGAGATACAAAACTACTCACTCAAACACAGCATTTATGTTAATACTAGGCTGCTCTACCCAGCTCTAGCTGGGGAGATTTTACTAACACATTTTTTGGCTTCTTTTTCTTACTAATTTAACTTTAATCTACTAGTTCATTGTAAGTTGAATTCCAAATTCTTACAAAAATAAAAGTAATGAAACCTGCACATATGTGGCATAAAGATATTACACATTACATCTAAAGATTAAAAGAAATGATGAAAGTCATATACTCCCCATTTAGCAACTAGTTCTTAATTGCTTGGCTGTGGCAAGCACAATTTAATTCTAACCACAAGGAATAGATGGAGCTAATTGCAAAGTAAATGCTGCATAATTGTTTTAAAATGGTCAGGGAATGGTGATAACATGACAAATATGTCCTAGACAAATACTCCTAGACACTTGGACAAGACAGAGAATCTGAATTTAACTTGTATGAAAACAACAAAACAACATGCCAATGCCAATTAGATACACACAAAAATGTGTTTCTAAAGCCTTTAAAAATCACAAAACATAATTCCTGTAGGACAACATAGGAAAATATGTATCTAAATTCTAGGAAAACCACAAAACAACATGCCAATTGGACTACAAAGGTAAATGTGTTATGAATTATATGAAAATCACAAAACAAAATTTCCATGGGACAACACAGGAAAATGTGTACCTAAATTCTAAGAAAACCACAAAACAACATGCCCAAATGACAACACTGGAGAATCTGCATCCTAATTCTACGATGCAAAAAACAACATGCCTGTACGACAACGCAGGTAAAATCTTCATTTAAATTCAATGAAAACCAAATACCAGAAATAATGACACGTTTTTTAACAACAATAATAAACAATTCTAAATGTAACAGCTCATGAGATCAAATTAATGAACATTTCTGTTAGTTATAAAAATAACCAATAAGGCTGGTAAGTAGGTCACCAACCAGTTCTACGGCTCAATAAAACCTGCATGAGCCATAGAACTGGTTGGTGACCTACTTACCAGCCCTATAATGAACTGTATCCAAACTGCAGCTTAGGTACTTCATTAACATTGTATAATGTATACCGATGAGAAATTATATTTCCAATATTTCTATCACACCCCAAAACCAGAAATATTTTTTACAAGTAAACTATTGTACCTTCAAGAACTTGATGATCTACAGGGCAGATAAAGGTTCGAAGGTTTATGAATAAAATATTGAGCAGGGATACAAACTTAAGTGATAGATACATTTGGACCTGTGTGTAAACAAAAGTGAAAGACATCAGGATGTTAACTACAATAAACAGTGGACAGGACTGAGTAAAACTGACCATTGAGGAGTCTAGTACACCCTCCTCGGGCTCCTCCTCTGACTTGCTGAGGATGCGGCTGAGATTACTGAAGACGTGAGATTCGTGAAGAAACTGGTGGTCTGACTGCATGAACTGGAGGCAGTAGCACCGCACTGCCATTTGCTGAAGAGTTGAGAGAAATTTTTTTTTATTTTCTTCAAAAGGTGCAGTAAGAAATGAGGAAAACATAACATACACTTTGGTTTGTTCAGAAAGCTTTGAATTTAACAAACTATTTTTATGGTTTTTATTTAGAGGACTTTTATAATAAATAATAATGTACTTTTGGGCCTAATCATCCATAGGGCAAATAAAGTAGGGTACATGTTGGTAACATGTTGTCAGCACCATGACTGGCCACATTTATCGAGTTATCCGGTTCTTAACATAATTGGGAGAACTATCGTCAGTATTATAAACACAAGCTAGGGAATTGAACTTGAAATTTTCAGGTTACAGTATTACTTTTAATGTTACCTCCATTAAGTGAAGCAATTAAAATAAATGTATCTTTTTACCTGAAGGGCAGATCCCATGGGCAGCAACATCATGACATCACTGATGGTCTGCAGCAGGTTGTGGAAGGTCTCTGGCAGCTGGGCAGCTGCTCTACCAGCCACAATGATGTCAGACAAGGGATGGTCACACAGTGGTACATCCTGATGTTCCAGGAGAAATTATGTATTAAAGATGGTTTTAAATTCTCATTTATCTTCTTCATTCTTACTTCCAATGATGATCAGTATTTTCCTCCAACATAGTTAAGTATTAAGTGTCAACATGTTAACCATTTAGGCCACTAACTGCTTTTCATTGTGGATTTATGTGCATTGCTTTTGTCCATCCATGAACAAACTACAAGACAGCAGTTTGCTTGAGAGAGTTCTCTCTCTTAGATGGCTTTCTGTTTCCAGCTATTGAGCCTCATCTGCTTGGGGGGTTCAAACTTGGAACTTTTTTGTTTAGCAACCCATCGCTTTACCAACCCAACCACACTAACCCCTCTCATTAGTCAACTAAGTACATATTTTTTTTTTAAATAGTGTAAGTTCCTATACAATTGTCATTAAATTCAAAAAAGAAATTTCATTTGTAGATAAACCACATCAGACAATGAGGATGGACATGGCCAGTCCAATTCTACACTTAACAGTAACAGTGAACATGTTTAAATTACTTCCTGAAAACACAAGTTCTTCCTTTACCTCCAGGTCCTTCTTGACCACCTTGACCTTGCCCTCCTCCCCCTCCTCCTCAGCACCTTCAGCCTCCTCGTCAGTGGGAGGGACCAGGGAGTCAACAAAGAACCAGAGCAGGTCATGTAAACAAACCTGCTGCACCACACTGCGCAACAGCCAGTTCATCGCCTGAAAACATTACATTCTGCTTGTTAAATTTTTTAGTGATGGTAGGTTATAATCAATGGCAACATGCAAAGATTATATATTTTTAAAAGCAGTGTGCAAATAATAACAGCTAAATATAATTAATGGGACACAGGTATATTCCAGGTGAATGTTCACCCTGAGACACCTAACCCCACCAGGTTATAAAGATATACTACAAAGTAGGAGGTGGGGTTAAAAAAAAATTCACACAGTAACCACAGAAACAAGAAGACTACATTATCTAGACATCCTTAGTATTGGCAGACTAACACAACTTTATAGCGTTGAGGGTTTGGGGTTCACTATCAACATACCTGGAGATTAAACTCACCAGCTAGGACTAATAAATAATGGTTTGACGTTTACTACAAACATAATATATGATATGGCTCATTTTGCCTTGGGAGACAATAGATGTGCCAGAGAAGTGGAATCTTCTCCAGGGCATGAGGTGAAGAGATCATGATGGACTACCAACATCCCTGTAGAATTAACTTACCAATGGAAATATAAAATACTTATGGAGCTGAGGGTTTAAGACTCACTACCAACATACCTGTAGAGTTAACAGCTAGGAATATGATAACCTTATGAAGCTGAGAGTTTAGGGCTCACTACCAACATACCTGTAGAGCAAACACTCGACACATGGCTTTCCTCAGTGCTTGCTTCATGGCTAGCTGCAGCCCCTCCAGGTCATGGCGTTGAACTATGAACTCCATCACAGGCCTCTGTTGTGTGCGGCCGCCATTCCTTTTCTCTACAGCTGATATCAGCCTAGTCATGGCAGCTGATGGGTGCTTCAATAGGGATATGCCTCCGTCTACAATACAAATCAGTTCAATACATGGTAAGACAAGTGTCATTGATCAATACTAAATAGAAATTAAGACAAGTGTCAATGATCAATACTAAATAGAAATTAAGACAAGTGTCAATGATCAATACTAAATAGAAACTAATACAAGTGTCATTGATCAATACTAAATAGAAATTAAGACAAGTGTCAATGATCAATACTAAATAGAAACTAATAAAAGTGTCAATGATCAATACTAAATAGAAACTAATACAAGTTTCATTGATCAATACTAAATAGAAACTAATACAAGTTTCATTGATCAATACTAAATAGAAAGTAAGACAAGTTTCATTGATCAATACTAAATAGAAATTAAGACAAGTGTCAATGATCAATACTAAATAGAAACTAATACAAGTTTCATTGATCAATACTAAATAGAAATTAAGACAAGTGTCAATGATCAATACTAAATAGAAAGTAAGACAAGTTTCATTGATCAATGCTAAATAGAAAGTAAGACAAGTTTCATTGATCAATACTAAATAGAAACTAATACAAGTTTCACTGATCAATGCTAAATAGAAAGTAAGACAAGTTTCATTGATCAATATAAGTTAAGGAATAGTTAGAGATCAATACAAGTTACAAGCTAAGACAGTGCGACTGATCAATACAAAATAGAAACTAAGACGTCATTGATCAATACAAAATACAAGCTAAGACAGTTTTATGAGACAGTGAAAAAAAGGGGAGGAGGGTTTGAGGTGCAAAAAGTATGATAAAATGATTTAAGGATGTTATAAATTTAAGGAGACACAAAACAGATAAGGCTTTAACAGTTCTGTGATGGGCTTTGTGGCACTGTAACACTAATGTCAGTGAAACTGTTACATATGATCTGCAACAAAACTGCCATGCAACACTGCCACAAAACTGTCACATGACACAAAAACTGACCTGTGACACTGCCGCTGTTATTTCTCCTCCTAGACGACACAGACACAGCCCTGGAGAAAATGAAATCATTTTCGTCCGTTTCATTCTCCGTCACATACTCAGACACACTCCGATGGAAGGCCTTTTTGTGGGTGTCCTGCTCATTCTCTGGACTAGTCCCTGCGCTTTTAGTCATTGGCTGCTTCTCTAGCATAGCCCTGGTGTTCTCATGCTGTCATTTACAATGGAATTAAATGTTAATTTTTTAAATATATCTCATCAGGCAAGGTTAAACTCATTAAAAAAAACAAGTAAAGTAGTGAACAACTAGCTACTAAATACATCTATAATAACTGCAAGAAATGTAATAAATTAATCTAGTTAGTCTTAACATGATTTTTGAGTATTTTTTTTAGTTATTTTTTAAATCTTATTAATGTTATTTTAATATTGTATTTCTAGCTTGATCTTAGATATATCTGATAGACTTTGCCATGATTACAACAAACATCTAATTTCCAACTATCTTTTCAAAGGAGCTTTTGAGTCCGCCATTCATACAAGTGGGCAGGCAAAAGATCACTGATGTTGATATACCAACCCTTTAAAGATATGTTCTACTATTGTGGATTATTATACCTGGACTCAGTCAGCTCAAAAATTTTAAGTAAATAAAATATGAAAACAATCTCTGAAAATAGTTCATAGATATTTCAAGTGACAAACACAAAATAAAGAGTTAACATTTGGTTCATATAGATGGTGCACATGCACAAATGTATTTTAAAACTTACTTTTAATACTGGCAACAGCTGTGAAAATGGTCTGGTATCTTGCCCCAGTGACCCTGACCTGGCCAGCGGACTGTGCCTGGGTTCAGTGGGCAGGCGCGGCCTCTGCAGCGGCAAGTTGGACTTGTGGTGTGAGGTAATGCTCATGGAGCCAGACCTGACAAACACCCTCTCCTCATCAACAAAAAAATCCTCAGCAAAGGCAGAGTCTGAGTTCCCTGCGTTGTGGAGATTTAAATACTGGAATGGCACAGGGGGGAACGGGTCTGGGTCGGACCCGATTTCACTGACACTCGGCAAGTGAATGTCGCTTCTGGGAAGCGACAACGGGCGAGTCTTTGTGTGCTTGGGCAGGCTGAGACCAGAGGCGCTGGCCAGCTCTAGCAAGAATTGAGCATTGTTCTTGAGGATGTGGTGAGCCTCCAAGGGAGACAAGAAGCTCTGCTGCTTGCTCGCGCTGGAGAAGGAGCTCTTCTTCTTCCCCTTGCGTCCTTTGTCCTTGTTTGACTTCCTGTCCTTGATGTACTTGTCCCGGCAGCGCTCACACATCAGGTACCAGGAGCACTCGCCGATGCCTCCTTCTCCGCAGTTGCCGGCCCAGCCGCCGCCAAACATCCCGCTGGAGTTGTAGCCCTTGCCGCTGGCATGTTTGCCACAACCCGGGTGTGCCTGGCGCATGTGATAGGTGACAGGGTGAGGAAACATACCCTACAAGAGAGGAGCACACCATTTTTTTAATGAAAAATACTTTTTAAAAATCAAAACATCTTTGGAACACAAGGAACATTAGAAACAGAAAAATATTTACATTACATTGTTTTATAATACATTTTGAATTCTTAAAGACTAAAATAAAAAATATAAATATTTTGTTAATTGATTTAAAAAAAAAAGACAACAGCTATAATGAATGCCAACAAGGCAAAGAGTATCATATAAAATTTTTTGTTTGTTCTGACATGTATCGCTTCTAGATTCAGGATTATACTAAGGTTATGCCCAATTGGTGTTGATGAAGCAAAATGATTTTAATATGCATCTCTGCTTAATTAATGCCCCCCCCCCCCACTCACTTCCTGGACACAATAACAGCATACGTTCCCTATATATATGTTTATATACATCTCAGGCTAATTAAAGCACACCTCCCCCCGACATGACCCTTATATGTATATACATCTCAGTTTAATTAACGCACCTCCCCCTCCACCCCTTGACACACTCAGAGAACGTGACCCCTATTTATATACACCTCAGGTTAATTAACGACCCCCCCCCCCCACTGAACACTCACCTGACACAGCATGTGTCCCCTATGTTTATCTACACCTCAGGTAAATTAACAACCCCCCCTACCCATAGACACACTCACAGAACTTGTCCCTTATTTTTATATACACCACAGGTAAATTAACAACCCCCTGAACACACTCACCTGACACAGCTCACAGAACGTGTCCTCTCCTCCAATCACAGCAGCTGCGGCGGCTGCGGCTCCTATGTCCCCGCCCCCTCCACCTGGAGGACGGAACATCCGAACCACAGCCTCCCCGAACAAGCCCTGAGCTCTGACAGCAATGTTTCCCAGACCAGCTGGGATCAGATTATAAATGACATTGACTATAAACGAGGGCATCAAACACATTCAAACTACTCTATGGATGGGTCGAAGATAAATGACAGAAAGTGTTGAGCTTTTTCATTAAATATATTTTACACATAAAAACAATGGCAATAAAATATAGCTCAACTTGTTTTCTAGCATTTATCTTTGCTATTGTATACATATTTTATAAAACTCTTCTTTTTTAAAATTAAAACTTTACATAAAGTCATTCATTATTTCCTTAATTATTAAGTAAGTAAAGTTCCTTTTCGAAAGTGAAGGTCCATGGGGAAAGTGTAGTAGAGTTTATCTGTTTCTGTGACCTCGGCATATGAAGGAATAGTGTGGTCAGCACTATGCCCAGCTGCCTTTACTTTCCCTTACGTGAGTTAGGTACCCATCAGAGCTGGGTGGACTCAGGGACATTCTTGGTACTTAAACCGTATTCGAACTCGAATCTTTCGGGTTAGCAGGCACATGCTCTACCATTCGACTACTCAGTCCCTTCTCTATGCCATTGACATAAATAATTTGCACAATAATCACTCGTAATGAAAGTTTTTTTTAAAGTATGAGAAAATGTTTTGAATTAAAAATTTGATGAATAAAATTCTCTAATGGGGATACAAGAGTGACCACAGACCTCCAGCCCCTTCCATTATGGGCAGTGGTACAGGCTTGGCACCTTTCCTCTTCTTCATCTTCTTCTCCTTGTCTTTGTCCTTCTCCCTTCTCTCATGCTGCTTTATCCTGGCGGCCATTGCCGGACTAGGTGGGACAGTTTCCTTGTTCATGACAACAATGACTGACTCAGACAGCTCCTCCCAGAAATGGACCAGGTGTTGAAGTGTTTTTGGAAGCTGTGTTTCCTAAAATATAATTTTTTAATGTCAAGAAAAATGCCCTTTCAGGTCCTTCAATAGTGTATTGCTTCTATGACTTCGCCATATGAAGGGATAGTGTGGTCAGTATTATGCCAACAAGCTTCACTCTCCCTCAAGTGAACCAACTATTTAGCTACTGATACCAGGTGGACTCATGGACATCCTGGGTTTAAGTTTTTAATAAACCATTCAACTGATAAAACTAGTACTGACTGCAGCATTTACTAGAAGACTGACAATTTTAAAAGGTGTCAAACCAGAAAAAAAAATATTAAGTGGTAATAGCTCATCTAGAAGGCAAATAGAAGAAGGGAAGTAATAAGATGATAACCTAACAAATAAATTTAGAGAAAGTGATAAAAGCAAAAGAAGGGAAGTAATAAGATCATAACCTAACAAATAAATTTAGAGAAAGTGGTAAAAGCAAAAGAAGGGAAGTAACAAGATGATAACCTAACAAATAATTATGGAGAAAGAAGTAAAAGCGAAAGAAGGGAAGTAAGATTGTACCTTCTCTCCTTTGTTATGGCTGGCAGCCATTGTGGCAATCACCTCCTGAAACTTGGCTGTCCCTCCCTCAGACTTGTGTCTCTCCACTTGCTTCTTGATGGCTCCACCATAACCGTAGATGCTGTCTACAGCTTCAAGAGGTACAATATGAGGGTCAAATTAGGGGTCAGAAGTCAAACATAGGGGTTAAGTTTTTTTATTAATCAGCTTCTGTTAAAATTTCTACCATTTAAGGACTTGTGCAGTTTCATGTTTTTTAAATACATTAGTTACAAATGCAATTAATTATAATTGTAAAAATTAAAATAAAGTTGTAAATCATTAACCATCATCTGATTTGGTCTCAAATATTCATTCTTTAAAATACATAAGTTACAAACGTAATTAGTTATAGATGTAAAAATGAAAACTGAGTAGTAAATTATTACCCGTTGTCTGGTTTGGTCTCAAAGATTCAGTATATTAAATACTTAAGTTATTAATTAATTATAAATGTAAAAATGAAAATCGAGGTAGAAAATTATTAACCTGCGTCTGATTTGGTCTCACAGATGAGAGACTTCAAAGGCACTTCCATGTTGGTGCTTACACTGGCTCTAGACGAGGCTGACCTGAGTGATGGACAGTAATACGGCGAATTATTTTCAAGGCATTTTACACTCAGCTATATGTTTGATATGGGACTGCGTGGCCTAAGTGGTTGAGCGCTAGGCTCTGTAACCCAAAAATCTGGAGTTTGAATCAGGGTTCAAGTCAGTAAAACGTCCCTGAGTCCACCCAGCTCTGATGGGTACCTAACTCATGATTTGGTCTCACAGTAAGGGTGTCTGGGCAAAGTGCTGACCACACCTTCCAATCATATGCCGAGGTCAAGAAACATGAACTCTCCATCATCTACCCAATTAATCGTTAATTCTAAAGAGGATTCTCTTCTCTTTAGGTTTGATAAGTGGCTGTATGGCAGTGAGCTGATGTTGACTTGAACCAGTGTTTGCGTTAGGTGATATGATGTACTGTTCTGACTGTTCTTGACATGACTTTAATTTAAGAGAGTAAGGGAAAATAACATGGCATGCTGACCCAAAGTTTAGAGTTTGGTACTCTGGCTCAAGTCCATAGGACATTCTTGAGTCCACCAAGCTCTGATTCATGTATGGGGAAAGTAGAGGCGGCTGGGGATGGTGTTGACCACACTATCCCTTCATATGCCAAGGTCACAGAAACAGAAACAACATTTATCTCATGGACTGCCAGGTTCGAAGGGTAACTTAATGGGAGGTAACACACACAAACTGACTAGAAGTTTGTTAAATATATTTACCTCGGCCTGCCATCATCTGGGTAATCTTTGTCAGCATCAGAGTACTGGGGTTCAAGGTTGAAGCGCACCCTGCTCTCATTGATGTTGTCCTTCCTCCTGTGGGACTTGTCCTTGCTTGACTCTGTCGCGTGGCGCTGTCTCTTTGGTTCCACACTAGACTGGTGTTTTTTCTCCTAGACACATGTAAGGGAAACGTTATACATTTGGTGATTATGCTTTTAATCTGTCAACAGTTTCATAAGTTTAACACAATAAAAACTTTTATTTATGTTGCACACTAATTTTTTTAACCAGAAAAACATCTTGAAAACTTATATGCAAAAAGAAAAAGGATTAATTTTATACAGGAGAAAATGTGAATTTTCTACTGAATAATATTGTTTTTGGGGAAAACAGATTTCCTACAAGAAAAGGCAAATTAAATCTCTATGAACTATTGTTCTTTATCATAGATACATATAAAGAAAAAATATTTTGTCATAGATCAGTATTCCAATCTGCTAATAATTCTAAAATTAGAACTCCTTATTTAAGATTATATTCACGTGTTACATCAAAGTTATTTCTTGTAAGGCAGGCAGGAGGGTGTATTGAAGCTATTTTTCTAAATTAGTTTGACTAAAGGGGCTCTAGCCCTAGCTCAAACTCTTACACTAACCTGGCACTGATCCCGAAGGGTACAATCTACATATAATTCACAACTGTATTGCCCTGTTTTGTTTTTAAATTATGTTTACATTTATACTATACACTGCTCTAACAGTGATCCAGAAGAATAAAATCTATATACAATTCAATACTATACAGCACTGTTCTGTTTTTAAATTAGCTCTACAATTTTACACATTTTTTAGCCAAGACAAAAAAACCTAGTGCCTCTATACCTTAATAAACTTTGACATCTCTTTAGTAAGATCTGGATGGAATTTTAGGAAGGAGGCACATGCCATGGCATCATGAACAATGCCCTCGTGCCACATGAAGGCAGCAAACACTGCCCTCAAACACTCTGCAGCTGCTGGTGATAGGGCCTCTTTAACAGTCACACCTCGACGATCTAATATCTATAGAAGCATTGGAAAAAATATACAGCTGATGTTATGCAGGTTATATTAGTAGAAAAATAAAATGTTGAGTCAGAATCAATATTTTAAAACATTTTATACAAATAATTCATTTTTTGCAAACAAAGTTGTAAATTTTTATTGCTCTATATCTAAAAGAAATGGATTTTGTATGTGTACCACTGTTTTGGCTATGTTTTTGCTTACATTAGGTCTCAGACAAAGGTATTTAGAAAAAGCATAAAAATCTACCCAGCAAGCCAGAGTAGAGATTATTTTTTACCTTAGAAGCTGAAGAAGAGCGGCTGCGCTGTAGGGGTGTGATCTCCTGTAGTGAAGGGGAGGATGCACGCTCACGCTTTGCCCGGCTCAAGCGACTACGATCTTTCCGTGCAGTTTTGGGAGATAGTCTACAAGAAGGAACAAAGTTATTTTATTTGACAACACTAAATAGTTTGATATTGTAATCCTGTCACACACTCTCACACTTGTATATTTTAATATGAAATTTTTTCAGGTTTTTTCATTCTGTTTATTTAATTAGAAAATAAAAATTATAATTGTTTTAACATTCATTTTAAAATTAAGTAAGAAAAGAAAAATAATTAATATCTGAAGTATTAAACTGTTAATTATTTTTTTAATAATTCGAACAACAAAATTTAGCAATAAAAGTTCTCACCTTTGCTCATCTTTGGGCGAGGCAGTACCAATGGTAAACATGCCAGATTTTCTAGAGCTGCCACTAGCTGCAGCAGCTGCTGATGCCCCAACCAGTGCTGGGCCACCACTGCCACCACTTGCACCAACAATGCCAATATCAACAACATCAATGGCAGGGGAGGAACTATGTGGTAGAAAATTATGGATTAAGTAAGGGAAAATACTAATAAAGATAGAATGGTAAAATATTTTCAATTTTCTTTCCTAGTAAATTTATAAGTTAATAACAAATTAATTTAAATTAGCACATGTCAGCCAAACAGGTAATTCACCTGCTTGTTACAGATATTTCACTATTAGACTTTACTATTAAAGTATAATTATCATTCGTACTAGACAGATAAATATGTGGGTAATGTGAGAGCGTTGTTCATAAGTTTAAACATGAGGGAACTTGAATACAAGTTGTTCGAGTGAAATTTTTAAAATTTTATCACTTCCTTCTTATTCCCACAGGTAATATTAGCAATTAAGAACAGGAGAAAAAAAGTATGTTAAATTAGAGAAAACAGAAGAGGACAGAAATAGTTTTACTTAAACTAAATGACCAGTTATCCGTTGGATAATGGCCTGTTAGATGAAAAGAACATGAAAAATTCCTCCTCCTCCCTATCATTATATAGTCAAAGAAAAAATTAGTTGATAGGAAGAAAAGGGAATTAGTTGTAATAAAGTCTACACACCTGTCATTTCTAAAAGGTGGGGATTTGTAGCGGGATCTAGCTCCACCCACTGGAAGCCCACCAGACAAGCCCACTCCAGCGGTACTGTTTTCTGGTGTCTCTCTGATTGCTGTTGTTGAGGACGACTTGACTGTTGGGGCTACAACCGCCACAGGGCTGTCTTTCTTGCTGCTTGTGATAGCAGGGCTGTCCTTTTTTCCAGAGGTAGATGATACAGCCGCAGGGCTGCTAGTGCTGACTGATGCAGGGCCACTAATGCTGGCTGACGCAGGGCTGTCTTTCTTGCCAGCCACTGACAAGTCAGGCTTGACGACTCTCTTATCTCCAGTGTCTACCTGCTTGCTGTCTGGAGCCTCAGCTGCCTTAGGTGGGGCCGCACCTGGTTGTTTTGTGGATGAGAGTGTTGAAATGCCTGGACCCTTCTCCAGGACAGGTGAGAATGTCACATGGCAGTGTCCTTTATCTGTTTCTGGTTTGCCAGACGTGTCTGACTTCGTGTCTTTTGTTTTCTCCACCTCTGGTGACAGCTTGGACTTCAGATCTTCAGCGTCTAAAGCCTTCCTGTCTGTGAGCTTCACCTGGGGTTTTGTGCTGCCCACCTTGTCAGATCTCTCAGTCGAGGGTGTGGCTGGAGGGGTGGGCGTGGCAGATTTTTCAAACGAGTTCACTTTGGTTAGAGGGGCCCGAATATTTCTAGACGGGACTGGGCTGCTGGGTGGTGTTTTGTAAAGTTCTTCTTTAGGGGCAGATGATTCCCTAGCTGCTCAGTGTAAAGAAAATAGTATTTTCAAGGTTTTTTTTAATTACATACAACTTTAATACACACAAAAAATAAGATCATAGTATATATATTCAACTGCTGTAAAGTTACTCCATCTATTGGTAAATAATTGTAACTCAAACGTCATGTAAGCAAAGGACTATTTGAAACATGTCAAATATACTTTGTTATTTAATTCCTATTATACTACAAAAGGTTTAAAACATGTATGATCTATTGTTTGGACTACCCTCAACATACCTCTGTCAGCAACAGACTTAGGACTCCCCTCTCTAGAACCTGTTTTAGGTGAACCAGGTGGTGAAGGCTGTGGAGTTGGGCCATTCCCATTGGCTCTTGATTCTCCTAGACATGGTTCAAGATAATTGGGGTTAGCATTAATTATAAGGGCAACACAAAAAAAAAAACCCAGATAAAATAGTGCGTAAACAAATGATAATTCAACAGGAACAATGTTAATGCAACTTTGCATTTTTCAAAAAGAAAAATATAGTGTAATTTTACAATAATTTTTAATTAAATTATAATAACTGAGCAAACATTATACTTGAGATTTGCACTAAAAGTCAAATAAGTTTATTAACAGTATTTTTAAAAATTCAATGTATTTTGAATAAAATGGTTATTTAGTTACTACTTTTGATAAATTAAAAGAAAAAGCCAGTTATAACACACAAAAATGGTTAAAATATGTAAATGATGATTACTTTAAAAACTGGACTGATTTCAGTGTTTGACCAAAGGTTGGGGAAGGGGGTTTACACATATATATATATAGATAAGCTGTTCTTAAGTTATCAGAGAACAACAAAACTTTACAGCTGCTGTACAAAATACTAAGCCCCAACATGCATCAGTTTCTGCTTTTATGATAGTATTTAAACATCTCCCAGAAATAAGATTTATTCATACATGTTTTTTTTACCACTTTCTGATCATCTTGGTAGCATATATCTGACATTATAAAACGACTAGATGTCCAGCTTTAATGACACACAAGTTTTAATTTAAGCTGTCAGCAATAATTATCAGCAATTAAACACTTTTAAATTTTACTCTCAGCAATATTTATTAACAACTAAAAAATTAGTTAATAAAAAATATTTAAATCTTACTGTAAGCAATAAATATTAGCAAACATAATCTTAATCTTTTTATTTTTATGTCCACAATATTTATTAACAACTAATAACTTAATAAGCCAATTAATAAAAAAAAATTGTTACTGCCAGCAAAGTTTAGTAACAACTAACAACTTTAAAAGCCAATGACTAAAACTTAAAACTACAATATCAGAGGATAATCTATTAAAGTAAAAAACAAATGGACAACACTAGATAAGTGTGACAAAACGTTAAAAAATTGACAATTTTAGACATTAAAAGGTGAGAGGAACTAGATCTGTAGATAATCTGCTATATAATGTAAAAATTGTCAACTTTAAATATGTAAAAGTGATGGGTGTTGACCTTTAATCTGTTATTAAAAGTAAAAAGAATGGACAATTATAGACATAAAAAGGTGAGAGGAACTAGATCCATAGATAATCAGCTATATAAAATAAAATTGTCAACTAAATATGTAAAAGTGAGTGGGTGTTGACCCTTGATCTGTTATAAAAAGTAAAAAATGGACAATTCTAGACATGAAAAGGTGAGAAGGGGTAGCCCCAGTATCCTCACCCACTAGCCTGGCCAGTTTTCTGGGGTTAATGGCTGGGTAGCAAAGTTTGAGCCCCAGGGCAGTGAAAGTAGGACAAGCAACCACATCATCATCACAGTAGATGTATGTTGACCTGTTTCTCACTTTGTCAACCTTGGCCTGGTCTACTCAGGTCATGGCGACATTACAAAAAGTAAAGAACAAGAACACAAGAGAGGTGACAAAAATATAAACACATGCCCATCCAACAGTAAAACAAGAAATGACATTCCATAAGGACGACAATGAAAACAACGGCAGACCAATAAATTATTGTCATAAAAATAGAAATTATACAATTGTTGTAATTTATTAAAAAAATGATAGAAAAAAAAATGTTTGACGCCAGTAATATAAAAATACAGTAAAAAATTGATACAAAGTGATTGTGAAAAAAAAATTGTATGATGAGTGATGCATGACAGGAGTATTTACAAAACAATGGCAACATGAATGACATCCATCATACCCACCGCAGCCAGGGTAAGAGATAGAGAGAAAAAAAATTGGGAGACAGGTGAGATATACAGCTGTGTCTTAACACATCATTTTTACAACTAGTTTTTTTTTTTAATTTAGTTTTTTTTCAAAAATTTCAAGTCAACACTTTTTAAAATGTAATCAGTTTTCTATGAAAACAATAGTTTTTTAAGAGCATCTTTTGTTATTCTCATACTATGTCATATAATCAACATTTTTAAAAGCCTTAATTCATGTAAACAGTATACAAGTTGAATAATTTATTGAAATATTTCTTCTATAAAATAAATTAAAAATTTTTAACTAAAAGTGACATACTTTATTTTTAGAACCTAAGATCATGTTCAGAATTTATTAAGGTAAATTCTTATGATTGAATATTTAAATTTTAAACCCCATCTATTTTTTAAATTAAAATAGGTTTTTATTATAACAGTTTAGAAGAACTATGAAAATGGAATACAAAGAGTTTGCTAGATGCACAACAAGCTTGCTGGCTAGACAATATTGCTAGCTACATAACAAGCTGGATTGGCTAGCTGCACAACAAGTTTGCTAGCAGTATAACAAGCTTGCTGGCTAGACAATATTGCTAGCTACACAACAAGCTGGATTGGCTAGCTGCACAACAAGTTTGCTAGCTGCACAACAAGTTTGCTAGCTGTATAACAAGCTTGCAGCTAGAAAATATCGCTAGCTACACAGCAAGCTGGCTAGCTAGCTGAATGACTAAATGCTAGCTGCTCAACAAACTTGCTGGCTAGACAATATTGCTAGCTGGACAAGCTTGCTGGCTACAAAATATTGCTATTCAAACAGCAAGCTAGTTGGCTAGACATTATTTCTAGCTGCAGAAGCTTGCTGTCTGGAAAATATTGCTAGTTAGACAGTACTGCTAGCCATGTAACAAGCTTTCTGGCTGTAAAGTAAAAAGAGATGAAAAATGTTCAAATTAAATGTGCACAAAATTTAAACTCACCTAGAGCTTTAACGAGCTCATTGACTGGCACTCCTTGAAGCTCAGGAGGGATGTCCTTGTTGTCCTGGAGGGTCAGACGTCCAATGCAGGGCTCTGAACCTTTCCGCAGGGATATGGACCTCTGGTGTTGTGATGGCAGTGGTGGGACTGACATGAAAGGGTTTGGGTTCGAACCAGATCTATGAACAAACAATGAAAATTACTTTAGCAACATGTATCATTTCAAAATATGGGTTGCGATGTTCAAATACAGTGACTATTATATTTTTTTCCAATATGTCAAAATGATTTGCAACATAAATCACTTAAAAATTTGGGTTATGATGTTTAAATATGGTGAAACCATAATATTTTTTCATATCTGTCAAAAAGATTTTGCAACAAATATAGTTTCAAAATATGGGTTGTGTCATTCAAATATGGTAATAAAATTATATTTTTTTCTTATCAGTCAAAAGCATGTATAGTTTGCAAATACTTTGAAATAGAGTACTATATTAAAATAGTATGATGATATTAATTTTTAAACACAGCATATTTTATCAAATTCATTTAATACACTGACAGAATATGAAATTATTTTCATTGATAGCAATTTAGATTAGTCATAAAAATTATCAACACTTTCACTTTAATTTTTTTTAAATGATAATATTAAGTTATTTTTTCAAATATTGAACATATAAATTTCACAATCTAAAGAAGAAAAAATAAGAAAAACATTAACCTCTGTCTTGACCTAAGGATCCTGTCAGCCAAAATTGCATCATCTAAGGTCAGATCCTGGTCATCAATGATGTCATTGTAGTTGGTGACTGTGAGAGGGGGTGGGGGCAGGGAGAAACCAAGTGTGGGGTACTCCTCCTCAGCAGAGGGTGGGGGTTCTCCAAATCTTGGCAGTGGTACCTTGGGTTGGAAACCTGGTAGGATAGTAGTGCAGCCATTCAGTAGGATTCAGGCAGGAAAATATTTACAGATTGAAATTAATGCAGCCCTATCCAGTTCGTTCATGATTAACTAGTTGTCAGACTCTTTTAGCTCTGATTAAATTTGCAATTTTATTAAAATTTCTGCCTTAATGTTACATCCTCATGAACCTTTCTCAGATTGTATGTATGGTAAGATAAAGCACAAATCTGTACATAAAAAAAACTGTCAATTTAAGTTCTTTAATAAACCGGGAGTGATCTCCCCTAAACTTTCTCGAATATTCTAATATAACACTACGTGGGATGTCAACTCTGAATATAGACATGATTTTTGTTTACTTAAACTTTTAAAAATAGAATAAAATCTAGTAGAAAAAAAAAATGCGCACCAAGCTAGCACCAAAACCAAATGTGCGTAATAGTGCGCAATATTATTAGTACTTTAAAAATTTACATTAGTTTTTTGAGAAATCGGAAGTAGCGTAAATTACTACTTCCGGTCAACGGAAATTACTCAAAATTTAACAGAAGGTAGAGAATTAGATCTTTTACTTACATGTGAAATTTCATTTATATATCTGGAATAGTACTCAAGTTATAGGCTTTTGAAAAATTCAAAGTAGAAAAAGTACCACTTCCGGTTGTCGGAAATCGCTCAAAAGTTGATACGGATCTACGATTTTGATATAATACTTATATATGAAATTTCATCAACCTAGCTGTAACGGTACTCAAGTTATCGTGTTTACACACGGACACACACACAGACACACAGACAGAATTGCAAAGCCCAGTTTTTCAGACTGGATTACGCATAAAACCTCTTAATTTTGATAAATCTGGATTGATAATTTTTGCCCGATTAAAATAAGTCCTCTATACTTCGGATGTGATGAAGGACTGAGGTGTAATATGGTGAAAATTGTTAAAATTTTAAGTGATTTTTGTGCACGATTACAATACTTTCTCTATACTTCGTATATACGAGAAAGTAAAAAGTGGAAGGGGTAACTATTCCTCTGTCAAATAAATATTCTGCCCATTTTTACAGTTAAATACTTAATCTTCTGTTTGTTAACTGTATCAGACAACAGTATGAGGCAATGGAATTGAAATGTTGTATTGTATGCAACTAAGCATAATGAAAGGGAAATGGAAAATTATGCACCTTGGGCTGTTAAGGTTGAACATTATTAGCCAGTTTTACTTCAAATTTTTTATTTAATTTTAGCAATGTGTTAGAAAGTAAATTATCAATTTAGCTTCTAATGTATTACCTGTTATTCCACCAAAATTGAATGCTGATGCTGGCATACTTTTGCTCTTACCAAAAGCTGAAATTTTTGACAGAAAAGCTAAATAATTATGGCAGTAAATCAGATGTACTTAAGAAATAAAATCAGCTGAAATTTGTGACAAAATTTTCAGAAAATGTTGACACAAAAATCAGTCAATGATAAATTGCATGTAAAAATTTAATAATTATAGAAGACATAGAAAATAGCCTGGATGTATAAGAAAATATGGAAACCATCCAAGTTTACATATATGAGCTACTTTTTTGTTGCTTAGCATTTAAAAAATATATTTTGTTACTTTAGCGTAAAAAAAATATTTTTAAAAAATCGTTATGTACAAGTGCTTATATTACTGTGTGGTTTGAGTAAAATTGATATCCAGAAAATATTTACATCTATTGAAGATAGTAAAATTTACATTTATAGTAATATTTAAGCATGTCTTGGATTTTGACTAAGATACAGTTAGTGACATTCTACCTTCTTCAGGGGGGAAAAACCCAGGGAAATTGCTGGCAAACTGAGCCGCTTTCATGGCAAACTGGAACCCCTGTTGTGGTGGCAGGCTCCTGAAGGCAAAGGGGTCGCTGCCCCTGCTGCCAAAGGGAAACTCTGACTCATGTTGCATGTACTGGGATTTGTCCACCCCAGATACCAGTGACCACGCCTCTGATGCCAAGGATGAGTGGCAATACTTGGCTGCTGATTCCTCAGACAGTCGTATCCAGATCCCATCACTGTTTATGGTCTGTGTGGAAGAAAATCATTAAAGGTTATATGTGGTGTGGTTGGGTGTTGGAGCTACAATTACTTATCTAATAGTCTCAAGTTTGGTTTTGACCTTCATCTCTCCAACCTACCAGTTCTAATGGGAACCTGCTTTAGCTAAGGTAAAAATGGCTGGGCATGGTGCTGATCACACAAGCCATTTAAATGCTAAGGTCGAATTAGCAGAATTAACTCTATTTCATCTGTTCTATAAACCATTATATCAGATAGGAAACTTTACTTCATAATTTAAAAATAGAAAACTCAAAATATCAAATAAAAAATAATAAAAAAATAAAATATACTAACATCTTCCACAGCCTTGATTTTCTTCCCTTTAGTGATCATGCCAATAGGTGGCGCCTTCAGGCTGGGCCTGGCTCTAATGTTGTGACCCGATGACCCACATTTGATGACCATGTATGTTCCAGGCCCTGGGTGGAATAAACAAATTTTATAGTTTCATAAAATAATAGGTTAAACAATTTCCTTCTGAGCATTTACAAACATGTTTTTTAATGTACAAGCATGGCGTAAATTAACAACAAAAACAAATTCTTCCACCTTGATCGAGGTTTCTTTACATTTCTGGGACAAAATATCTAGAGATCAAACACTAACTGAAGTTTTTTTTTTTAAATGTAATCAAACCAAATTCAAAGTTGACTTAAAAGTTGGATTATGCTCTACACAGCTTAAAACAAAACAATTTACAAACACAATTAATCTAGATCAAGCTTTCTTAAACTCCTGTGACAAAAAAATAAAAATAAAAAAGAGACCATATCCAATTCAATGCTGACTTTAAAACATTCTAATCAGCTATACACAGCTTACAATAACAAAATTCGAAAACAAAACCAACCTTTGTTTAAGGCACTGAGCCCCATGAAAAGACTCGCCCCTCCTGCCTGACTGTTAAACCTCCTCTCCCTCCTGCCCATCTCTGCCCCGGCCGCCGCTGCCCCGGCTGGGTGGTGCCTGGGGTTGCGTGGGGGCAGCACTGGCTTCGGCACCTCCACAGGCACCAGGAGGGTCTTCCCCAGGTGCTGGTTGTACTGGAGACACCAGCCCTCCAGCCGCCCATTGCCGCCATCGTCTGGTATGCAGTACTCAGCTAGGGACGCTCTGGAGAGTCTTAGCCACATACCATCATCATTGGTTGTCTGCACAAAAAGGTATTTTAATTATATACAATGGGATGTTTTTTCGGTTAACAAAGGTTTGCAAGTCTAAATACAAATATTGCCATTACATATGGGGCCAACATGGCCTGGAGGTAGAGCGTTTAAATGCTAACCATTAAGGCTCAAGTTTGGATCTGGGCTTGAGTCTGTAGGATGTCCCTGAATCCATGCATCTCTTAAGTACGTGACTCACATTAGGGAAAGTAAAGGTGGCTGAGCATAATAATGACCACACCATCATTTGCTCAGGTTACAAAAACAGGTAAATCTACTTTGTCAGTCTCATGGACCACCAAGTTTAAAAGGCTAACTTTTTTTTTTGTCTGTACAAAGAATAACTTAGTCAACAACTTAAATGGGTACCTGACTCAGTGATATAGTTGAGTTTAAATATTACAGTGTTAATGGTTTCTATAAGAGAAAATGGGACACAACCCTCTGAATGACAATAACCCAAAACTCAATGTACAAGCAAGTTTCATACACATTCTACAAAAATTACCTCATCTACATAAGAGATCATACAGTTTGGGGGAACAACTCCAATTTGCTCACTCTGCAAGGTTGGGCTGATTCTCACCCTTAGACCTGCACTGTATTTGGCAACAAATCTTCTCACCTGTAAACATAGCAGACAATAAAAAATAATTTAATTCAAGTTTTTTTTTAATTACTATTTATTTTATATGTACATACCAAAGTCCTCTTTAAAATTATAAATCTAGAACATAGATAAGTGGTATCACACTAAACATCCGACTAACGAAACAGAAGGGAAAAAAAATCAGTTACTCACTCTTGCAGGCTGTGTTTTTTTCACCAAGGCAGGTGGGGGAGCACCTTGTGGGGGTTCCTTCACCTCAACCTTGAAACCATCACCTGAAGGAAAATATGTTGTTTAGACAATAGTAGTAAAACATGCTAATAAGTTTATCATCTCTTACTGGCAATAGATTTAATTTAGCATTTTTTATGGGATATGAATTTTGTATTTTTTTTTAATTTCTGCAGCCCTGCTAGTTTTCAAAATAAAATTTTCTAGAAAGGGAAAAAATAAAATGTAATGAAAACAAAATAAATAGGAAAAGCTACATCTCTAGTTAAGGGGTGGGGAAGGTATGGAAGTTTGGACCCAATAGGTGACACTGTTATGCTTTCAGCTCTGAGGATATTCATTATCTTTGGTGCAAACTGAGCACCAATTACCAACTGACCACTAATGACAAAGCAAGTGGTCATCAATTCTCCACCCACCTGACTGTACACCATCAATGACAATGATGATGTTGTAGTAGCCAACAGATCCAGGGGTCCAGTTGGCTGTGTACGTCCCATCTTTGTTGGCCCTCACAAGCATGTTCTCACTCGGTCTAGGAATAGCGGGTGATGCTAGGCGCAGCTCTTCAAAGGAATAGTTCTCATAGGCCTGTAAGATGAGTTTTTGCTTAGTTCTCATAAGACTGGTTAATAATTGTTAAACTTTAACTACATTTATTGTGTAATCTTTAATTTTTCCACAGTTTTTCATTATCTTTTGACTTCCTACTTCCTGAATCCTTCTAAAATGATTTACCTCAACTTAACAAGCTTGCAAGAAAGCTACCACAATTTTCTTCATTGAATAATAATTGTTAATAATCAATAAAAAGCAATAATGTATACAAAATATACCTTTATCATTGTGATAGAATGAAACAGGTCTTTTTTCTCTTTCAGCACAGGCTCATAGGGTGTGTCAAGTAGAGGGGGTGGGTGACCCCCAAAGGTCATATCAAAAGCCTCACTGGCACGGCTATTGGTCTTTCTCATTTTTTTCAGGTCATCTCCCATTTCCTGCTGGTCTATTGGGATGGCTCGGACCTCCATCTAAACGATAGGTCAATGTAGTTTATTGATAGATGAAAACATTTGTAAAAACCTATTCCTCAATTACAAGCTTAGATATAGATTAAAACTTAGACTGTTAGATTGTGGACCTTAATCTAACAGGTATGTCAATATAGTTTATTGATGTATCAAAACATTTGGAAAAAACGTTTTTTTTTAGTGACAAACTTAAAATTTTAAATATAGGTTTAATCGTAGACTGTTATATTGTGGGCCTTATTGGATAGTAAGATTGTTATTGTTAACACAGAAATTTAAGGCAAGATAATAATCTGACATAGACAGTGAACTGTGTCTATACACAGCAAGAGCTAATACTTAAATAAAAAGTAAAAACATTTATCTTAAAGATTTTAAAGCTAAAGATTTTATCAAACAGTTATAGACATTAATATGAAAGATTTTTTACATCTTTAAAGCTGCCATTCTTTCTTTGTATTTTACCTCTAAGGAAGCCGTATAAAATAAGAATTATAACATGACAAATGGTATGCCTACCTTGAGGTTGGGCACATTGACCAGCTGACCATACTGGTCCTTGGTATAGACAGTGACACAGGTGGGCCAGCTACACTTGAGGTCCTCTCTGTTACACTCTATCTCACACTGCTTTGGGTCCAGGTAGGAATCTGGCTGGAGCCACCTACACAAATGGTTAACAAAAACTACAGTCAGCACTAGTGTTGCTAGACAGGTGTTTGATCAATAATTCCTACATCAAGATACAAAGCTAGTTGGAATTTCAACTGTAATGTTGCAACATGTTCAAAAGGTGTTAGCCGAATGTTACAACTGAATTGTTGCAACATAATTCAATGTATTGTAGTAACCTGTTTCTGACTGTTTTGTTACAAGAACTTCCAACCATTAAGTTGATAAAAATTCACAGCTTCAAAACATAAACGGGTGACCAGAATACTAAAAGAACTGTCATTTAAGTTTATCTAATGTATCCTAAATAACCCAGCTTTATTTAAATATATACTGTGTAGAATGATTGAGAATGATAGAGCAACAATGTCTTGCTATCATTTCCTTTTACAGCCTGTTTATACATGATTACAGAATGATCTGCAGCATCACAGGCTGGTATATTGAAATACATTAAAGAAAACAGCAGATTCATTGTTAATAGAGAGATAAATCAGCTTCAACAAGAGAAGGTTATGTGAGAATAGTCTATCTGGCAAGAGTAGACAGAAAATGAAATACTAAACACATCCTACCTGGCAAGAGTGGACAGAATAAAAAAAACACTAAACATATTTTACCTGGCCAGTCTCCCACCACTGGTGCCTGGGGTGCAGAGAACAAAGTCTTTGAGGAAACTGTGCTCATTGGACTGCCAGCACAGTGGGAGGTTGCCCTCTAGAGCCTGGTAGATGGTGGGGGGCTGGGAGAGGGCAAACCCTTTCTCCAGGAGGCTGGAGTGGTTCTCAAACACTATCCTTGCTCCCTCTTCAATGATCTCCATGTCCTCATCGACTTCTTCCATGGTTGCTGTGTAATGAATACTATCTATTAGTATAAAATAAATTATATAATAATAACTAAGCTAAATGTTTGCTTATATTTTGTAATCAGATATCCAAAAATTTATGTAATTAAAATACAAATAGTAAACAACAAAATATCAAGAAATTAACTCTTACTATGAATGAAATTTATTTACTTCAATATATAGAGTAATAAAAATTTATTTGATCCAATGTTTATATTCATTTTTAAAATTTTATTCTGAAGAATTGTTTTCACTGTTTGGTCACAGAACTCTACAGCCTAATAATTCCTATTGCAGTATCTTAAAAAATATGACCCAATGTCACTTTACTTTCATGAGTTTTTAAACACCTGGAAATAATCACTAAGATGTAAACACATGTAAACATCCACCTGTTATGTGACTCACCTGAAGGCAGCTGAATGTCTTTCTTCATCAAGGCTGAGCAGCACATACCACCCAAGTAGGCAAGTTCTCTCTCCAACAGAAGGATGCTCTATAGGAAGAGTCAGAACAAATTTATTCAACTCTAGTTAAACATTTACGTTTTTTATTCAAATACTTGTACAAAAACATATTCCTTTTGCAGTTACAGTTAAACTTCTTCTTCTTCGTTCTTAATTTTAGTGTTCGAAGGGGTCCCCCTCAAACACAGTTAAGTATACGTGTCAACTGGTTATACTCCAATTTCAGCCTGCTTTTCTTTTTGGATTTGCTTCCATAGCCTTTGTCCAAACAAGAAAAAACTTTAAGGCAGCAGTTGTTAAGATATATTTGACAAACCTCCTCTGGCTTAGCGCTCCACTCATAGCCAACAATGGAACACTTGAAGCCATAAAATGATGCCTTCTCATCTTTGACATAGTCTGAGGCTGTCTCCAGTGAAAAAATTACTTCATGGCCTACAACAACATAAGAAAAACCTCAGACAGCTGTCAGCTGTGTCTACAAGAAACCATTAAACAAAAACTAAAAAATGTAAATAGATTTTTAAAATTTCATTTTGTAATTAATAGTGCTAATTGGCGAAAAGTATGTAATGGACACATCTGATGAGACAGCTTTATATAAAAACTCCAAGGCAAATCAAGGGAAATACTCTATCCCCTTATCCAAATGTCATTAAACAGAAGTAATTAAAAATAATAAACCTACTTAATTGAAACCCATAACATTCCTAAATTGAAGTGTTGCATTAAAAAAATTCAATTTTGATAATTAATTTTTCAAATGTATACACTTGCACCATAGAGGTGTTTTTATAATAGAATCCAAATGTGAGTTAAAACATAAAATATGTTTAAAACTGGAATCACTATCTCTCTCAGGTTGGATTTTTAAAAGAAGAACATAATCAGTTCAAAAACTTGCTACTGGAAACCAATCATACAAAATTTGTAACACAGTGAATGTCTTTAAGTAGCAGCAGCTTGATGCTATTGCAGCTGTGAAAGGGTTACAAAATTCCAGAAGAAAATTTTAAATAAAGCTTACCTGGCAACAAGACGGCTGACTTTGGCCATTCTGTGGTCCCATACAACCTCTTGAGCACAGGCCAGAAGGTCAGGTTGGGGTCAAGGTCAGAGGTGGAGGTGGTGGTGGTGATGATCTTGCAAGCCTGGCCCTGGTTGGACCTGCTCTGGCAGTTGTAAGCTGGGATGTACAGCTGCAGGGAGTCCTCTGGCTGGCCGGTGGCACACTGGGGGTCAAACTCAATGACCATCCACTTCACAACTGAGGGGAACTCCACCTGTGTGGCAACCAGATAGATAAATATTGTAAGTCTTAACAATAAAAGAAAAAACCCATACAATCCTCGTACTTTGGATGGGTAAAGAGCTGCCACTAAAGAATTTATTTGAAGCACCAATTAACGTTTTTTATCACAAATAATTTAACCAACTCAACGCTAGATCTATTAAGATGAAAAGAAATGTCAGTAGGCCTATACATCAAGTCATTAATCAATTAAAATATTTTTTTTTATTCTGACAGACAGTAAACAATTATTTGTTCTTGGATTGTAAAGACCAGGAGAGATGAATTTTGGGATGAGTAAAAAGTGATAACACACAGTACAGAATCTTTTGTCAGGTTGGGAAATATTTTTTTTCAAGACTTTTTATAAAGCCTAGGCTAACATATAATTTACAACTTTTTAATAGTTTTCTTAAGAATTAATGTCTTACTTTGTTAAACAGTAAACATTAGATAATTTTGCTACACAAAAATGTATTAAAGGGGCACAAGTTTGTCAACTGAACAACCATAGTATATTTGATACTAGAGTAAGTTCAAAACCAATGGTCTGTTTGAAAACAGTCTATTTAACACAAATTTAAAACCCCAAAGATAAACTGAAAATCTTCCCTACTCATTTTTGTAATTTTCAAAATATTTACTTTTCCAATAAAAAATATCAACAAATTCTTTAGAAATTTTGATCAGAAATAACAATACCACATTTCTTGACACTCTAGTATTTCTTACTTTAAAATTTTCTCATTAAAAACTATTTTTTAAAACTTACCCTGTAATTGACAACGTTGGCAGGTTTGTAAGGGTGGTCACTCTCAACAATAGCATAATGCTGACTGGTTGTTGTGGCAGCGGTTGCGTCCCCTGCAGCAAGGCTGGATAGGCTGCTGGTGCTGCTGTCAAGGGCAGATGACACTTTGAAAAAGGAGTTTGACGTCATGCTGGTGTTGGCACTGGCACTCAGTGGGGCAGGTACCATCTGACGTGTCAGACCAGACACTGCTGGGAGAATCTCTTGGACAAGGTAAAGAACCTGGACGGCACCCTAAAGGATACATCAGGTTGTTGTTTTTTTTTATTTTCTTTTTGTATAATTAAAATTTCACTCATTTTACAAAATGAAAATTCTTACAATAGAATACTTTCTAAATCATGCAAATAATTTATTTTTTTGCAGAAAAAAATCGTCTAAGTTTGTAAATTACAATAAAATCTAATCTAGATCTATCAAGATTTGCACAAACAAAAATATTAATCTGAAAAAAGCCAAGAACAATAATTTATTATGACACAATAAAATAAGAGTGCTCACCCTTGGATCCTGCACAGCCACTGGCCCAACATAGGCAAGGGCAAGAGGAAGCAGGGAAGAGAACAGGTGTGACATGCCCAGACTTTCTCCAATGCTATCTGTAGACACAGATTTTCATTCAAGTTAATTTTTTATGAATGAAAATGTCAAAACTTCTATAAAAAAAATTTACTACCTAAATGTTATTTAAAAATCATGGTGTTAGTGAAGGAAACACATTTAACGATGAAAGATATAGGAAATGAATTTCCATAGATGCACTAAAATTAAACATGGTGATGTTAACTAAGCCCAAGACTTAACTATTAAAGATAGCACTAAAGACATACACCACTATGTACTTAAACAAACAAATTATAAAAAGTACTTGGTTCATACATTACATGGAACAACCATCATATATGGCACAACATTGTACTATAAATATCTTAAATAATAGTTCGTTCATTCTGTGATTTTAATTACATATAACAACAATCACACGCGGCACTATAAATACATACGGCCATGTGCTTGCGCCCTGTGGAGCAGATCTGTAGCAATGTGACTGATGGCTCCACAGATGTCTATAGCATTCCTCCTGGCCAGTAACTCCATCAAATGGCGACTGCTTTGGGTCTGTGCTTCTCCTTCTTGTGGTGTGCTGGAGAAAAAAATTGACATTGTCACATCACATGCTGAAAATCATAAACTTTTAAAAATAAATCTAGCATGAAGCTTACATCCAGCATTATAAATAGTTAATAGAGATGTCTTTTTAAAAGTATCCAAACAAAAATACAGAAAATATATGGTTATCAGGGGCGGAGTGGTCTAGCGGTAGAGACCTGGACTGCTAACCCGTAAGGCTCGAGTTTGAATCTGGGTTCAAGTCAGTAGACCGTCCCTGAGTCCACCCAACTCTGATGGGTACCTAACTCACGTTAGGGAAAGTAAAGGCGGCTGGGCATAGTAATGACCACACTATCTCTTCATATGCCGAGGTCACAGAAACAAGTAAACTCTACTTCACTTGCCCCATAGAATGTCAGATTTGAAAGGGAAACTTTACTTTTCACATCACAAGCTAAACACAGTTAACTTATTTTTAAAAAAATCTAACATAAGGCTTACATCATTATAAACGTTTTATATAGAAGTCATTTTGAAAGTGTCCAAAATCAGACAACAGAAAATATATGGTTATCACTTAAATTATGAATGGAATGAAATCACAATATAATATTTTAAAAACCCATCAAAAATAAAGAATTGGTAATTTTGTAATAAAAATAAAATAAAACCTGAGCCTGACTTAAAAATATCTAATTAAGAGATAAAAAGCACAAGAGGAAACAAAATTAAACAATGAAATATCTATCAAAACAATAAGTTTTTTATCAATAGTTTTAAAAATAAATAAATGATCACATTCAATAGAACTAACCTGTAATACAGAATCTGAGGTATCTGTCCCCTGATGATATTGGTGCCATTACTACTCTGCACACAAGAGGTGAAGGTGAAAACTGTCCCATCTGGGCAGCGCACCTTGTTGATGCCACTGTCACCATGGAATGTTCTCTGGCCATTGTTTTTCAATAGTACTGCATACTTTTGAGATTCCTGAAACACAATAACAATAAATGTATTAGCAATGTGTGCAATCTTCACTTTTATAAAACATCAATTTACTAAAACATTTTTGTTCTCTTTTTAATGAAAGTTTCCCTTTCAAACCTGACGGTCTATGGGGCAAGTGAAGTAGAGTTCACTTGTTTCTGTGACCTCGGCATATCAAGAGATACTGTGGTCTGCACTATGCCCAGCCGCCTTTACTTTCCCTTAGGTGAGTTAGGTACCCATCAGAGTTGGGTGGACTCAGGGACGGTCTACTGACTTGAACCCAGATTCGAGCTCGAGACTTACGGGTTAGCAGTCCAGCTCTCTAACGCTAGACCACTCCGTCCCATCTTTTTAATGAAAGTAAATACAAAATGTATTACTTTAGACTTCAAAAATTTAAATATACATTTAATGTTCTCTGATCTCATAAAGAAAATATCACCTTTAAAGGTAGGGGCCTGTCAAATCTCAGCTGTCATTCATACAGGTAACAAAGTCTCACCTTTAGAGGTAGGGGCCTGTCAAATTTGATCTCAGCTATGTCATTCATACAGGTAACAAAGTCTCACCTTTAGAGGTAGGGGCCTGTCAAATTTGATCTCAGCTATGTCATTCATACAGGTAACAAAATCTTACCTTTAGAGGTAGGGGCCTGTCAAATTTGATCTCAGCTGTCATTCATACAGGTAACAAAGTCTCACCTTTAGAGGTAGGGGCCTGTCAAATTTGATCTCAGCTATGTCATTCATACAGGTAACAAAATCTTACCTTTAGAGGTAGGGGCCTGTCAAATTTGATCTCAGCTGTCATTCATACAGGTAACAAAGTCTCACCTTTAGAGGTAGGGGCCTGTCAAATTTGATCTCAGCTATGTCATTCATACAGGTAACAAAATCTTACCTTTAGAGGTAGGGGCCTGTCAAATTTGATCTCAGCTATGTCATTCATACAGTCCTCCTGGGAGAAGGTTCCCTTGACTGTCTCTAGGCTGGTCCAAGACTCAGGTTTAGCACTTTGTTTCTGGCCCTCTGTTACTTCCTGTAAGATATTGTACATTTAGAAATTTTAACTTGTAATCACTGAGTTCATCATCATCATCATTCCTTTGTGGCCCCTGGATAGCAAAGGGCTGCAACCACACATTTCCAGCGGACTCGGTTTTGGGCTGCTCCCTTAATCTGTGCCTATGTGAGCCCAGCTGAGTTACTGTTATGAAATTCTGCTAAATTTCAGATTTACTATTTGGCATCCATTTACCATGAATATAGTTGGAGATTTTATAACATTATTTAGTTTTACCTTAAAGTTATATTTTAAAATACAAATGTGTGCACATAACATTTATTCATTAGAAATAGCTCAAATACCTAAATCAAATTCTTAAACCCCTCATATTATTGGCTCTAGATTAAAATAGCTAAAGTTGCAAAACAACTTAATTTGTCACGGTAGCTCACAAACTAATAATACTTGTTCAACTTTGCAAAAAAATTTTTTTTAAGATCTGAGAATGAACCTCCAACTATACAACATTTAAAAAAATAACCAAAGCCTTACTTCCTCTTTTAAGACTTCCACTTCATACTCGTAGGTGCCAGATCCACCATAGACACAAACACCAGCCATGACAATACCAGGCTTGTCCACAGAAAAGGCGATGCCATCAGGGCTACCTTTGCCAGTGTTCCACTGAGAGGTGTTGCTGCACCTCATGAAACGGTTGGGTGTCACCAGCATTGGGCGAGACGATATGTTGATGTCAGTCTATATGTGGGGGACAATATTTTTTAATTATATTATGCAATCAGTACAAAAAACTATTAAATCTGAGGACATTTCTAAGGTAGGTATATACTATATGACATTTCTGGGGTAATTAGACTAAGATAGGGATATGTTTTATGATATTTCTTAAATAGTTATATATTATACGACATTTCTAAGCTAGCTAAATATTTTGTTATTTCTGTTTTTTGTGTTACCCCTTTTCCCCCAATAGTGGAAATTAACCACTGTTCCCCCAATAATGGAAATAAACCATGATGCATTCTAAACATAAGCTCAATGTAAAGAGCTGAACTGCACCATGATGTATACAATAAATTCAAACGTGTTTATACACAATGCACGAAATAACCTTTTAAACAACTCCAGGTTCCTTTCTTTTAAAACTATTACAGGTTGTTTATTTTTTCTCTTACATGTTAAATATGATTATAATAGAGGATCAGAATTTTGACTGTGTGAATGTGTGTGAAGTTGCCTCTAATGATACAAGAGAAAAACCCATCACACTCAACTATTTAATGTTACTACTACATCAACCAATCACAATAACACTAAAGTCAAGCAACCAATCACAACTTATTGACTAACGCTCCAATCCCAATACCTCATATCCCATGGCAGTGGCGGCCAGCTCTCCTATGATGGTGGTCAGCAGGGCACACGTGTTGGCGATGAGGGTGGGTGGGAAAGATGAGGTCTCCTTGTTTAACAGCTGCCTCACTGGGATGGCCACAATCATCAGCAGACGGTCAAGGACATCCTTGAATGTGACATGTGACCCAGAGGGGAGACTATCCTCCTAATCAACAAAAGATGTATTATATTTTAAACATGACTTAAACTGCTGAATATATAGGTTGTATTATACTTAACAGGTTAAAGAATCAATGACTCATAATACTACTATTATTCAGTAAAGAAGCAAATCTGATATGCATTGATAAAAAAATTGTGACCGATGTAAACTAAACAGTTTTCAAAGAAATGTTTACCACTTAGCACTTGTTTAAATCAAGCACAAAAATTACAAGCACCAAAAAGTTGTGTTAAAAATCTGAGGCAAAATTTTGATTTCATTTGTCTATGATACCAGTCTATAGTCAGATTTACTAGGAAAAGGGGGTATTTTTTGGAATAGCTTTACTTTTTTCTAAATCAGTTTATAAGAAGAAAGACTTGTTACATTAGTTGCTTAATCTAAACAATGTCAATTGAAAAAGACTGCTAAATTTATTGGTTTGTTGTAAAAAAATTTAAGTGAAGTAAATTCATTAAATCCTTGCCTTTTAGCTCTCATATCTTTGGTGGGGATTTAAAAAATAAACATAAAGTAAAGGACAGGAGACTTGGGTAGACTACCTTAACAGATTAGGTGGACAGATGACCTAGATAGGACACCTGGACAGACTAACTAGGCATACAACCTGGACAGGACACCTTGAAAAACCACATGGACAGGCACCTAGACACATCATCTGGACAAGACACCTGGACACATCACCTGGACAAGACACCTGGACAGGACACCTAGACACATCACTTGGACAGGACACCTACACAGACCACTTGGACAAGACACCTAAAGTGACCAACAAGACACCTAGACAGACCACTTGGACAGGACACCTAGAGAGACCACAGTAACAAACCACCTGGACAGGACACCTAAAGGGACCAACAAGACACCCAAACAGACCACTTTGACAGGACACCTAGAGAGACCACATGGACAAACCACCTGGACACACCAAGAACAAGACAGCTCACCTCCATTCTGCAAGTCATGTGAGTGGCCAGCAAGGGGTATCTGTGCATCTCCCCCACCCTGGCCATAGCATTGGTGTTGTCGTCTATGCTCATGCTGTGCCTCCTCAGCACAGCCTCAGTCTCAGGCTCGCAGTTAATGGGCATGATGGCCGTCAGCTTGACTGCGGGGTGGCACATGGCCTCCATGACAGCAGCCAACAGCCTGCTGATGCCCATCACATTGGGGCTGTTCTGAAATTGAAATCAAACACCCAAGTTCACCAAAACAAGCAAATAAAACGTTAAAAAAAATTATTAAATTTAAAAAAAAATTAAATTTTTGACAACTATATACAAATAATTGCTTAATTGCTGCCAAATAATAACAAATAAAAAAATTAAATTTTTTAGCTTTAAATTTTAAAAATTATCTTTTTCCAATTATCCATCAACTGAAATTAGTTACAAACTGCTAAGTAAATAGAAGCTGCAAATGCATCCAAGCTTTGCATAAACAGATTGATCCAAACTATAAATTAGCTTAACCCTGAACCATTACGCTACAACTACTTTCATATTTTTAAAAAAAATGAGAAACTATTTCTAATCACAATAACAAAATTGGGTGTGGAAACTGGTAGAGAATTATTATATCTACTAGTCTATTTTTAACAGCAACATTAAAGATTTTTAGATACACTGCATTTTCAGTAGGTTTTTTTTAAAGGGTCTACTATGAGGAGAAATTGCCACCCATAAAAACAATAACAGAAAACACATTTTTTTTCAAAATCTTTCTGAAAATGTGAAGAAAAACAAAATTGAAGAGAAGAGATATAAAGTCACTTGTAAAGCAATGCAAACTTTAGCCACTGGTGCATTTTTTTTTATCATAAACCTTGTACAGAACTTTGTAAGATAAAAATGTAGTTAACACTATATATATATATATATATATATATATATATATATATATATATATATATATATATATATATATATATATATATATATATATATATATATATATGTTACGGTCAAAGCCCGAAGTGCGGCCAAAGCGCGGATTGGCCGGCCAATCCGCGCATTGGCCGGCTCTCTTGGCCAAAGCTCGAAGAACTTAGCACTAAGATCGTATTTCGTACATTGGCCGGCCAATGCGCGCACTGGCCGGGACGTACTGGCCAAAGTCCGAAGCGCTTAAACTTGACAGCGTATTTTGTACATTGGCCGGCCAATGCGCGCACTGGCCGGTATGTCCTGGCCAATGTTCTATCTAGACTAAGTTGTGATCGCATTTTCATTATTCTGGGTGCGTTTTCATTGTTTAGCTCTTGTTTGTATAGCATTCAATATGCAATGCGACATGGATCAAAAGGGCTTTCAGACCATGAGACAGACATAGCAGATGACTGTCAAAAGAAAAAAAATGTAAATCCATGTTAGTTTCCATATAAGGGCTCTCGATAAAATAGTTACTGAGGAAGATCTTGAGAACATTGAACAAGAAATGGAGGTTGCCATAAATGCAACGACATCCTCAGCTAACACATCTACTGCCGTGGCGGAACGCCCAGACCAGTTGCGTGACAATAATGTGGCCAACAGATTCTATATAGTTTGTGAAAAAACATTGTAGTGCAGCTCATTCTTTTGAATCCTGTGGCAACGATGTCCATACTATTTGTGGAATACCCAATGAAGCAGACGAAGGTTACGGAGGGAACATTACCTGCAGATTGTGTCACAACAAACAAGACATCATGGAACACAGGTCAGCAGCTCATACTGACTTGCAAACTCAAGGTGCTAAGATGTTTAAAACATCAAATACAAAATTTAAAGATGGTGAAGTGGGTGACAATGTACGCATCCGTTTTCCAGATGTTGACAGAGGTCACGGTGATCCCCGAAGCGTGATTGCAATTGTCATGAGCGTCGAGGGCGGTTTCTACAAATTAGGAACGGCACATGGTGTTCTAAAACAACTGTATGCTAAAAGTGAGTTTTCAATTCTTCACCAAAAAATGCTCTTATTGTCGACAGTTGGCACTGAGGAAAAATCACTACGAACCATCGCATCTTCACAATCATTGACTGGGGTCAAGGCTACGCTCGCTGCAATTGCACAACTAAGTGCACAACAAATCGCTGCAAGTGTAAAAATAACAAGCTGCTATGTAATTCTACATGCCATAAAAGTTCAACTTGTTATAACAAATGATGATATTGATAGATTGAGACTATAGTACAATAAAAAATTTGAATGTTTCTGTCATTTACTTTAATTAATAATCAATAAAGACTTAATTTCATGATCCTTACGGCATAAAAAAAACACCAAAATCTGCTCTTGATCTTCTAATTCGAACTTTGGTCGGTCGTCCCTAGCCAGATGATCTTCTAATTCAGACTTTGGCCGGTCCACCATGGCCAGTCCGCGGACTGGCCGGCCAAAGGCCGAAATCAAGAGCTATTTCAGACTTTGGCCGGTCCACCATGGCCAGTCTGCGGATTGGCCGGCCAAAGGCCGAAATCGAGCAAAGTTTCGGACTTTGACCGACCTAAGGGAGGCGATATTGGCCGATGCGCGGATTGGCCGGCCAATCCTAGCATTGGCCGACTTCGGGCTTTGACCGTAACATATATATATATATTTTTTTTTTTTTTTTATTAAAACACATTGGAGTCAGGATATAAATCAAAGATGCAACTGCCAGATTTGTACAAGGTGTGAGGTAGATATTCATAACTTGGTGGGTATATGACAGAAGAGCATAGCACTGTTACTGTGGATAGGTTAAGATATGCTCCTGTTATATGCTGTACTCATTTATTTGTTGCACTCAGAAATACTGTAAAGAATTGATATCAAGACATGCTCAGTAAGCAATCTAAACACCACTTGATTTTCCTGTGTGGTGGGGGAAAAAAAGCTAGTAACAGAAGAAACAAGGGTACAATAATATCACTGTTTCTCAAATTTATATTTCAGAGGTGCATCTACAAATTAATTGAAATTTTTCTATTAAAGCAACCAACTAAAATACTTTTTAAATTTAATAAGTGATAGTGTAGTATTATGTAAAGTAATAAAAAGTAACACTTTGAGAAACAATGGAAGTGTTTAAGTGCTCTTTCTTAGAACTCTTCAGTTCTTGAAGTAGTAATGTTAATGTACTGTGTAATCTTCACAACAAACTGTGACAATGTAACTCAAAAAAAAAAGATGGATCTAGTTCAATAGCACTCTCATACCCTCAATGTTTTACTAGATCTAAAAAATAAATGTGTTAGGTGTGATATATTGCCAAAAATTAAAAAAGAAAATCTTTTTAGAAAACAAAATCTTTAAGCAAAATCACCAAATTCTTCATCCAGAAATATTTCAATAAAAAAAAATCTTAAGAAAAACAGTAGCTAAAGATTCACACAAAACATACTTTTGTATATCATTAGATAAAACCAAATATGTAATACGTTGTTTTATTTCTTTTAGATATTTAGGTTTTATCTCATTTCAAATATTAATTGCACGCTTTGAAAATATTTAGTATCAGCCTTTACCTTAAGAATGTTAAGATAATTTATAAATATCTAATATTAGTACTAATTTGCATATTTGATAAATTAAAACCTTGAATACATTTTTAAACACGCTAATCAAATAAAAGACAAGTTAATAGCAGAACTATTAAGAAGTTATTGTTTATAAATTACTATAAAATTCATCCTAAAAATTAATTTATGCCCTTGTAGATAAGATTAGAGTGCACTCAATATGCTATGATATTAGCATGTTACTTCATGATACCAAGTCCAAATACTCTCACCATGGCTAGGTCTAGTTTAAGGTATAATTTTCAAATTATTTAAGCAGCTGGTATTTCAATAAACCTAAGACATTAATTACTTTACATACTACATTAAGTTGTTTAGCCCTGCAGCTCAGTTTGAGTTTTTCAGTTAAGAGAATTTTTAAAGTTGATTTCCACAAGGATCAGACTAATAGTATATAGCTAATATGGGTATTTTAGAATTTTTAAAGTTGATTTCCACAAGGATCAGACAAATAGTATATAGCTAATATGGGTATTTTACTGATGAGCACCTAAAACAAGATTCATAGTTAAAATTTTAATTTATTCTTTGGCGTCCATAGACCAGACATTAAAATAAATTTGCACTAACTGGTACATAATTGAGAATAACTTAACATCATACATCATACAGACCCAAAATGGTTCGAAGTGCAAAAGGATTATATAATTTGGTATTATTTTATTTTTTTTTAGTTTTATCAATATAAAGATGTCGAAAATGCTCTATACCCTAGGACTTATTTTATTTATACTTCAATTTGTTGAACTGACGGAAATAAGTTTAGCATCATCATAGTAAAGCTCAACAGTTTGCTCTCTACCCTAGTGCTAGACAGAAGAAAAGAGCTCATCCTTCTATACTACACAAACTGATCCTGCAACAAAATACCAATCAAAAGTGAACTAAATAGAAAAATTGTTAAAAAAAAAGCAAGCCAAAATGCTCATTGATTAACGAAAAATGAACTGTTAATGTTGCGCAGCTAAATAGCAGATTTGCAGATTTTATATTGAGTATAGGAAATATTTTCTACATTACCAAAAAGGCATGCTTTATTTTAAGACAAACAGTTGCATTTTTTATTTTCTACATTTTTTAAAATAAAAGGATTGAAAATTTTTTTTCTACTTTACACAATAATTTAGAATTAAAGTCAAAACTAAATTTGAAATACAATATAATTTTATATTAAAACTACATTTATTAAATTTAATTTCACTTAATTGTATGTTGAATTCCACTTTTAAGTTAACATAAGTTGTGCTTGTAAAATAAAGATTCCCCTCTGAGAGTAAATGAGAGATGAACAATAAATGTTTACAACAAAGTTCCATAACTCTGGTGAGCCATACAAACCTGTTGTGAGGTCACTCGCCGCTCTATAATCTGAGGGGAAGCAGCAATGTTAAAAATTCAACAAACGTAGAAGAGATTAAAGGAGAGATAGAAGGCGTGAGGGGAAGGGTGGAGGTGAGTAATGTACTGAAATAGCACCGAGACTTAAGAACAAGTATGCCGAAAAAAAGATAAACGACAATGCAAAAATTAGTTTGGCTAATTATTTAACACTAAGGCAAATTAGGATTCATGTTTTTAACAAGCACATGAAATAACTGTTTACCTGCAATTATTGTCAACTAATACAGCTTTTTTAGGGTTCTTTTCTTAGTTTTAATAAATAAACATAATAAAACCTAATTTTTCTTAAAAAGCTGACTTAATGTCTATCGAAAAAAAAAAAATTAAACTTCACAAATTTAAGATAAAATGTTGATGTGATAATGTTTAAATTAGTATTTTACATTAAAAGTAAGCTTCGATGCAGAGTTGTAAGCAAAATAAAGATGTCAGTATAGTTGACATTCAAATAAGTAAATAAAACATTATGTTAACATTTTTTTTCTTTTTCATACAAATATTTGAATTAATGATTATTTGATACTACTAATTTAATCACAGGACCAACAAGGTACACCTAGCCCTCCAAATATCATTATGCAATATATTAGTTTGAAAAAAAAAAGACGTACAGTACTGCTTAGCTGAGAGAATAGAAGTAGAAACTGCCATAGGTAACAATAATGATTGAAAGATGGCACCAATCACCTTTAGTTGAAAATATCACAAGCACTAGATAATATAAACACTGGATTAAACAAAAACATGCTGCAGAAAAACCTGAGGAATAAAATATGAATATAATTTTTTGATTTAAAAAAAAATGAACGGTAAAAACTTACTGGCTCCATCTGACACAGTAGGTCACAGAGGCACCACCACTTCAAGTGACCCGTGGGGTAGAAGGCATGAAAGCAGGCCCTGAAGGTGGCGTGGCACTCGTTCAGCACATCCTCCCTCATCTGCCTGTACTGCTTCATGCCCTGGTGCTCGGTCAGGGTGGCACGGAACTTGGCCACGTGGAGATCCTCCGCCAGGATCCGCCGCAGGAGGTCGCGGGCATCTCCTACCCTCTCGGCCAGCTGGGTGGACTCTGGTGGTGTCTTCTTTTTCATCACTGCTTTGGTGAAACACAATCTTTTTAAATGCTTTGATAAAACATTTTATTGAACAATGAAGAAGTTATGTCAATCTAAAAAAAAGACTACTTTATATACTCTGCTGGTCTCAGTAAAGTTAGGTGCTTGTGATCAGCAGTGGTGCTTTAGACAATTAATTAACAAAGAAGAAGTTAAACTAAATTTTTTTTGTGGTACATTATAATGTACCCATATAATTTTATTAATCCAGGGTATTTGTTTTTTACCTATCTCATTCAGTTTTAACCCTATTAATTCAGCTACCAATGACATAATTATTAAATCACCCTACTTTTAATTTGGCCTTCTACACAAAATTTTATCCCATATGCCTTCTGTAAAATTAAACTCAGCATCATTGACTTTACCCTAATTTGACTTATTAAACTTGCGACCAGTATATTTCCATATAGGAACACATGGTCAGGAGCAGAGGGTTTGAGTGACCCAAAGTCTTTGATGTAGCGGTTAGGTGGTAGAGCTCAGGCCTCTAACCCGAAAGTCTCGAGTTCATATCCAGGGTTCGAGTCTGTAGGACGTCCCTGAGTCAACCCAGCTGTGATGGGTACCTGATTCATATTAGGGAAACAAAGGCGGCTGGGCATAGTGTTGACCACACTAGCCCATGAGGTAATTTATACAGATGAACTCTACTTCATCTGCTCCATATGTCTTCTGCACTTATGCGATAAGATTATGAACCCAAAGACTTGATTTAATTCTTAGATTTAATTATGCAGGACATCCAAATCAGGTTAGGGAAAGTAAGTATAGGAAGCTGGGCATGGTGCTGATGACACAATCCCATAATTCAAAGTCACAGCAACCAGTAAACACTGGTTTATTGACTCAATGCTCATGTTTTAAAAGAACACTATTTCATATCTTCTGCTGGTCTCAGTAGAAAGCCGCTTGCTGACACCAATACTACAGAAGACAAAGAAAGCAGGTACCTCCATCTGGGTACACATCAGCCACATAAGTCCTAAGAAGCCTCAGACAAGCTCTGGAGATGAAGACAATCCTCTGTAGGTCAGACAGGACCTCGTCCTGCTCTCCCTTGAAGCCCGATGAGGTGGGGACTGTGGCATGAAGGGCAGACCAGCTGTACTCCAGCAGCTTGAGTAGGGCATCCAAACTATGCTATAAAAAAAACATGGATAGGATTAAATATGCCCAAACTATGCTGTAAAAAAACATGGATAGGATTAAATATGCCCAAACTATGCTGTAAAAAAACATGGATAGGATTGAATATGTCACATTTTTAAATAGTTTGTTTTATGTTAAAAAATTGTCAATAAAAAAGCTTTTTACAGGGCAAAAAGAACAGCTAAACAACTTATGGTGAAGGGTGGCATTTGATAACCCTGGCACTGACTGACCTGTGTTACTGTGTGTGAGAACTCTGTACTGAGGATGTGGGCAGTGTCCACTAGGTCGGACTTTCTTGTCACTGTTGGGCTATCTCTGGGCGGGAGTCTGTCAGATTGTTTGATTTTATGAGAAAAACAATGTTACAGATGAACAACTATATTGCTATTAAGAGTATTTAGTATACCTAGTTATTTAATAAATATGAAAATAAAGTTAAAGTATCACTAATACAAAATTTCATGCTTCATTAATAAAAATTTTCCAAAAGAAACTGAATATAAGTAAATTAATGTCTAGTATCCTCTTCTTCTTTGTTCTTAATTTTAGTGTTGGAAGGGATCCCACTCCAACACAATTAAGGATACGTGTCAACTGGTTATGCGCCACTGAGGCCAGTGACTCCGATTTCAGCCTGCTTTTCTTTTTGGATTTGCTTCCATAGCTTTTGTCCATCGTAGAACAAACTACAAGGGGGCAGTTGTTTGATTTTGGAGTTGTCTCCCCTAGAGTAGTGGCTGTCCCCAGCTAACGAGTCTCATCTGCCCAAGGGTTCGAACTGACTTTTTGGTTTAGCAACCATGAGCTTTTACCAACTCGACCATGCCGACCCCTATGTCTAGTATGATTTTGACCAAAATAAAAAAGTGTACAAAAAAGAACTAACTTGTACAAGAGTTGTGGTATCTGCCCAGCATTGACATCTGTTCCATTGTTTGACTTTCTTGAGCTTTTAAACTTAAACATCACCCTGGCAATAGAAAAAGTTACATAGGTAAATCTATTTTAATTTAGTTTAATTTACCAATAAATTTTTTAGTTTTTTTAAAAACTATCATTAAATTAATTTTTTTAAATTATTTCAAACTTATTTGTTTTTTGTAAAATATTTACACTTAACTAACTTCTATATTCTCTAATCTATATATATAATTCTCTCCTGGGAGACGCCAGAAAACAAGCTGTAAATGCGCTCCTTACCACCCCCACCCCTACATGGTCTGGTGAGCTGTGGTTCACTCTAAATGTTTACAAACAGATCCGGGTTTAGTGACGACTATTAGGGGCAGATAATTTAGTTTGAAACGATTTTAAACGTGGGGGGGGGGGGGGTAACTAAGTGGAGTTTACTTTAACGGAGGGGGGGGGGTGTTATCGTCCTTAACGAGCTACTTATAGTGTTTTAAAGAAATATTTTCAGTGGCAGCGTTGGTAGTGTCGAATTCACAAATTATGAATAACTGAGAAGTAGAAAAAACAACAACTAAATAGCGGCGTATGATATGCCGCGGGTCGGCTCGTACTATATATTCTAATATTCTCCGTCTTTGGTATACATGACTCAAATACGTCCCTTAAATACTTACGAGTCATCTGTGTGTACTGTGGACAAGCCGTTGGCCCCACAATCAGAACTTGGCCCTGATATCCTGGCCCAGGCCACATACCAAAAGTTAGCCTGGATTGGAACTGGCTCATCAAACAGCATGGCATATTTTTCCCTGAACAAACACATGATGATGCCAAGTAGGAGAGAGGGAACAGTCAATAAAACAAATACTGGAAGTATATATCTATGGTGACATTCACATGTTTTCAACTGACATTTATAAATTACTTAATTTAGATTAACAGGCTGAATGAAAGCAAACATAAAACAAATTAAAGAAAATTACTGTTTAAGGTCTGCAAAGACACATTAGGAATATTTATCAACTAAATATTGATTGATTTTATACTTATCATTTAGTTAGAAATACAATATAATTATTTGTGTGGTAAACAAGAGAATTTAATATATTAACCATAATAGTTTCAAGATACTTGTACTTTTTAGTTTAAAGACCAAACAAATTTAAAAACAGTCAGACTTTTTGTAAAACCACAAAAGTATAGAACTGAATGAATTTTTCATAAATTGTAGACAAAATAAGCTATTGGCTGGTGTAACATAGAACTTATGGGTTAATCTGTTTCATAAACAACCTTACCTTGCACCACAAACAAACTGTGTTTCCTCTGTTTCAACAATAAGCTCTCCATCCCCTTCATTATCTCCCCCTTCCAGACCAAGCTCATAAAGCTTGATTCTACCTAGGTAGCCTCCCCTTCCCCCAAACAGACCAAATCCTCCCAATAGGACATCTGTGTCACACATGAATCTAATGGCCTCAACTGAGTGGCCAGAATACCCCCAGCCTCCACCATGGCCTGTGGAGAAAAAAAAAGGCCAGAATAAAAATGCTAGCATCTAACCATTGTACTCAAAAATTCAAAACAAAAAAAAACCTGGAAATCTCTCTTGAACATTGGGGAACAATGCAAGACTTCAAATGAGTAAACTTTTTATATTAAAAATTGACGATTAAAAAAGGAATAGGGGAAATTTAGGCCTCGACATACAACTGCTTTTATAGTTGTTTCAACAATTTAGAATGGTATGAATAAATAACCAATCGCTTAATATTGTGCAGCAAAAATGTGTTGAATGACTTTTGAGTACATATGTGTGGTTAAAATTTGTAAAGCTTAAAATTTCTATACTTGGAGTTTGCAAGATAGTTGTGTAAATTAAACACATATTCTCAAATATCTATCAGGCAACTACAAACTGTCAAATCTACATTGAACAACTACATTATTTGTATCAAACAACTACATACTCTCAAATCTACAAACAACTACATACTCTCAAATCTACATTGAACTACATACTCTTAAATCTACATTGAACAACTACATTATTTGTATCAAACATCTACATACTCTCAAATCTACATTAAACAACTACATTATTTGGATCAAACATCTACATACTCTCAAATCTGTTGACTACTGTGTAATCCTCTTTACTGTAAACCTTGTTGATTGTTGTCTTTTCTCTGGACTCCTCAGCCACATGCAGCTTCAAATGATTGGCTACGGTCAAGGTGTCCAGACAACCTGATTGGATAATTAACTTATTATTAAACATGCTATGCTAAAAAAAAAAAAACTATGCTAGTTTAACCTCAATAGGTCTAATTTTTTTTTTAATGTAAAGAAATGTGAACACTTTACTTACTCTCACAACAGAATGTTAACACATGACCTAACCTCAAACAAAATGTTAACAGATGCCCTACCCTCACAAATGTTATCATGACACATACACTCACATCAAAATGTTAACACTGGCCCTACTCTCACAAACAAAATGTTAACGCAGAACCAACCCTCACAACAAAATGTCAACACAGGACCTACCCTCACAACAAAATGTTACCATGGCACCTACCCTCACAACAAAATGTTACCATGGCACCTACCCTCACAACAAAATGTTACCATGGCACCTACCCTCACAAAAAAAGTCAACACAGGACCTACCCTCACAACAAAATGTTACCATGGCACCTACCCTCACAACAAAATGTTACCATGGCACCTACCCTCACAACAAAATGTTACCATGGCACCTACCCTCACAACAAAATGTTACCATGGCACCTACCCTCACAAACAAAATGTTACCATGGCACCTACCCTCACAACAAAATGTTACCATGGCACCTACCCTCACAACAAAATGTCACCATGGCACCTACCCTCACAACAAAATGTCAACACAGGACATACCCTCACAACAAAATGTTACCATGGCACCTACCCTCACAACAAAATGTTACCATGGCACCTACCCTCACAACAAAATGTTAACATGGCACCTACCCTCACAACAAAATGTCACCATGGCACCTACCCTCACAACAAAATGCTAACACTGGACCTACCCTCACAAACAAAATGTTACCATGGCACCTACCCTCACAACAAAATGTTACCATGGCACCTACCCTCACAACAAAATGTCACCATGGCACCTACCCTCACAACAAAATGTCAACACAGGACATACCCTCACAACAAAATGTTACCATGGCAACTACCCTCACAACAAAATGTTACCATGGCACCTACCCTCACAACAAAATGTTACCATGGCACCTACCCTCACAAAAAAATGTCAACACAGGACCTACCCTCACAACAAAATGTTACCATGGCACCTACCCTCACAACAAAATGTTACCATGGCACCTACCCTCACAACAAAATGTCAACACAGGACATACCCTCACAACAAAATGTTACCATGGCACCTACCCTCACAACAAAATGTTACCATGGCACCTACCCTCACAACAAAATGTTACCATGGCACCTACCCTCACAAAAAATGTCAACACAGGACCTACCCTCACAACAAAATGTTACCATGGCACCTACCCTCACAACAAAATGTTACCATGGCACCTACCCTCACAACAAAATGTTACCATGGCACCTACCCTCACAACAAAATGTTACCATGGCACCTACCCTCACAACAAAATGTTACCATGGCACCTACCCTCACAACAAAATGTCACCATGGCACCTACCCTCACAACAAAATGTCAACACAGGACCTACCCTCACAACAAAATGTTACCATGGCACCTACCCTCACAACAAAATGTTACCATGGCACCTACCCTCACAACAAAATGTCACCATGGCACCTACCCTCACAACAAAATGCTAACACTGGACCTACCCTCACAAACAAAATGTTACCATGGCACCTACCCTCACAACAAAATGTTACCATGGCACCTACCCTCACAACAAAATGTCACCATGGCACCTACCCTCACAACAAAATGTCACCATGGCACCTACCCTCACAACAAAATGTCAACACAGGACATACCCTCACAACAAAATGTTACCATGGCAACTACCCTCACAACAAAATGTTACCATGGCACCTACCCTCACAACAAAATGTTACCATGGCACCTACCCTCACAACAAAATGTTACCATGGCACCTACCCTCACAAAAAATGTCAACACAGGACCTACCCTCACAACAAAATGTTACCATGGCACCTACCCTCACAACAAAATGTCACCATGGCACCTACCCTCACAACAAAATGTCAACACAGGACATACCCTCACAACAAAATGTTAACATGGCACCCACCCTCACAACAAAATGTTACCATGGCACCTACCCTCACAACAAAATGTCAACACAGGACCTACCCTCACAACAAAATGTCAACACAGGACCTACCCTCACAACAAAATGTTACCATGGCACCTACCCTCACAACAAAATGTTACCATGGCACCTACCCTCACAACAAAATGTTACCATGGCACCTACCCTCACAACAAAATGTTACCATGGCACCTACCCTCACAACAAAATGTCAACAAAGGACCTACCCTCACAAAAAAAAAATGCCAACACAGGACCTACCCTCACAACAAAATGACACCTACCCAAAATATGCAGTGCACAATGTGAGCGAGTGGCCTGACATCCAATGCGTGTGGGCACAGCCAGCTCTGGACAGAAGATGTCACAGTAGCCAGGGTCCACCTTTCTCAGGTCCTGGGACTCACCAATCATAACATTGTAGCACCTGATCTCTTGAGTACGGGGATTGTACCTGAAATAGGGGGAAAATGGTTACATACTGTGGGATTGGGTTCTCACATGAGAGTATGTAAAAGTAAAGTTTCCTTGATTGTACCTGAAATTGGGGGGAAAATTGTTACATACTGTGGGATTGGGTTCTCACATGAGAGTATGTAGAACAGTGGTTCCCAACCTTTTTCGAGTGGCGACCCCCTTTTATAAAAATTAAGTGACCCGCGACCCCCATAGAATTAAAAAGCCGAAATTAGTATGGAAATTAATAAGCACTAAAATAAGATTTTCTAGTAGACTTTGAATATGAACTACTCTTGATAACTGTTTTAATAGCATGAGTAAAATAGCATACTATTCACTAAACCTTCGTGGTTAAGTTTTTAATTTAAAAAAAAAAAGTTGTTAACGCCAACCTATGTCATTATAATTATCTTAATTTTGTTTTTAATCGAAGAATAGTGTTGAAAATATATTTTCGAAAAGTCAATCAATTTTACGTTTGGGTATGAATGGTGAATACTACACCAAAATTGTGTCTGCAGTTTTTCATCTTACACGGAATCATTCTGCAAATCAAAGAATTCATCTTGTAATTCATCGGGAATGCTGGCAACATCAAGGGGAGAAGAGAATGGGTAATGCGTAAATGCATATTCTTCTTTTTTCAGCTCAGAGAAATAGCGATACAGTTCATTTTCAAGAGATTCAAGATGCCCAGAAATCGCTTCTTTCAAAATTTTAATTATCTCACAATCAGATTCATCTACCACACCGCAGAGTTTCTCAAATTTACAATATTTCCAAGATTAGTTTTCTTTACCGATTTTGCAGCTTTGATAAAAATGCCCCGAGATTATCATGGAAAGTTATAATATTCGTTCATTTTCCCTGAAGCTTCAGGTTAAACTTATGTTCGAACATATCTGCTAGGTTTGATACTCTCTCCAACCACTCTATGTCGTTTTAAGTATACCAAAAAGTCTTGTTTCCTTTGCACTCCCAAGAACAATTTGATTTCAGATTTCAATTCAAAAACACAATTTACAACATTTCGTTTGACAGCCAGCGTACTGTAGTGTAGAAGAGCAGAACCTCGTGATCTATATTAATGTTTTTGCTCAGTTCTTTGATGCTCCAGATTTTATATAATTTACGACTTATACTAGCAATGGACTCTTGATGTTGATTGGTTAGGGCAGTGGTTAGGGAGCTAAATCTTTTCTGTTTTCTGAAAGCCCGATTTTGAGCTAAACATAGATGGAGCACCATCCTTACAAACCCCACAGCCATTCTAACCCATTTTAATCATCCAGTTTCAAAAAATGTATTTATTTTCTCCATGCTATCTTCACAAAAGAGCAACTCTTTTATCTTTGCTATCATCCGCATGAATATAGACACAGACCAGCAACTGCGAACACGAACTCACGTCTGTTGATTTATCATCTTGAAAAGCAAACAATGGTGAAAGCTTAATTTCAATAAAAATGTGTTATTTAACATTTACGTACATGCAGCGTTTGATGAGATTTTCTCCTATTGTTTTTTTTTTTGCTTGGCATTTTCTATCGCGGCTTTATTTGATGCACTAATGCTGGTGAAAACTTCCTGTTCGATCAAGTCTCTGGCGTTTGCAACTAGCTCCTTATCGACGAAAGAACTCCATATATTTTTTGGTGTGTTCCGAATGACTCGTCTCAAATGACGTTTTAGTTTTGAAAATTTCATAGATTCATGACTGAGAACAACTTTGTACAGTGCGCTTTGTTTCTTCTCTTTTACATTTCCAGTGATGTTAATGAAGCCGAATTTAAAAAATTCTTCTAAATATTTATGTTTTGTTTCAAATTACTAAGGTTTAGTATATCAGTTGGCGACCCCCGAGAAAGACCTTCGCGACCCCCAGGGGGGTCGCGACCCCCAGGTTGGGAACCCGTGATGTAGAAGTAAAGTTTCCTTTCAAACCTGACTGTCTATAGGGCAAGTGAAGTAGAGTTCACTTGTTTCTATGTGGTCAGCACTATGCCCAGATGCCTTTACTTTTCCCTAATGAGTTGGGTGGACTCAAGGGTCTACTGACTTGAACCAGGATTCGAACTCGAGACTTACGGGTTAGGAGTCCAGTTCTCTACCGCTAAACCATTCCGTATGAGTAGGTTTTTTTATGAGATATTTTCATGAAGAAAATTTTGTTAGTAGTATGTTAGTATTTGGTGTATTTTTCTGACGGGAACAAAAATAAAGAAAAAGAAGTTTCATGATAGTCAATTGTTCAATAGTGAGATACAAGTCACATGTGAGAGTATGAACAATAAAAGCTGATAAAATAAAAACCACGACTCACCCCCATAGGACATCGTAGACGGGGTCCAGACAAACAGCCTGGTTGCTAAGGTTCTCCTGCTCCTCCCCTGTAAAGCTGCGATAACGGAAAAAATAAAACCTTCTTAAAACACAGAAACAGTTTATCCTGAGGTTAAGTTAGTTAGCTTACATTTGAGACTTCCTACAACCTGATGCAAATAATTTTTATGTTGAAACTGAACTCTTGCTAAAAAGAATTTTAAATTGGAAATAAAAATAAAATATTGGAAATAAAAAAAATCTATGTAATATTAATATTACAAGTCTTTTTCTTTTTTTTCATGAAAATTCATTTAAATAAGTCTTAAATTTTAGTGGGTTTTTTTTTCATTTTGTTTCATAAAAAAATGTATTTTAAAAGTAAAAAATATGTATGCCATTTTATAGAAAATCTCAAAACTGAGCAGTAACACATTGAGAAAAATGCTATTTTTAAAACATAGCACAATCAAATATATTAATACAGATGTAATGTGTAAGACTCTAAGAGTGAACATTTGAGATAAAATATCGTAACTTAAACAGTACAGTGTAAGAATGAAGCAGGCACCATTACCTCTTACAGTTGCCATCTGTTTTGCTGATCATCAGACATTTGATCAGCCCCACATTGTCTTCTCCCCTGGGGATAAGTCCTGAAACAAAGATGTTTTGAGGTTTGAATTAACTGTAAAAGAAATAGTGATGTGGAAAAAATGCTGAGAGGAAAAATATTCTTAGTGTATAGATAGACATGTCAAAATTTGGTTACTTCACATAAGTTTGAAATAATGCAGTGACACTTTTAAACTGCAATCAGGTTTGAATATTTTGTAGTATTTTACTAGTCTCCCCTAAACAATGGCAAAATAGTATTTTTAAAATTCTCTTTCACAAACAATACCAAGAAACTTTTTAATATATTGCATAGTATTTTGAAATTACCCCTTTCTAAGGCAAATTTTAAAAAAACTTGTTTTTAACACCACTCTAAATAAAGCAATAATATCACAATTTTCTAATTGCCTCATTCAAAGTATACCTGTGTATAATAAAAACCCACCTATACAAGTCTTGCTGGCAAAGATATTTGATCTACTGAGGGTGTGAGCATTGATAAGAGACTCGTCTATCCTCATCATAGTCTGGTCTCCACTGGCACCTATCCAGGTAGCCCTGCGGCCATACTTGGCACCTGAAGTAAAACAAGGTTACACACCAGTTATTAAAATATATCCACTGTGTTGTGTATGTTTCTAAGTAATTTATTAAAAACATTTTTATACACTAATCATTTGTGATAAATTACTACAGTAAGCCTTTTTATTAAAAATAAATTCATGTGACAGGAATTTCTGTTAAGTTGAATATATAAAAACAGATATTTTGAGTACTAAATTTATAAATTCATAGAGCTCACAGTAAAAGCAGTAACTTGAGTACATGTTAGATAGCCAATTAATGTATTCCACACTAAATCTATTTAGTTATTCCATACTAATAAGTTAGGTAGAGTCAAATTATGACAACAAATACATACCAACACCTGGGACGGGACCTGGAATGCTGAACCACGGCCCATTCTTGCTTTTCACAGGTGACTCATCCAGACCATTTCTACCTAAAGCACCTTTCTGGAAGTGTTTAATATGAAACATCTATATAAACACCTTAGCATTATGTGTCAGCTTAGCCTATTGAAATACAAGTAAAATTACTATTTTCTATTTATAAAAGTCTTTTATTAAAAGTTCAGTTTTTTTAAATTAGTTTTTTTTTTTAAATTATTTTTTTTTTAATTTAATTAAATCCTCAATTAATTTATGTTAATTAATCCTCAATTAAAATTTTAATCTGGAACTATCTACAACAGCCAATATTATTAGGTTAAAAAAACATGAACAAATGCTTGTTTAAATATTAACCTGATGGTCTCCACAGGTGAGGATCTGGCCATTGGACAAAAGGAAAACAGAGTGGTGACTTCCTGCTGCTACCATAGTTACGGGTGAAGGAAGGGGAACTTTGGTTGGACGACCTCTGGGATAGTTAAAAAAAAACATAAGAGTGAGTACAATCAGCTATCAAAACTATCATAAAGCTATACACATGCTTCAAGTAAATTTTAAATTTAAATCATGAAAATAAGTATGTGAGGAATAAGATAAATGTACCTAATTTTGGTGTCACCCAGGCCTAGTTGACCATTGTTGTTGCTGCCAAAGGCATAAACATCTCCATTTTGTAGTAGAACAACTGTATAAGAGAGAAAAAAATGGAGTGCAAAAATTGACAAAATTTTTGGTTTGTTATCAAAATAATGTATGTTAAATTTTGTGCTATGGACTGGTTGCTGAACCTCAACACAAAACCTAATTTAAATATCAGAAAGCACTTTGAGATCAGCCATTTTTGTAGTAAGTTAAAAAGACTAAAACACAACATAAAATTTCTGATACAGAAGATTAAGCCGGAGAAATATTTAAAACTCATGACTTGAATTACTGGTTAGAATTTGTTAAGTTATGAGGTAAAACCCAGGCTAGAGAGACTAATTGCAGAGATCAAGTCCTAGCAGTAAATAAACCATAATCTAGTCAACTTATTGCAGTGTGTGATCTAGTCCTAGCAGTAAATAAACCATAATCTAGTCAACTTATTGCAGTGTGTGATCTAGTCCTAGCAGTAAATAAACCATAATCTAGTCAACTTATTGCAGTGTGTGATCTAGTCCTAGCAGTAAATAAACCATAATCTAGTCAACTTATTGCAGTGTGTGATCTAGTCCTAGCAGTAAATAAACCATAATCTAGTCAACTTATTGCAGTGTGTGATCTAGTCCTAGCAGTAAATAAACCATAATCTAGTCAACTTATTGCAGTGTGTGATCTAGTCCTAGTAGTAAATTAACCATAATCTAGTCAACTTATTGCAGTGTGTGATCTAGTCCTAGCAGTAAATAAACCATAATCTAGTCAACTTATTGCAGTGTGTGATCTAGTCCTAGTAGTAAATTAACCATAATCTAGTCAACTTATTGCAGTGTGTGATCTAGTCCTAGCAGTAAATAAACCATAATCTAGTCAACTTATTGCAGTGTGTGATCTAGTCCTAGTAGTAAATTAACCATAATCTAGTCAACTTATTGCAGTGTGTGATCTAGTCCTAGCAGTAAATAAACCATAATCTAGTCAACCTATTGCAGTGTGTGATCTAGTCCTAGCAGTAAATAAACCATAATCTAGTCAACCTATTGCAGTGTGTGATCTAGTCCTAGTAGTAAATAAACCATTATCTAGTCAACTTATTGCAGTGTGTGATCTAGTCCTAGCAGTAAATAAACCATAATCTAGTCAACTTATTGCAGTGTGTGATCTAGTCCTAGTAGTAAATTAACCATAATCTAGTCAACTTATTGCAGTGTGTGATCTAGTCCTAGTAGTAAATTAACCATAATCTAGTCAACTTATTGCAGTGTGTGATCTAGTCCTAGCAGTAAATAAACCATAATCTAGTCAACTTATTGCAGTGTGTGATCTAGTCCTAGCAGTAAATAAACCATAATCTAGTCAACTTATTGCAGTGTGTGATCTAGTCCTAGCAGTAAATTAACCATAATCTAGTCAACTTATTGCAGTGTGTGATCTAGTCCTAGCAGTAAATAAACCATAATCTAGTCAACTTATTGCAGTGTGTGATCTAGTCCTAGCAGTAAATTAACCATAATCTAGTAAACTTATTGCAGTGTGTGATCTAGTCCTAGCAGTAAATTAATCATAATCTAGTCAACTTATTGCAGTGTATGATCTAGTCCTTGCAGTAAATAAACCAAAATCTAGTCAACTTATTGCAGTGTGTGATCTAGTCCTAGCAGTAAATAAACCATAATCTAATAAACTTATTGCAGTGTGTGGTCTAGTCCTAGCAGTAAATAACCATAATCTAATAAACTTATTGCAGTGTGTGGTCTAGTCCTAGCAGTAAATAAACCATAATCTAGTCAACCTATTGCAGTGTGTGATCTAGTCCTAGCAGTAAATAAACCATAATCTAGTCAACTTATTGCAGTGTGTGATCTAGTCCTAGCAGTAAATAAACCATAATCTAGTCAACTTATTGCAGTGTGTGATCTAGTCCTAGCAGTAAATAAACCATAATCTAGTCAACTTATTGCAGTGTGTGATCTAGTCCTAGCAGTAAATAAACCATAATCTAGTCAACTTATTGCAGTGTGTGATCTAGTCCTAGCAGTAAATAAACCATAATCTAGTCAACTTATTGCAGTGTGTGATCTAGTCCTAGCAGTAAATAAACCATAATCTAGTCAACTTATTGCAGTGTGTGATCTAGTCCTAGTAGTAAATTAACCATAATCTAGTCAACTTATTGCAGTGTGTGATCTAGTCCTAGCAGTAAATAAACCATAATCTAGTCAACTTATTGCAGTGTGTGATCTAGTCCTAGCAGTAAATAAACCATAATCTAGTCAACTTATTGCAGTGTGTGATCTAGTCCTAGTAGTAAATTAACCATAATCTAGTCAACTTATTGCAGTGTGTGATCTAGTCCTAGCAGTAAATAAACCATAATCTAGTCAACTTATTGCAGTGTGTGATCTAGTCCTAGTAGTAAATTAACCATAATCTAGTCAACTTATTGCAGTGTGTGATCTAGTCCTAGCAGTAAATAAACCATAATCTAGTCAACCTATTGCAGTGTGTGATCTAGTCCTAGCAGTAAATAAACCATAATCTAGTCAACCTATTGCAGTGTGTGATCTAGTCCTAGTAGTAAATAAACCATTATCTAGTCAACTTATTGCAGTGTGTGATCTAGTCCTAGCAGTAAATAAACCATAATCTAGTCAACTTATTGCAGTGTGTGATCTAGTCCTAGTAGTAAATTAACCATAATCTAGTCAACTTATTGCAGTGTGTGATCTAGTCCTAGTAGTTAATTAACCATAATCTAGTCAACTTATTGCAGTGTGTGATCTAGTCCTAGCAGTAAATAAACCATAATCTAGTCAACTTATTGCAGTGTGTGATCTAGTCCTAGCAGTAAATAAACCATAATCTAGTCAACTTATTGCAGTGTGTGATCTAGTCCTAGCAGTAAATTAACCATAATCTAGTCAACTTATTGCAGTGTGTGATCTAGTCCTAGCAGTAAATAAACCATAATCTAGTCAACTTATTGCAGTGTGTGATCTAGTCCTAGCAGTAAATTAACCATAATCTAGTAAACTTATTGCAGTGTGTGATCTAGTCCTAGCAGTAAATTAATCATAATCTAGTCAACTTATTGCAGTGTATGATCTAGTCCTTGCAGTAAATAAACCAAAATCTAGTCAACTTATTGCAGTGTGTGATCTAGTCCTAGCAGTAAATAAACCATAATCTAATAAACTTATTGCAGTGTGTGGTCTAGTCCTAGCAGTAAATAACCATAATCTAATAAACTTATTGCAGTGTGTGGTCTAGTCCTAGCAGTAAATAAACCATAATCCAGTCAACCTATTGCAGTGTGTGATCTAGTCCTAGCAGTAAATAAACCATAATCTAGTCAACTTATTGCAGTGTGTGATCTAGTCCTAGCAGTAAATAAACCATAATCTAGTCAACTTATTGCAGTGTGTGATCTAGTCCTAGCAGTAAATAAACCATAATCTAGTCAACTTATTGCAGTGTGTGATCTAGTCCTAGCAGTAAATAAACCATAATCTAGTCAACTTATTGCAGTGTGTGATCTAGTCCTAGTAGTAAATTAACCATAATCTAGTCAACTTATTGCAGTGTGTGATCTAGTCCTAGCAGTAAATAAACCATAATCTAGTCAACTTATTGCAGTGTGTGATCTAGTCCTAGCAGTAAATAAACCATAATCTAGTCAACTTATTGCAGTGTGTGATCTAGTCCTAGTAGTAAATTAACCATAATCTAGTCAACTTATTGCAGTGTGTGATCTAGTCCTAGCAGTAAATAAACCATAATCTAGTCAACTTATTGCAGTGTGTGATCTAGTCCTAGTAGTAAATTAACCATAATCTAGTCAACTTATTGCAGTGTGTGATCTAGTCCTAGCAGTAAATAAACCATAATCTAGTCAACCTATTGCAGTGTGTGATCTAGTCCTAGCAGTAAATAAACCATAATCTAGTCAACCTATTGCAGTGTGTGATCTAGTCCTAGTAGTAAATAAACCATTATCTAGTCAACTTATTGCAGTGTGTGATCTAGTCCTAGCAGTAAATAAACCATAATCTAGTCAACTTATTGCAGTGTGTGATCTAGTCCTAGTAGTAAATTAACCATAATCTAGTCAACTTATTGCAGTGTGTGATCTAGTCCTAGTAGTTAATTAACCATAATCTAGTCAACTTATTGCAGTGTGTGATCTAGTCCTAGCAGTAAATAAACCATAATCTAGTCAACTTATTGCAGTGTGTGATCTAGTCCTAGCAGTAAATAAACCATAATCTAGTCAACTTATTGCAGTGTGTGATCTAGTCCTAGCAGTAAATTAACCATAATCTAGTCAACTTATTGCAGTGTGTGATCTAGTCCTAGCAGTAAATAAACCATAATCTAGTCAACTTATTGCAGTGTGTGATCTAGTCCTAGCAGTAAATTAACCATAATCTAGTAAACTTATTGCAGTGTGTGATCTAGTCCTAGCAGTAAATTAATCATAATCTAGTCAACTTATTGCAGTGTATGATCTAGTCCTTGCAGTAAATAAACCATAATCTAGTCAACTTATTGCAGTGTGTGATCTAGTCCTAGCAGTAAATAAACCATAATCTAATAAACTTATTGCAGTGTGTGGTCTAGTCCTAGCAGTAAATAACCATAATCTAATAAACTTATTGCAGTGTGTGGTCTAGTCCTAGCAGTAAATAAACCATAATCTAGTCAACCTATTGCAGTGTGTGATCTAGTCCTAGCAGTAAATAAACCATAATCTAGTCAACCTATTGCAGTGTGTGATCTAGTCCTAGCAGTAAATAAACCATAATCTAGTCAACTTATTGCAGTGTGTGATCTAGTCCTAGTAGTAAATTAACCATAATCTAGTCAACTTATTGCAGTGTGTGATCTAGTCCTAGTAGTTAATTAACCATAATCTAGTCAACTTATTGCAGTGTGTGATCTAGTCCTAGCAGTAAATAAACCATAATCTAGTCAACTTATTGCAGTGTGTGATCTAGTCCTAGCAGTAAATAAACCATAATCTAGTCAACTTATTGCAGTGTGTGATCTAGTCCTAGCAGTAAATTAACCATAATCTAGTCAACTTATTGCAGTGTGTGATCTAGTCCTAGCAGTAAATAAACCATAATCTAGTCAACTTATTGCAGTGTGTGATCTAGTCCTAGCAGTAAATTAACCATAATCTAGTAAACTTATTGCAGTGTGTGATCTAGTCCTAGCAGTAAATTAATCATAATCTAGTCAACTTATTGCAGTGTATGATCTAGTCCTTGCAGTAAATAAACCATAATCTAGTCAACTTATTGCAGTGTGTGATCTAGTCCTAGCAGTAAATAAACCATAATCTAATAAACTTATTGCAGTGTGTGGTCTAGTCCTAGCAGTAAATAACCATAATCTAATAAACTTATTGCAGTGTGTGGTCTAGTCCTAGCAGTAAATAAACCATAATCTAGTCAACCTATTGCAGTGTGTGATCTAGTCCTAGCAGTAAATAAACCATAATCTAGTCAACCTATTGCAGTGTGTGATCTAGTCCTAGCAGTAAATAAACCATAATCTAGTCAACTTATTGCAGTGTGTGATGTAGTCCTAGTAGTAAATCAACCATAATCTAGTCAACTTATTGCAGTGTGTGATCTAGTCCTAGCAGTAAATAACCCATTATCTAGTCAACTTATTGCATTGTGTGATCTAGTCCTAGCAGTAAATAAACCATAATCTAATAAACTTATTGCAGTGTGTGATCTAGTCCTAGCAGTAAATAAACCATAATCTAGTCAACCTATTGCAGTGTGTGATCTAGTCCTAGTAGTAAATTAACCATAATCTAGTCAACCTATTGCAGTGTGTGATCTAGTCCTAGTAGTAAATTAACCATAATCTAGTCAACTTATTGCAGTGTGTGATCTAGTCCTTGCAGTAAATAAACCATTATCTAGTCAACATTGCATTGTGTGATCTAGTCCTAGCAGTAATAAACTAACTTACGTGTGTGGTGTAGACCAACTGCCACCTGCACTGCTGGACTGCTAGCCTCAATGATTGTCTCAGCAGGAGGGAGACTGACCAGCTTGGTCACTTCAGCTTCTGCTTCATTGGATCCCTCTGTAAACATTCAAACATACATCAGTTTATTGCATGTATTTAAACTATCAATGTAGTACTATAAACAATTTTTAAAAATTTTAGACCATAAACTGTTACTTAACTTCTATAAGCCATGCAGTTAAAACAGTGAAATGTATACACATTTGGTTTCATTTGTTTTTTTCTTCTACATACATATATATCTACGGCAGCAAAAAAGAGAACTATATGCAAGTTATTGTACCTCTGTTCTTTTTCTCTCTGGCAAGTTTCTGGGCTTGTCGAAGTTGTATCTTGTCATTTTTCTTTCCCAGAACATCCTTAAGCCTGCTGGGTTCTATGAAAAAAATACACACTCATCAATTGATAATAGAGTACAAAAAATTCATACACAATGTAATATGCCAGCGAAAAACTACAGAAAAATTTGAGTGCCAAGAACCACAGTGAGATGCATAATTTCATAAATAATTCAAGGCATTTCCCAGGAAGAAATTCAAAAATACAGTATGTCAAGTAATAAATTCTTGTAACAAAACCTAGTATTAATTTTATTATAAAACATAACATTAATTTTCTTGATAACCCAATTCACACTTGTTTCCAGTTTGGGAAAATGGATCAAAAGAAAATCTTTTTAATTAATAAACAAAATAAAGGAAATTGAAAAATGCGTCTTCCTACTGAAAAATAGGACTACCTTAAAAGTAAAAAAAATAAGAAATAGCATTGTTATTACAAAACAAAGCTGACCTTAAAAGTAATAAACTAATCTTACAGGTAAGGCTGAAGCCAATATTAAAATCTTCACAACCTGTACCAGTTTATTAATTTGAGGAGTAAATTTATCAGTAAACATCATACTAGTTCAAGGTTTACGTGACAGTCAACAGTCAGGCAGGGTGTCTACTTACGCATGACATCCAGAAGCCCACGCTCATCAAGCTCATTAATGCCCATCTTCTCCTCAGCGCAAACACGGCAGGCACCACATTCAGAGCAACCAGAGTCACCTGCACCACATCCACAGGGCCTACAAAATTTAATCAAACAAACACCACTAAAATAAGAAGCAATATCATGGTAAGAAGTATGCTGCTTATAAATAAGGGGGAAGGGGGAAGAGAGACAATTACTTGTTATAATTTATTTAAATAAAGGGAGATAATGTGAAAAAACAAGGTAAGCAACTCCTGCACAGGTACACCATGTTTTTTATAGATAGTGAAAATAATAAAGATAACAACATCATAATTGTGCCATTAAACTTTGTGGGTTTTTTTTTTATGAAACCATCTCAAGTGAGAAAACAAGTATGAACCTGGTAACAATAACAGTGGCAATGTTTGAATAATTAATTCAGCTGGGTGTAGGAAAATAAAGATTATGTTTTGCTAAGTTGAGAGTAAAGTGCCCTTTAGGAACTGACATCATATAGGGCAAGAGAGGGAAAGTTGAGGGCTAGTACAATATAGTCTTTTATATTCCTAACATCATGTGTTTGGTAGAATTCCCCCTACCCCCTCTCAACAAACACAATAGACATAGTAGTTCCCAAACATTTTAAACTTAGCAGTTCTCCAACATTAGGGCTTAGTTCTCTAATATCAGAAACTTCATAGTTCCACGAACACAATAGATTTGATAGTTCCCCCACATCAAGTGCAAGGTAAGTTCCCTAACATCATGTACTTATAAGTTCCCCCAGCATCAGGCACAGGGTACCCCCCCCCCCCACCCCCACCCCACTCGATCAACATCACACACTTTGTAGTTTTATACAATCTCAATGTAACAAATGAAGAAGCAGCAAATTCTGTCCATTGCAAGATTGTGGGTTTTGGTCAGGGTAGAAAATACAAATCTCCCAACAGCTCTAAAGATCAAGCTGTGTGTTAATAAATAGTATCTTACATTCCAGGGTTCCTGTCTTTGCGTCCACTGTTGACACAGCTCACACCATAGCCTGTACACTCTTTACAGATTGAGCAGATCATGCACACCTCCTGCACCCATTTGTGTTTGCCTAAAGAAAGGGAGATAATTCGCAAAATTCATTTTTTAACTTATTTACTCCAAATAAATTTATCTTTATACCAGGGGAGAGAATAGGCAGAAATTTTAAAATGCTGATACTCTAAAATTGTTTAATTGATCAATTCAGGGCTTATATATGTTGAATAAACTGAATAAGTAGGAATAAACACTATTAATGTTTAAGCACCAAAGTTTTTTCATCTAAGCTGATAATCATGTAAAACTTTTAGGCTAGTAAAGGAAATGTTTTAAATATATTTCAGGTACTTATCAACAAACATGTTTATTCTTCATATTAAATTTTCAATTTTCAGTTAGAAAAAAAACCAACTGATGTAAATTGTATAAATTGTAGTATTAGAATTTTTTACAAGTAAGGAATTCAAAACAAATATGTTTACACTTAAACTAACAGTCACAGGTAATGGTTGTTTAAATCTTTACAATCATTTAACATTTTAATTTCCACAGATAATGAACTAGTTAGAATATTACTTTGGGAAAAAATATTTAATAATTAAAGATAACATAACACAGGTGAACATGTGGCCACAACAGCTGCTACAGACCCATCAAACCATGTTTTGACATGTGTGTCAGACTGACAGTAACCACAGACATACCTGGAGGGCAAAGGTTATCATCTAGCTCTGTCTCCTCTTCATCCTCTGCCATGGTTATATTGTGACTCACTAGACAGGAGAGTTGATAGTTATTATTAGAGAAAGTATTCACAGGTTTAACATCACTCTACTGTATTATGATTTAACGACTCATACATCAAAAACAAAAATTAATAAAACTGATAAACTTCCTTGATAATTATTTCGCAAAATAAACACAACTACACATGTTTAAAATAAACAAAACTATACATCTTTAAAATTAAAAAAACTATACATCTTTATAAAGTCTGGAGTATAATATAAAATGTTACAGAAGACAACAGCACATAATAAAATGTTATCACTGGGGACCAGAAAATAAAGGTACACTATATACAGGAAAAAATCTGTTCTACATGATGATGGTTACATGGCAATGAAGTTTTAGTTGATAAATGAAGTGACTAGCATATAGACTGGGGAATAATACATGTTACACAAAAATACATGATGAAAGTTACAGATCATCTGGGTTATAATAAAACAGTTACACAAATACTGTTGGGGTTGATAAAAAAGATACAAATCATTACAAGAAAATGAGGTAAAACAAGCATCAAGTCTGGGGTATAAATATTAACACAAATACAGTAATATGAATGTTATAGATGATTACTTGACAAAAGGTACAAATAATTACAAGAAAATGAGGGGAAACAAGCATCAAGTCTGGGGTATAAATATTAACACAAATACAGTAATATGAATGTTATAGATGATTACTTGACAAAAGGTACAAATAATTACAAGAAAATGAGGGGAAACAAGCATCAAGTCTGGGGTATAAATATTAACACAAATACGGTCATATGAATGTTATAGACGATTACTTGACAAAAGGTTCAAATAATAACTAGAAAATGAAGGGTAACTAGCATCAATCTAGATTATAACATAAAAGTTACACAAATACTGTTGGGGATGATGAAAAAGTTACAAAAAATTACAAGGCAGGTTATAATGTAAATTTTGCACAAATACTGTTGGGGATGATGAAAAAGTTACAAATAATTACAAGGCAAGTTATAATATGATACTGTTGAGGTTTGGTTTGGAAAAAGTTACAAATAATGACACAACAATGAAGTTTTAATTGATAAGAAAATGAAGGTACGCTAGTCTGGGTTATAAGATAAATGATACACAAATACTGTCTGGGATGATGAAAAAGTTACAGATGATTACACAAAGATGACACAAGCAGATGGATGACACAGAATATTAGTTACAAGGCTGAAATTGTGAATACATGAAAAGTATAAATACAACATATAAGGTGCTTGTGTGTACGTACAGCAAGCAAACATTATTCACAATTATAGTAATGTTTACGTAAAACTAATATACTGAAGCAAAACTAAAACTGTAAGTCTGGTGATGAATATATTATTAGATTTATTTAAATATATAAATCATCTTTAAAATATTCCTCAAAATATTTTTTCAAAGAATAAGGATAAAAATATCTTTGAATCAAAACTCCTGAGTTAATATTTGTTTATCCTTTGTTGTTTTGACTGCTTGATTTATTCATGTTAGGTAAAGCCAAGCTTAGCTGTAGACCAACAAGCAAGAGGGACACATGAATAACTCACAATCACTTTGAGCATCATCATCATCTATTGTAATGTCTCCCATACTCCTCCGCTTGCTCACCCCATACATGTGGGACATCCATTCTCATAAGGGGAAGGAATGATTTCCATTAAAACATTGGTTTTAAAGCAAATGGGAAAAATAGAGGTTTTACAGTAGGAAATAGTAGGTGCACTGTCAATTTGGAAGAATGTTGTTTAAACAGTTTTAGAAGATGGGAAAATAGGGAAATTTTTCAGCATGTAACAGTACACACAAATTCAGAAGGATTTCATTAAAACATTGGATTTAAATGGAAAAGGTGGATTTTACAGCATGTAACAGTAAACAACAATTCTGAAGGATCTCATTAAAATATTAAATTTAAAGCAGAGTGATTTTTGCACACCTTAATAATATACTGTTCTACAACTCAGAAAGATTTTAAAAATCTGTAATTGTAGTAGGGGAGGGGAGTCATAGTACATAAAGAAAAGTGGTTGGAATGATTTCATTGAATGTATTTATAGTGGGGTTTTTATAGACAATATAGACCAAAAAAATGTAAACAATTAATTGGACTTCACCATTTTAAAATAATGCTAGAAAAGCTACAGATTACTTTCAGGGAGCTAAAAATGTTTTTGACATTAACAGAAATATCAGTAAATTGCTTTTATATACCTGAAAAGTGAAATTTATAAATTTTTCTCTTAAATTTCTAAACATAATTTTACTGAGAAAATAATAATTGAAACGGACAAAAGTTAAAATTTCCCAAGTTTGGCATGGAACAAAAATTAGCTACTTCGTATCCACATTTTGGCTTAACTTACAGAGAAACTAAATTTAAATCAAGCAAGATTTTCTATCAATTTCTACTTTTTCTGTATTCAGCTGAATCAATATAAAGTATCAAGGACAAAAATTAAAAGAATAAAAACAAAAATTATTTGCTGTCTATTAAAAAAAAAATCAGCAATCCAAAGTATTATAAAAAAGCTTGATATAAAGAACCAACAGGTTAAAATAACAACATTTACTATCTAAGCCATAAGCTTCTCTACAATATTGAAGTTCTTGTTCATGAAAAAAATTAAAGGAATACACATGATGAACTGTAAGTAAATAGATGACTGAGGTAACAGTAAAATTTAATAAATGAAACTATTTCTTAGCAAATTTGTATAAACAAGTTTTAAGAAAAGTCTACTGAGCCTTTTTTTTTTAACAAAGAACTTGAAAAGGAATATATTATACCTGCCCTCTTAGGACTATTTGAGTTGAAATAGCTTTTATTTAAGCACTTGGCTATACCATTTTATAGCTGTTTTTGTTAAAGTGTTATAATTTTTTTAAAATTTAACCCCACGAAAAAGATAATGCAAACTTTTTGCGATGAAGCAGAAGGAGAGTGAAAGAATAAAAACATACTGTCTTTTGTGGCTCCGTGTGAGCTGAAATCCCTGCCACACTGGCCCTTGTTGTTGATGCCAAATGTGTAGACCTGGCCTTTGGTGGTGAGTACAACAGCATGGGCCTTGCCGAGGCAGACCTGGGCCACGTGGACATCTCTTAGCTCTGTTACCAGACCTGGTGATTCATTTTAATATTTGTTGACAACAATATTGTTAAAATTATAGGCTTGCTTTAATTATTTGCAACCTGATGATTCATTTTAATAAGTGTTTACAAGGTTATTGTTAAAAGTATAGGCTTGCAGGAAGACATGGCAATGTAACATACTGGAGTAGGCCGAAAGAATAGGAAGGAATTGGGAACAGCTGAAAAGAGAGTTAGGAGACCGTGGAGAGTGAAAACTTGAAAAGGAGTGAAAAATGAAAAAGGATGACAATAGGCTTGATTTCATTATCAGAACCTAAGTAGAATTGTAATATTGATATAAGCAAATCAGAAATAACTTTTAATAATAGTTGATTTTAAACTTATACATCAGTTGGATACATTTTTTGATAAAACTAAATACATCACAAATATTGTTTTCAAATGTTCAAAATAATTATGTGGTGTAAGATGAATCAGAGTAAAAGTGGAGTTGTGACTTTAAGTTGGAGGATGCTATATATTTTTGCTTTCATAATAGCTTGCAAAGATTTATAATACCAAATTAGGTTTATATTGTGTCAGTAAAAACATGGGGATTCCAAAAAACAAACATATTTAATAAAATAAAGGGACAAAACTCTCTCAAATGAAATAAAAACATACCAGTAGCATGATCTGAGTGGTTGGTGTCTTTACCAAACATGTAGAGCTCTCCCTCTTTGGTGACTAAAGCACTGGTGCCACTGTTGCAGGATGCTGTCACAACAAACTTGGACTCAAGACGGACCATCTTTTTGGGCTTGGTTGGTTTGGGCTGTCTCCTGACCTTGCCTGGGTAAAATATATTCAGGATTATAGCGCAGCTTCATAGTGAACATAGCAGACAAGAAAAAAACAAATATAAAAACTTATTAAATGCACTAAAGATTCAGATTGAAAATAAGATATTCTTGGGTTGTCATCAGAAACTATTGCTGCAATAGAAGTGGCTCAAAACAAGCTTAACCACAAACCCACAGACATTTTGACCATAGCTTATAAAAAGTGTGTGTATTTTATCTTTCCCAAAGTAACAATAAGTATAGTGACAGTATTTATTCCCTGTCATTATTGACACAGTGGATAATGGTAAAACACATGACTGTTAGTTGATCTGAAAGCTTGATTTTCAGGGTCAAGTTCAAAGCACTTCCCAGACTCTACTCAGCTGTGACTGGTGCCTTAGTTAAGTTTGGGAAAGTAAAAGAGGCTGGGTTTAGTCATTAAAGCACAATCATTTCATTTGACAAGGTCGCAGAAATAGATTAACTGTACTTCATCTTCTCTATGGACCATAGTCTGAAAAAGTATTTGTTTTTTATTGCTTTGAATCAAAGAAATTACAGTATTCATTTAGATTTAGAAGCTCCTTAGAAACAGTATACACAACAAAATGAATCATGACAAAAAATCTACACACCAGCACTGGCATCTCCATCCTCGCCCCTTCTGGCCGTGCCAACAAAATACACACTCCCATCTTCTGCAACCAGCAGCGCATGCAGGCCATCATGGCCCAGGGCAATATGGTTCATTTTTGGTGACTTTGTGATGGCCAGCTCAGCCCATTTGCTCTGTGACTGATTAGATTGTTTAATGCCTAACGAAACAGCTTTGCCTTGATACAAGACCTGTAACGAAAATGAAACATGCAATCAAATATGAACATCAAATTGTCTACAGGTAAGAAATAAACATAGCAGAAATGCAGAATTCTAAAAAATTATATTTAAACATCATTGTAAACGTAGTAATCATAAGTAATTTTATAAAATTAATACCAAAAGCAGTATAACAGTCAAAAATCTATTGAATTATTGTTATGTAAGTTAAAGCAGATAAGAGTTGCCTACCTTGCCAGTTACTGTTTTAATCAGAGAAAATTCTTTCCCAGAAACAATCACAAGTGCATCTTCATCAAATCCAGTTGCTGTAAGATAAAATATTCAAAAATGATTGAAATACTATCGAGAAATTAGAAAACATAACATTAACATAATAATTAATTTTATGCCCAATTATTTATGTTTAGTTTTATCATCAGCTTTTAACAACTAATTACCAATTGTCCGCTTTTCATAGGTAAAATCGAAAGGTGTAGATCCCATCACATCCATACATTTCCTTGTTAGCTTCAGGGGAACTTCATTCACTTGTGACATTGGTGGGTTGCTGACTGGGCTAAATGTGCGGATCACAAAACTATCCTCCTGGAAAACAAAGGCATTCATTTTTAAACTAACATTCCTTATAAGGCCTGGCAGGAGATTTAATTATGTGATAAATCAAAGTGCATAATCCCTATGCATGGAATCATCCCAGGACTTATTCAAGTGAGTATCAGTCATAAAGAAAATATTTTTGGGCTATGTGCTGACTTTACATATAACCATTGTATGACTTTATGAATCAGTCAAAACAAGATTATTTTATATCTGATGTTTTTTTATTGTCTAATTTAGAAAAAAAAAGAACCTGTATAATTAATTGTTTGCAAAAATCTAAACTAAAGAAAATCCTAAGATTTTGACCCCTGATGAACTTAGATTTTTTTTTTTTTTACTTGGATGATATAGAACAATTCCATATTTCAAGAAAAAAATATATAGTAATCCTACAGATCTGTTTTGTGCTAACTAGTTTTGAAACCTTTTCTTTAAAACCTTTACCTCTTTGGCTGGTGCAATGTAGCCAATGTGTTCTCCATCACTGAAGAGCAAACTGTGTGTTGAGCTGTTACCTGGGAATGGGACAAAAGGACCTTAGAATTACAAAATGTGTTGCCTCAACTTCTTCAACAGGAGCAAATACAGTGACACAATTCTAGCCAGCTACAAAAGGAAATATTTGCAGTTGGTTGTTTTTTTGGAGATACAGGAACTAGTTAGAATTGTTTCACAAGTAATTTGGCTAATTTGACAAAAAAGTAAGCTTTCCAAATGTGATCCTAACTATAATGAGCTTATTGTGAAACTTACAATTAGCTTGCCTTGAAAAAAAACATGATATTGACAATTTTTATCAGCATTTTGTCCAAAATTAATAAACACCAAGCATCAAAATAATCGCTTGCAAAAAGAGACATCAAATAATCAAATAAATGGATATTTAGAGAAGCAGGTAACTGATAAAACCTGTATACTCCTGATGTAGAGGTACACCTAGTAGAAAGTCCAGGTTCAATAACCCCCCTCCCTCCCCAAATCTCAAAATTATTGGTCAGATGACAGTAAAAATTAAGACACCATTACCATCCATGCCAAATGTATTTTCTGGAGCCAGGGTTGTTCTGTTGATAACACACAAGCTTGGGGTGGTTCCTCTATCCCATTTACACAACAGCTTTCCCTGATGTAACAAAAAGCCATTAGTATATAGCAATCAAAATCACAAATATATCAAATTAGAATAACAGCTTTCCATGATAAAATAAAAAGCTATTAACATATAGTAAGCTAATGCACACATTTATAGTAGTTACCCTAATAAATGCAATAAAACATTATTTTTAAAATCTAAAATAAAATTTTAATTTTGGAAATATAAACTAATTTAGTGCTGTATCAGTTTTAGTTTAGCTAACCAGTAGTAAAACAAAAAAAAAGAAGTGTATTTACAGCAGCGAATGCCAGGAAAGTGTTTTTGTGTACAGGAAAATCTCGTTTTTGGCTCTCTAATTTTCCCTGTAAGAATAACAACAACATAAATTATAAGCAATTATGAAGAATTATATTCTTTTGAAGAAACTATAAATTTCTACATAAGGAAAAAATTTCATAAAAATATATTGACACAAAGAAGAAAAAAACTGTACCTTTATTGTACCCCCATAGCCAGAGCCAACTTTGTAGAGACCATATTTATTTAAAATGTACAAGAATCGCCCATCACTGGCAATGGCTGAGTTTTCAACAAGGCATTCACCAACTAGGAAGTAACAGAAATTGGCCCATGTTACAATGATATATTCTTAGAAAAGAAATAGCACATTAAAACAAAACAAAACAACACAGCTAGAAATATGAGCTTAGTTACCTTTAGCATTGGCTAGTTTAAAGATCTGTGACTGGCATTTTGTTTTGACACCATTATTAAACCAATCTGGCAACTGTGCTTTGCCTAATAAAATGGCTTGAACACTCTTTTGTAAGGAAGCTAGGATGCCAGGTACCTAAAAATAAAACAGGGTAATTTCAGTCAATTTGTAGTACTTTACTCCAACAGAAACAAAATCCAAGACAGCTTAAACTAATGATTTTTTTTTAAAGATGTATCTTTAAATGTGTTAAAATTATTACTTATATTTGAACATTTCTACTTTTGTGGTGGCTCTATTTTAAGAAGTGGGAACAAAATTTTGTGACAGAAAATCTAGTTGAAACAACTATGCTGTTTAAAGTTGTTCATACAATTTAAGATTTAATTTAAAACTGTAAAAGATAACTGAGGTAGATCTGAGCTGGGCGTGATTTAACCTCCTGACCTGAATGTCCTGTAGCTCCAGGCCTGACCTGGACATGAGCATTATGCTGACAGCTCTGATGAGCTTCTCTGTGTCACCAAGGGCTATTGTGAGACTGATGAGGGCTGAGCAGGCCAGAGAGCTCATTGAGAGCCCTCCTTTTGTCATGTCACCATCTTCTGTGTTTATGGCCAAATCCATCAGCAGTGAAAACAAGTTTTCTATGAAAGAATAGTTGCAGATTTTGTAACAAAAGAATATCTACAATATTTTTGAATAATAATTTAATGGTTGAGATTTTTTTATTATCAAATAAAGGAACCACTGTAATAACTTTTATCAATTACTAATGAGGTTCTCATAAATATAATGTAACAAAAGAATATCTACAATATTTTTAATAATAATTTAATAGTTGAGATTTTTTTATTATCAAATAAAGGAACCACTGTAATAACTTTTATCAATTACTAATGAGGTTCTGATAAATATATTAACATAACATCAACAGAAACTATTTTAACCAACAATCTCCAGGTTTGATTTTTGTTTTAAAAATAACAATAAAAAACATGCTTGATACATTTTTGTAATAACATTAAAAAAATAAACTGGCAACTATATTTTACCAACAACCACCAGGTTTTATTATTTAAAAAAAACAAAAAAGCATGGTAAATTTGTATAACATTAATAAAATAAACTGGCAACTATATTTTACCAACAATTCCCAGGTTTTAATATTTAAAAAAAAAAAAAAAGCATGATAAATTAGTATAACATTAACAAAATAAATTGGGAACTATATTTTACCAACAACATCTGGAGGTTCTTTCTTCATGCCCTCTGGTTGCTGCCCCTGCAACATGTCCAGCAGAGACCGCAAGGCCTTGACACAGAGCTCAGGGTACTGGCTGCGTGTTTCTCGAACAAGCTCAAACACACCATTAAGTCCCAGTCCAACAATCTGTACAGAGGAAGATGGAATTATTCTTTACATGAGCAATCCCAAGAGTTGAATGAAATAACACATAAAATGTTTTCAAGTTTACTAAAACTGTCTAAAACATAAGTCATATAAACTAATTATTTTTGTTAATTCAGTGTCTTCCTTGCAAAACTGAAATGGCATTGTATAAAGGGTGAATTATCACTTTTAAAATAACTTATTTCAATATACAACCAGAATGACAGTGGTTGAGGATAAAGGACTTTACATCTATTTTATAACACTTTATGAGCACAATAAAGTAGACACAATTTGTGATTGGTTTTAGCAGTACTTGTGAGGTCAGTTTTTACAAAACAAAATACCATCAATGTATAGTATTTTAAAGTTAAAGGGGAGAGGAAAAACAAAACCAACACAAGTTAAATAGTTTTTTTCTACGGACAGCCAAAGTTGGCAATGAGTAAATAAACAAAGTTGACATCCCAGCAATGGATTAACACAAACCAAGAGAATATTATTTAGAGTGTATTATGTTAGATATAGGGAGGACGATTTAAGGGTTACACACTTTCTATATTAGACAAATTGAACTCAAACTTCATCACCCACTGAGAAAAGAATGTATTTTGTATTGAAAACCATTAGGAACTAATACATATTTTGTTAACAAAAAACAAAACAAAAACTAAACCACTACCGAGCAGTATGAAAATAATATACTGCTTTTATTTAAATAAACTTAAAATTTGAAGTGATATTTTTTTTTATTTATCACCTTTGGTATTTTAATTTGTTGTTCTTTCCCCTTTTCTTCCCCATCCTCATCGCTGTCACTGTCTGAATCTGTGGCCGTGTTGGCCAGGTGGTATAGGCGGGTGGCCTCACGGATGGCCTGTGTGAACACAGCCTGCCTGACTTTGGAATAGACTGTGAACAGTGAAGAGTTCCCATGTGTGGTGATCACTGACTGCTGGGTTTCATTGACTTCTGGACTCTTTTCACGCTGTTGAATAGTTTTATTGATTAGTTATTTATGATAAATTTAATTTAATTAATTCTCTGATACAGAAAAATTGCAATAAATTCCAGGCACAAATGATCAGATCTTTTTTTATAACTTACAATTTTTAGTAATATAATTTTTAGAACTTCTTTAGTAAAATGTGAAAAAAATGAACATTTATTTTGAAAGTAGTTTTTATAGTTTGCATACACACAGTTTAATTTAAGGAACCATAAAAAATTAACAGCAGCGATTGAGGCATGCATATCTTAACTAGATAAAACAAAGTTATTCTAAAATGTATTTGTAGTATTTAGTTGTGTGGATAAAAACACTAGTTTTGTGTGTTTAGAAAATAAATAAAATTTGTATTAATTATAATTAATTAGTAAGTATCATAATTAACAACAAAAGATTCAGAAGTATATTCAGAATGTATAGTATAAAGCAGAAAATGTTATTACCTCAACCTTTTGCTTCTTGTCTTTAGATTTGGTTTTTTTCTTTTTGGTCTTTTTCTTCTCCAATTTTTTTCTAATAATAATAAAAACATAGAATTTCATGTTGAAAATGTCTTTATTTTATATTAGAAACGCAGATTTTGAAAAGTAAACATCCGTAATAATAGTAATAAAAATAGCCTACATAATATAAATACATTTATGTACATTGTCTGTAATACAGCATCATATAATTAGTACATGGAAGAGACTGATTTTGAATTTTCATAATTCATGTTTCACTAAATATCTTCTAAAGTTGGTAACAGCAATCATCAATGATATAATTATTCTATTGTACATCATCTTTTACCAGGTCAAATAACTACTTCAAAAACTGATTAGTTATTAGATTACCAAATTTCAACTGCTGCCTCCACAAGAGATAAAATGAAAGCTTAATGGTATGTTGTAGAGCTTGCATGTTATTTTTTGTATCTCCTTAACAAAGTGTAGTCCATAGCTAAGCATTAATAATTACTAACTAGCCTTATACTAATTATAATTAGGCCTAAGCCTAAGTTAAATAAGATTCAATTTAGGACTAAATCCTACATATTATTCATTACAAGACCATATATACTATATAGGCCTACTAGGCCTATGTTTAGTTATGTCACTCACATAGTAGACTAATACAAATACAAAATATAGGCCTATTACTACTATTAGGGCTTATTAGGCCTAGGCCTATATAGAAAAATTAATAGTCCATTTGTATTCCAAATAACTTTTCAGAAAGAAGCATAAATTACTTATTTCTGGATATTTTCATTAGTAAAAACTAATGTCTGCTCTAAAAAACAATGAAGAAATTTTTTTTCCTATAGCTCTAGCTCTAAAAATCTAGATGTTTGTCTAGCACTAGTACTATTTATAGTTATTATAGTTACTATTCGTTATAGATCTTGATCTAGTAGAGGTACTGTTAGCTATTAGTTAGGCCCTGGCATATAGAATGCACCCTATAGTTTTAAGTTTTAGTTTAAGCAAGGTAGATCATTCATTTGTTTATAATAGCCAAGATCTTTCTTTTTAAGAAAATGTTATGTTAACATTGTTAACAATATTATTATTAATATTATTCAATATAGAATCTAGGCCTAGATTCTAGATCTACATACTACATATATTGAATGTAGATCTAGATCTAGTAACTATTATTGTAAGCTGTATGAGAGTTATGACTATGACTTACTGACAGAGTTATGGTTTTATTATGTAAGAATGATTTGCAACTTTTTTTTATTTTTCTGAGAATAGATTTTTTTTTTTAAAGTCTGTCTTGATGAGTAGTTTCAGAAGATATAGAGTAGACAGAGTCCTAAACGTGCAGAGGCCTTTTTTGTCATTACAATGCATATACCATGTCGTTGAAAGTTATAGTCTAAAATATGGTAAAATCACGATATAGCGTCGGTTATTATTCCGGAACTGTACAGCAGTAAAAAAACAGTAAAACCATGGCGTAGTCTGTCGAGCCGTTCCGGAAACCACCGGAAATACTGTAAACCATCATTTATTTGCCGCCATATTATTTTTAATACATAGTGTTTAAAAATGTGCAAGGATTGATTTTAGTTGCATTTTAAATACTGTTTTGCTAATTATTTTGTATTTCTAATTATTTTAAGTGTATGTGCTAATTTTTGCTGCTACTAAACATTATTCTAGTTATTCTTACTACTTTTAACTTTAGTTAATCTAATCGTCTTATTTACTAACAGAACAAGAGCTGGTTGTCGCAAATCTTCTGCAGGTTTTTTCTGTTTCTTAAAAAAAAAATAATTAATTACTACACTCGAGTTTATTAATAATATTTAGATTTTCTATCTGTTATTAATTTTCTGTCAATTAAACTGTAAATAAAGTTAAAACATTAATTTAATGCACTTGACTTTATTTTTATTTCATCGGTCAAATAAACTATGGTTTACAGTAACGAATGTTACCGAAACTCAACGAACATTACCCAATAATTTCCGACGCTATATCGTGATTTTACCTAAAATATTACTAATTATAAACTTACTTTGATGCATCGGCATCTTTGTACTCAAACAGATCATGGAATTTCCGCGACAAGTTGTCACCTTTTAAAAATAGGTCGACCTGACTTCGGAAACATTGCACGGCTTCCATTGCCATTTTCTGGAATTAACAAATGTTTACGATCCACTGTTAGCATGTGTTTTATCTAAGCGAAGGCATAACAGTCAATATTGCCTTCTCTCTCATTTATAATACAATTATAAATCCATTGAAGAGGATAATATTAGCTGGTGTCAGCCATTATATCAATTCTCGTTCTGAGGATTATAAACAGGAAGTTATAACTAAGGGAAACTACTCATCTTGTTATCCCAGACGTCTAGATTTAACTTCTGTTAGGTCTAGGCTCAATTTTTAGATTTTGCCGACGCAGTTGACTGAATCGTCTGCTCCGCGGAATAACTAGTGTGTTTAACACAGAATTGTCTCTCTTCTACTTCTGTTTTTATTTTATTATTATAATATTTATCATTGTGAAAATGAAAAACGTAATACTAAAAACAACAAAGATTTCTAGACTACCAACTATCTAGGTCTTGAAATTGAAGGTCTAATAATGTCACTTATTATTAATGAGCAGAGTTTCTTCCAGGCAACTCCGAAATTTTTTTACCGCCCCCCCCCCCCCCAGAACGAAATGAAATGTATATAATTTATATAGAAAATATATACTTTTAACAGTGCCCCACCCCCCCCGAAGAAAGTCTACCGCCCCCCCCCCCCCCCCCGAAAATTTCAAGTGCCCCCCCCCCCCCGGAGAAAAAAGTCTGGAAGAAACACTCTAACTGTTGATGAGTCTAACTAATGATTCTAGACTTTATTATAATTATTATAAGCCTAGTTCTAGATTCTAGTCTAGATCTAATCTAGGTCCTTATCTGCGACACGCAGTGATTTTTCAATGACTAATTTTCTACGAAAAAATTCCCTCTGGTTTCAGTTTACAAGCCTTTTCGACGCAAGAAGTAACGCAACTATATAGATTCTAGATCTAATAGGCTAAAGAATATAGATTTACACCAAGTTATTCCGTTTTGAATGTAAACATTTTACAACCACCATTAGCCCGTATATACATCTAGATCTAGTCGTGGGTCATATTACCGGATAAGGACACAGGGCGAATTGTTTTAGTTTTAATTATTTTTTAAATGTAGGTTAATTTTAATATTTTTAAAAGGTAACATAACTTATGGATCCTGCAAAGGTCTGTAGTCTAGAGTAGGGTGACTATGTAACCAGAGCGTCGTATAGAAATAGGTAAGGTAGGGATCATCCATAAAACACGTCACGCTTTTTAAAACTATAATACCTCCCATCGTCTAACATCGCTACAACCACCCCACCCAGAGTTTATTCCAGGCATCTCTTCGGGGGGGGGGGGGGGCAAAGCCCCCCCCCCGAACATTTTTTACCGCCCCCCCAGAGGCGTAGCGATCCTTCCCGGCGCCCGGGGCGAACTTTCAGTTTGGCGCCCCCATATATATATATATATATATATATATATATATATATATATATATATATATATATATACATGCTTGTGTTTTTGTGTGTGCGACAGTCTGGAAAAAAAATTAACAATTACGCTGATTGTCGTTCCCTAAAACTTCACTAGACGTCAATTGAATTCCCCTTAAGATGCCGAAACGAACAAAAAGTAAAAAATCAAAAGGGCTTAGAACAGTGGGCTACATCGAACCCGAGACGTTCGGTAATTCAGTCTCAGGGCTTCCGCGGAGGTCAAGACACACAGCTGACTCATAAGATTCACGATCGCATTCTGTCATTGTGGACGATACAACTATTAAGGAGGGTTCGGTGATTGCGCATATGAAACTGGTTGGGTTCGGTACTCCAAATAATTAGGAACCACTGCTTTAGAGTGTATTTTGTAGAAGGTGCAAGCCTTATTTGGTCTACTTTTGGTCGTGTCTTCGATAATAGTAAGCCAATATTGCAATTTTGAATTATCAGTTAGGTTGAACAAAGTAATAATCAGTACAATATACTAATTTTCTTCACTTTAAATGTTGGCAAAGAGTGTCGCTTCCGTTCCACCCGCTCCGACAGTCTGCTAACTCTTTTTTACTTTCTCGTATATACGTAGTATAGAGAAAGTATTGTAATCGTGCAAAAAAAATCGAGATTTTTACAAATCTCGACGTTTTACACCTCACTGATACGGAAAAACATAATTTTGCAATCTTGTCCGTATGTCTGTGTGTGTGTGTGTCTGTGTGTCTGTGTGTCTGTGTGTCCGTGTGTAAACACGATAACTTGAGTATCGTTACAGCTAGGTTGATGAAATTTCATATATAAGTATTATATCAAAATCGTAGATCCGTATCAACTTTTGAGCGATTTCCGACAACCGGAAGTGGTACTTTTTCTACTTTGAATTTTTCAAAAGCCTATAACTTGAGTACTAATTCAGATAGATAAATGAAATTTCACATGTAAGTAAAAGATCTAATTCTCTACCTTCTGTTAAATTTTGAGTAATTTCCGTTGATCGGAAGTAGTAATTTACGCTACTTCCGATTTCTCAAAAAACTAATGTAAATTTTTAAAATACTAATAATATTGCGCACTATTATGCGCTTTTTTATTTGGCGTTCACTTGGTGTGCAATTAATTTGTCTACGAGATTTTATTCTATTTTTAAAAGTTTAAGTATTTAAAATGGATTAAAAATCGTGTCTATAGCCCGAGTTCCCATCCCCTGTTATTTTATATAAGAATATTCGAGAAAGTTTAGGGGAGATCACTCCCGGTTTATTATGTTACACAATCGTAAAATACGCTTTAGTTCCATGGGTTTCTTTTCTGAGTGATATCGGCTATTTATTCCTTAATCCGATGTGAATTTTTCCGATTTTAGTCTTCGAAAAAGCGCCCCCCCCCCCCCCCCCTAGGAAAGCTGGAAAGCGGTTTTTCCGGTCACTATTTCTTAAGGATATACGTTTTACAGTTACACAATCAAGGTAGAGAACAGTTAAATCAGTATGCAAAGGCTCTCCGCCGTTAAATTTCTTTACTTTGACTGTATAATTCAAAACTGCAGCTTAAAATGAGCTTTTAATTTTTTTCTACCCCTTTTGGCGCCCCCCCCCTGGGGTCGGCGCCCGGGGCGGCCGCCCTCCCCGCCCTCCCCTAGCTACGCCTCTGCGCCCCCCCCCCCCCCGAACGAAATGAGATTTATATAATTTATATAGAAAATATATACTTTTAACAGTGTCCGCCCCCCCCCCCCCCCCGAAGAAAGTCTACCGCCCCCCCCCCCGAAAATTTCAAGTGCCCCCCGGAGAAAAAAGTCTGGAAGAAACACTGCCCCCCCCCCCCCCCTCCCAATATGATATGTCACACCTCAGACTACAATTTCCCCATGGCATTTAACTAAACATAGCGATTTATACTGGGCTCAGCCTACATTGTGTAAACCTACAAAGTTTCTTACAGACACCTCTAGAGGAGACGGGGAGTCGTCCCCCACCCCTCCCAGTGTTTCTTTCAGGCATCTCTTCGAAAAAGAGTCTACCCCCCCCCCCCCCCGAACGAAATGGAGTTTATATAGAAAATATCTACTTTTAACAGTGTTCGCCCCCGGAAATTTTAGTCGCCCCCCCCCCGAAAATTTCGTCACAAATCGTCACCAAAATACCCCCCCCCCTCAAACCACACACCCTCATGGACGACCCCGTATATAATTTAGCATTAATTTAAATAGCTGATCACACCAACCAGAACATCCGCGCTGTAATTGTTTACAAACTGACATCAACTCAACGCTGTCATATTTACTTGTTAAGTTTTGTCAAACAGCTTTGATGAAACCAAAACAAGATCCATATCAACAAGTTTGTATGAAAGGAAGAGTGAGGACTTTTTATATAGGTCACTGATAATGATAATCATTGATAAAAGGCTCATCTAGAACATAGCTTATTCAAAACAGGGGTAATTCAATAGGTTATATTGGTAAGGCTTTAATGTGGACGATTGCAGTGGTTATTCTATCCATTCACCGAAATCTTAAATGGGATACTTGTAGATTAGAATGGTGAGGTCAAGAGTCATCCGGTACCTTAGCTTAAGGTTTCACCCCCCCCCCCCCCCAACATTTTTACATTTTTTATTGACTTCGGTGTCGCTCTGTATACCCGATCTTTTAATATCTGTATTTAAATTCGGGTTTTCGATATCATATCACCCCCCCCCCCCCCCACACCCCAAAGAAGATAGGTTTAAGAATATGAACTCCACTTCATATGCCCAATGGATGAATATCGCACTGTGTGCCCGATCTTTTAATATCTGTATTTAAATTCGGAATTTCGATATCATATCACCCCCCCCCCCCCCCCCCACCACCACCACCCCAAAGGTAGGGTTAAGAATATGAACTCCACTTCATATGCCCAATGGATGAATATCGCACTGTGTGCCCGATCTTTTAATATCTGTAATTATATCGGGTGGTTTTTTTTTCGATATCGAGTCCCCCCCCCCCCCCCTTACACACACTCAACTTCATATGCCCAATAAATCGCTAGGTCAAAAGTGAATTCCTTAAATTAACTTAAAGATTGGGTTCATATTAAAAACAAACTAATTAAGTCTTAATTAGCGTTCATCGTGCACAGCACAGCGGTCTACATCGCTAAGCTGTTCGGCGGTCGTTCACCTTTCACGTCCATTACACTTTGCTCAAACTGTCAACAAGTATAGTGCTGACCCCACACTGTCTCTTCATAACCCGAGGTCACAGAAACAGGTGAACTCTACTTCACTTGTCAGGTTCGAAAAGGGAACTTTTTATTTTATTTTTACAGCATATAGATCTATAGGGAATTTATGCAGTGTTTCTTCCAGGCGGAGCACCCCCCCCCCCCCCCCGAACGAATTAAAATTTATATAGAAAATATATACTTATACCAATGTCCGTCTTACCCCCAGAAAATGTAGTCCGCACCGCCCCCCCCCTCGAAAATATCAAGTCCCCCCCCTCCCCGAGAAAAAAGTCTGAAAGAAACACTGTTTATATGTATATTAGCGCATAGGCGTTGGCAGTGTGATGAGAGGACAGTGGTCGTGTTTACTAAACCCCTCTCTCATGTCCTTTTCAGGACTGCGGGGTTATCAACTTCAAAGTGTCCACAGCTACATTCGTCATGAATTGTCTAATATTGTGTGTAACTACATGATATTTACAATCAGTTTCAGAAAAGAAAAAAAAAAACAACCCCACAGCGTTTAATATACTTTTTCGTCTTTTGGCATTCTATCAGTCAGACAT